CCATACCTTCTTTCTACTTCATTGAAAATTTCCCGATTCCAAAAGTATATAGTTTGTCTATATTTGGTTGAGCCGTCTCCAACATATTTGGTTCAAAAAATTTTAAAAATACTATCAGAGAAACCAAGTATATACCTCAAATTTTACCTACAGTTTTCACCTGTATAGCTAGAATGGTTCACAAAATCAGTAGTAGGATAGTATTTTTACAATTTTTGGAGCCGAATATATGAGAGACTGTTCAATCAAATATAGACAAACTATATTTTTGGAATCGGCGGCCCGGGGCGCTCTAGAGCAGCTCTGGAGTGCTTAAAATGCGTCACTGGACTCACTGGCAAGCGACTCTGATATCAGATTTAAAAAAAAAAATTAAATAGAAAATCAACAACAAAATTTGAAAAGAAGTGTATTATTTCAAAATGTATTTACACGCTGGCAACGCAGCGGGTCATTAGCTAGTTTCAAATAATATCTCTGAGTTCAAGAGGGATCTCTGGTCAATCTTCTCTGGAACAAGCTCCAGAACTTTAATATTCGTGTTATGTTGTCTTACAGGAGACGTTTGATTAAAAAACTTCATTTTCATTTCTTTGTTTTCCTGAATCTATACTCAGTTTTCTGAGAAAGGTGACGAATCAAGATGAATTTGGTTTTTATTTAGTACATACACTGGCAAAATTAGGGTAACGGACAAAATTTACACTAATTTTGACATCAATTTTCTCCTGAATCCTCCGCTCGATTTCGATGAATTTTTCACAAATTGTAGCTTGATTCTTCAGGAATACATTTGACGTATTACCGTTATTAAATGATTCGTCTTTATATCATATACAGGGATGGCAAAAAAGTCGGTAATTTCCGGAGTTTTTTGAGACACCCTTTGGAGTGAACCACTGGAAATTCAGAACAGTTTTCAACACCAAATTGTAGCCTGATCTTTTCCGAACATTTTCATTTTTGATTCACTCTGATATTTTCAAGGTTATTGAACGTTTTGAAGGAAATGTGGAACCTCCACCACAGGAGACAGTAGCAGTGAGATTGAATTGTTCATTTTGTTCTCTTCGCGGCGATATAATCTTTCCCTGCCATCGATCGAATTAATGCAAATTCGGCTCTCATCTGTAAAAAGAACGTTGGTCCAATGGTCATATTCCCAATTTTCATGCTCCCTGGCGAAGCGTAGTCTTGCCACTCGATGACGCTGCTGAAGCTTTAGTTTTCTTTGTTCTATAGGCCTTCAAACCAATTTCTTTGAGCCTTCTGCTGATGGTTTGATGACTTGTCCTCCTTCCACGTACTTCTTCCACTTCGATTTTCCCACGGTATCGAAAAACTTCCCGGGCTCAAGTGCCCCACCAGATTCACAAGCAAAATGTTTATTATTGCAATAAAATTATTGCACCTGTTCATGACCAATACCCACTTCACAGCTATCAGTGCAATACCCATCTCTACTACGTCGAAAAGCTTCGACTCTGAAGAGGTACCTCTTTCCATATTCCTTCACTTTCTTGAAAACTAAAGAATTTTTGAATAATTCCTGCATTTGTTTTCGTCAATAGTATTCTAAACTCCATGGGATTAATTTTATTGCAATAATAAAAATTTGCTTGTGAACCTGGTGGACCATTTACGTAGTAGAGGTGGGTATTGGTCTAATAGCCGGGGGCACTTGAGCATGGGAAGTTTTTCGATACCGTGGGAAAATCTCTAGATCGGCGGCGCCTTTAATCTGAAATTTTGGGGATTTGACCCGGCCCAACCCCAAAATTGACGAATACAATGCAAGAATTGATTAAATATTCTTTAGTTTTCAAGAAAGAAGAGGGATATAAAAAAAAGTGCCATCTCAGGGTAAGAGCCTTTTGAAAATAGATTAATGGAGGGCTTTACAAACTTTGGCTTTACGGAAGAGGGTTTATAGTGGAGGTGGGTAAAAAGTGCCTCTTCAGGGTAGGAGCCTCACGGAAGGGGGTTTCCAGTGGAGGTGGGTGGTGGTATGATGGCTGTGCTAGGGGGGGGGGGGGGTTATGTGGTAGAGGTAGGTATTGGTCTGATAGCTGTGAAAACACTCTACTAGTGTGAAATATTAGAACGGCGAGATCATAGACCGAGTCGTTTTACTCACACGAGTTTTGTCATGTTTAAACGAACGTGTGATGTACTAGGTGTTTTTTTATAACTGGAACACTCAGTACCTTTCTTATATTATTGAAAATAAAGGGCATGTTTAAGTTGGCAAATTTCTTGGTAATTCCAACCTTGAGCACAACGATATTTTTTTTGTCGTCATAGGTATACAGGGTGCGCCAAAAAGGTATTTTTCTAAAATGGAACGCCCTGAATATTTTTGTTATCCAAATGATGTTTGATGTGTTTGTGAAGCTATTTTTTCAAGAATATCAAACATGCAAAAATATACAAATATACAGGGCGTTCCATTTGAAAAAATAACTTTTTTAGCGCACCCTGTATGCCTATGGCGATAAAAAAATATCGTTGTAGCGATTAAGATTATTGCAATTTGCCAAGAAATTTTCCAATTTTAACATGCCCTTTATTCTCAATAATAAAAAAGTTACTGAGTGTTCCAGTTATAAACAAACACCCTGTACAACGTCTTATTTATAAAATTAGTAATTGTCTACCTTCATTTTACTATTACAGGTATACCTTTGACATTTGTTAAATCACCAAAAATGAATTCATAACCTAGTCCATAACACCACTGTTTTGTTGAGTCTCATGACATGACTCAAATACTAGAAAAATGGTTATGTAAAAGCGTCATAACCAAACGCCCGTAGATAAAAATGTTAACTTTCGCTTGACTTTGATTTAACAATAACGATATCCTACCGATGTGGCGAGGTCTGTTGGAGGATAAATTGGAGAACTCCTAAGCCTTGGTTAAGTGTGAAGGGAGAATTTAGTTTAGATAAATAACATTCCACCAAATGGAAATCATGAAAGGGACTTTCGGATCCTCCTATATATATGTAAGCATTCTTTTCACAATAAATTGATCAATAAGAGGTAAAACTGCAAGCATTATTTAACTCGAAGTAGATATTCACACACACGACTTGAAGTTGGAAAACGACACATTTTCATATCCAGTTCGTATGTCGACGTGGAGAAAATTAAGGTCGATATCCACCTTTTCTTCAAAACTCTGTATTTTCAATGATATTAAAAATATTAGAGTGAAAAAAAAAATATTAAAATGTTCGGAAAAGATCAGGCTACAATTTGGTGTTGAAAACTATTCTGAATTTCCAGTGGTTCACTCCACAGGGTGTCTCAAAAACCTCCGAAAATTGCTGACTTTCATTCCATCCCTGTATATGATATAAGGACGGATCGTTTAATAACGGTTAGACAATTCACTGTACATTATTCCCATATGAGACGAGAAGCTTAATAAGTGATAAGCCTTTTGGGATTATCGCGCTTGATGGCAATATTGTTATTAATAATAATAAAAATTAATAAAGCATTAAAGTTTAGTTCGTTATATAACCTTTTGAATTCCACTCGATGTTTCAGGATTACCTAATACTTTTACCTGACACTCAACGCGTTACCAGCAACACCACTCCTCCTTCGGAGTCGTGGTGTTGCTGCGTAACGCGTTTCGTGCCAGGTAAAAGTATTATCCGGTAATCCTGAAACCTCTTGTGGTATTACATTCGATAATACGTTAGATCTATTCCTGAAGAAACAAGCTACAATCTGAAAAATTCATCGAAAGCGAGCGAAGGGTTCAAGAGAAAATTGATGTCAAACTAAAAACTTAGTGTAAATTTTGTCCGTTCCCCTAATTTTGCCAGTGTGTGTAGATTCTATCATGTTTTGAACCAAATAATTCAAATTCTTCTTCATAATTATCAGTTGACTGTAGGGTCTGTAGGCATTCAGTAGTGTACTCTTTTTGTAGTTACGATAATATAACTGTCAAATTGATTTGATTTTCAGAGAATATCCATACACATACACAAAATCATGTAAAATCCAATCCGTTACGGTCTCCTTTAAAGAATTAATATACATTATTGTACGGTAGACGTTCCGCGCTTAATACAGAATAGAAAAGAGAAAGTGCTCCCGCGCGACTGTAAAAACTAAGTTAGCGTGCACTTTTATTCCGACTTGTGTTCGTTCTACTTTTTAAGGCGATTTGAAAGAAGAATTATTCTCTGATTCATTGTTTAAGTTTCTCCATTATCCCATTCATTCATGAGATGCTGATTTCTGATCATTGTTCAATCGACAATAGGGTTTTTGCCAGGAACTAAGAAATTTTATTTAGCCTAGATTTTAAACAACAAAAGAGGACATTTTTAGTTTAAAAATGAATCAGTTTATTTTTTTTGTGCTCTGATAGGTAATTATTTATTCTTCAAATTGTTAATGAAATGGGACAAAGAGAAAGTAATTGTCACCTGACCACAATACTCACTGAGTAGGTACATGATTTTATTATAAAACTTAATCAGTAACTAACAGCCAATAATCGAAGCTTCCATAGGTACCTATACCATGGGTATATTTACACAATGTTATTAATTCCTGGTTCTATATCATTGATTTACTGGTCACGCTTTAATATTTATTGAGACAACTGCCTAATAACGCTTGTAAATCATAACATTTATAGGATACATTGGCGTGCAAAGAATAGAGACGATCTTATTATATTGGGTAACATTATATATAATTGATAGTGAGAAATATTTAATTATTACGTTGAGAGTAGACAAATTTCCCATTGCCTAATAAACTTTATTGCTTAACAAAAACTATGGAAAAATTCTGGTTGAGTTACGCCAATGAACAATGTCTTGTAGTCTAAAAAGCATTATATTGTTATAATAGCAAATTGTATAGGCTTAAGGTCAAAGGCTATCTCGATATTGCGGGATAATTCCCCGCTAAACGGATTTACTGTATTTTGAATGGATTTTGTGACTTTTTGCCCCTTTTTTTAGTGACAACACCTAATCCACCGCCGCGTCCCTGGATACCATTAGCCAGACCTACAGCTAATCGACCAGCTTGTAAGTATATCAAATTGGTTTGAAAATTTAGCTCAAAAAAAATCATATTTTAGGTATATTTACTGTGATGTGCTACAACGTTCTTTGTGATAAATATGCCACCCGTCAAATGTATAGTTATTGCCCATCTTGGGCTCTCAATTGGGACTATCGAAAAAAGGGCATAATGGAGGAAATTCAGCATTATGCGGCTGACATAATCAATCTACAAGAAGTTGAAATGGATCAGTTTTATAATTTTTTTCTGCCAGAATTGAAGGTATATATTTTCTTTGTCTAAGTATGTTTTACTATACAAACTTAATTTTAGGCTCAAGGTTACCACGGCATCTATTCACCCAAATCTAGAGCCAAGCACATGGGCGAAACTGAAAGAAAATACGTCGATGGCTGCGCAATATTTTATAGAACGTCAAAGTGAGCAATTAAAAAAAAATCTTTTAAATTTAAAATAATTATTCTCCCATTGCAGATTTACCTTAGTCAAAGAACATCTAGTAGAATTCAACCAATTAGCTATGGCCAATGCGGACGGGTTGGAACACATGTTAAATAGGGTAATGCCGAAAGACAACATTGGGTTGGCCGCTTTATTACAAACTACAGAAGCTGCGTGGGATAATAATAGTAAGTTTATCTGATAGTAAATAGTATTGATACGGTACAATAACATCTCTTCAAAGCTTGATGACCAACTTATCACTAATCGGTACCAACATATTTTTACGGTGGGCTTTCGCCAGCGTATGCAGAATCCATGCCTAAAATTCCAGAAAAGATTGCCTTGTTCAAGAGAGGGGATTATTGCGTTTATTCTGGATTTAAAAGAATGGATTACAAATATATAAACGCCGGTATTAGTTAGTAGTTTGTAAGTGTTTTCCTTTGTATTACGGCATTGGGTTTATACTGGGGATCCTTGGGGTTTTTCCAGTATACTTGTTTTGTGGCCCTTTTCAAATAATTTCATTTCTAATATTTGATAAGTATTAGCAATAATAGCTCTAACTTCTAGTTCTCCACAAGTAATCAAGAGATTCTCTTTTACAAATTACGCCAGAATCGGAAAATGGTCGCAAGAATTAGGTAATTTGCCAGAAACATACATAGAAACGGCCACGAACCAAGTATACTGAAAAAACCCCAAGGGTCCCCAGTACAAACCCAATGCCTTAATACAAAGGAAAAAATTTAAAAACTACTATGACTGGCCTTCATATATCTGTAATCCATTCTTGAATAAGGCAGTCTTCTGGAATTTTAAGCATTGATTCTGTATACGTTGGCGAAAGCGCACCTATATTGATACGGTACAACGTCATCTCTTCAAGCTTGATGACCAACTTATCTCAATTAATCGGTACCAACATATTTTATTTTTTATTGGAAAAATAGACGAATAATTTGTCTGTGAAATCTCCGATTTTTGAATTTCCTCTTCTGAACAGACAAAATCAAACATGACGACAATGCAACAAATAACTTTGAGTTTATATTCGAATAAATAAAAGCGATGTAGAAGTGTTCATATAAAAGAGAGTAAACTCTAGCAGTAGAAAACTTCCTATTGTGACATTTCAAGTTTTCCAGGAACTGAGCTCAAATTACTTTCTGACATTTTTTTTTTCTTTTTTCCATAGCTTCACAAGATACATCATTCGTAAGCCAACCAATACTAGTATGCACGGCGCACGTCCACTGGGATCCAGAATTCTGTGATGTTAAACTTATACAAACTATGATGTTAAGTAACGAGCTCAAATCCATCCTCGAAGAATCAGTACTAGCCCTAAGAGCCAGCAACGTTAACATATCGGATACCAGTAATATTCAATTGGTATGTAATTTTTTATATACTCTCTATGTATGTTATTATAATGGATTATCGTTTCAGGTATTGTGCGGAGATTTCAATTCTTTGCCCGATTCGGGCGTGATCGAATTTTTAAGCACAGGCAAAGTGTCGCAGGACCACAAAGACTTCAAAGCGTTAGCCTACAAAGCATGCTTGGAAAAGGTCCTCAGCTGTGATAAACCAAATGAATTTACGCATTCCTTTAAGTTAGCCTCGGCTTATAATGACGAGATTATGCCTTTCACAAATTACACGTAAGTTTCTCATGAAATGTTTGTGCTTTGTAAATATTTTTGTTTTTTTAGTTTCGAATTTAAAGGCATAATCGATTACATTTTTTACGCCAAAAACTCCATGACACCGTTGGGTCTTTTGGGCCCGATTTCTCAAGAGTGGATCTCACAGAATAAAGTTATCGGTTGTCCACATCCTCATGTCTATTCTGATCATTTTCCGTTGTTGGTCGAACTCGAAATGGTACCCACAATTTCAGGACCAATCAATGGGATTGTCAGGTACAGGTATTGACTTTTGATAATAATTAAAATTTGAATATTTTCTCTTATAAAGTTTGTATTATGTATTTAAATTTATTGCAGGTAGCAATCGGCGATAAGAGTGTAAGAAAGTAGCCACTGTCGCCTTTGCATTGCTGTACCTGGTTTGGCCGACTATTTGTCACTTAAGAATTTAAGCCATCATCATCTTCATCCCCAACTTTTGACGTTTATTTTTTGATAAACGCAAACCATCTCTCCGTGTACATTTTGGTACAAAACAAATCAAATATCATCAATTTCTATGTAAATAAAGCGGTACCTGACGGTCACAATTCAAAACATTATTGTAAATCAAAAGAAGTGGATTGGGTGAGCGACTTTTAAGTCACTTATTTGAGTAATTTGTATAGTGATGAAATTCATTAGCACTTAAATAATCAGTGTGCCAATGTGAATTTTACAAGTTGTACAAGCCACCTTTGCCACAGCTGCTTAGGTAGGAGGAATTTTGTTTTTGCTTGATGTTAATTCAAAAAGCTGACGTCAATTAATGTATGGAAAAAAAGTCGCTCACCTAAATTATGAGGACACAAACTCAGAAAAAATCACGCACACTTAATTATTACTGCTTTTTTTATAATCTAAGGTTACTGTGATTTTATTATTTATTATTATTTTCTTATAGTTTTAAGTTAAGGCATCTAGCTGGCCCAGAAAGAAATAATAACACGCAAGTTAGCATTAATTTGATATACAGGGTTGTCGTTTGTATATGGACAAGTATCCAGTATATCCTACCATTGCATGTTGACCACCACATATTCAAAACTAAGTTACATACAGCATCTTGAAAACAGTAAACTTGGCAACATTGTAAATATGTACTACCATTGAATCAGGCATTCCCAAAAACCGTTTAGAAATATTGGACTGTTTCCATACAAAACGACAACCCTATATTTTTTTTATAGTATTAGACTGCAAATCGATCAATATAATATGTATTTATTTATCCTACTAACTTACTTTTTCCACAAATTGTTGCAATATGAAAAACATCGAAAGGGAAATATTTGAATGGCAAATTTCATTCCTATAAAATGACATTCAGCAGGAGTGTGTTATGATTTTTTTTTTATTTGGCTTCTCGGTAAGCATAAATGCTTAAAAGTCTGAGGTTTTACTTTTATAAATTGTAAAGATTACAAACAAAAATAGGTAATGTCTAAATTATATTTAAGAAATTGAATATATGTAAATGTATAGTTTGTTCATTAGATTTATGCAATGTTTGTTGAAAAAATAAAAACATGGTAAGCTCAACACAATACTTACTTGAAGAAAAAACTAGTTATTTGTATTTGGTGGGTGTTAAAATGTTAACTGGATTTTTTTTTACTCAAAAATGTAAATCTTGTAAACACTTTTTCATACATCATATTTCTGATGGAGTCTCACTTAATTTACTTTAATGTAAAAATAGCTTTTCAACTAAGATTTTATTTTAGTTTAAGTTAAGTTGAAGGTGATAATTTGTGATTTTATACAATCGCCATTTTTTTATTTAAAATTCTGGCCATTGAAACAAAAAACTTATTAACCTTATAAAATAATAGTTATTTTTCTAATAAAGAGTTGAAAAGTTTTTTAAAAAAAAAAGTGTACATAAACATAGATCATTTTATATTTTGAAAACGAAAAATTTGAGATTTCTGACAAAAGTATTCATTAGGGAAAACGGGCTACAACTTTGCAATATTTTATTGTTAATTTAAGTAATTTGCTTCTGATTAGCTTTGATTTTGAAAAGATTAACTAATTATATTGAGGAATACTGAATTTTGGAGCCTTTATAAAGTGAGGTTCAAAAATAACGTCCATATTTAGTTTTTCCCTTAAGTTTATTTTAGAAACTGGAACCAAATTTTCAATTAAACATTATTCTTTAAGATTGCAATTTTCACAGGTTTGCAAGATGTTGCCCTTTTTAATAATTAAATTTTCTTCTAGAATATTCAAAATCTATCTTTTTTTTCATTTAACGTTATGCATACTTTGGAACAAGATGCACATAAAAATAAAAAAAATTCAGGTTTTTCAAATTTTAAAAAGTGACCAAAAGAGGAAATTGACTATGAGTTTCAAAACCGCACAAAGTGTGTATTGAAGCTTTTGGATTTTAGTATCGAAAATAACTCTCTGTTTATTATTATTATTATTAGGCATCTTTCATTTTTAAGTTTAAAGCAATTCAGTTTATGAATCAACTGTGATACTATCCTTGGGTTCATTGTTAATATTTACCAAGATTACATATTTCAGATTTTTGATACTAAAATCATTTCAGAAACCAAATCAAAACCTCTACTTTTTCGTGTTTATGTAATTGTATTATAAATGTAACTTTTCTTTTTTCTCCGTTAGGTACTTAAAAATTCATAGAAAATTGTCAATAATAATTTCTGTAAATTAGTTGTAAGGCGAGTGAAACTACTTTTGGAATGAGGCATTTTGTTATTTTTGTGTTCAGCGAGCGTTACCATTTTGGACTCGAGTATTAAAATTCAGACATATAGATTTGTTTTTGGAATATATTTTTGTTGTTGTTAAGTACACTTTATAATAATCTTCTTTTGTTAACAGAAATTTATTTTGTAAAAATTGCAAAAAGTAGATTTGCCAGCCAATCCGATATACATTGTGTCTGAAATGTATACTGAGGAGTCAACAAATATAGTGAAATAGGAAATTATATTTGCATTTTTATTATTTATTTATTTAATAAGGGTGCCTCAAAAACGAAGGTCATTGGCAGTAAACAGAAATACATAGTTACATTGATTACATTTTACTAATAAGTTTTAACTTTGCCAACTATAGATTGTTATATGGATCAATATCAAATTCATTAAATTGACTAAATCATTATTCATATCTAGAAACCATCCTAAATTCTTCAATTTATACACAGTCTGTAGTTGTAAATTGAAACTCATAAACTTAAAAAATATTGAAAGATCCGACATTCATAAGCTTACTTCAGAAACAGTACAGTTAAAATACAAGACAGTAGAATACAAATTACAGCAAAGTTTGTTGTCAAAAGGACACGTCTAAGACTTATATCTAAGGAACTCTTCAAAGAGTAAAAACAATTTAAACACAAAAGTTGCTTAATCCTACTCTTGAATTTGCCCCGTTCTAAGCTTTTCATGGAATTCGGAAGCATGTAACAGAATGTAATTGACAGATAGCCCGGACCGTCCTGACACCTTTTCAACCTATGATAAGCTGGGATGACCAATTTTTTCTGTCTTTGTGTCATAGCTGTCGACTCCACCATCCACCCCGAATTTATTCTCATTGTCCTTCACATACAACAGATTTTCAAATATGTAGTGAGATGGTAAAGTAAGTATATTTAAACTCTCAAAGGCCTGTCTACAGTCCTCCCTGAAGCCCAACCCAGCCAAGATTCGGATAGCTTTTCTCTGAAGTCTAAAAAGTCTGGCCACAAGGGGGAAGTGACCCCAAACCAAAATACCATGTGTCATAACAGAATGAAATATAGCATGATACGAAGTTTTCAGAACATTATCTGAGATACTCTGGGAGAGATTACGAAGGATAAAGAGAGCCCTGCTAAGCTTTGATGAAACTTGATCAATTTGCGCTTACCATTCCAGAGTGGGGTCAATGAGCACTCCAAGAAATCGAATGATATTCCCCTTTTCATTAATACCTCTAGACTGTCAGAGAGAAAATCAATAAATCTGTTTGACTTCATTCAGGAGCAGCTTATTAGCCAGTCCCTCACTCTCTCCTGAGTGGCTTCAAGCTGTGAGACTGCCCGATCAACCGATACCGCTGACATGGAGACTGTGGTGTCATCCGCAAAAAGGGTGTATTTTTCTTGATCACTGTTGAAGGGGAGATCATTTACATAGATTAAAAATAGGATCAGCCCCAGAACAGACCCCTGGGGCACACCTCTATATTTACAACCCTTTCCGCAGAACACACCCTACCCACCCTGACATTTTGGAATCTGTTTGTTAGATAAGAATTTATAAGTTTAAAACTGTCTGTACCAGAATTATAGTGTACTAGCTTGTTCAGCAAGATTTCATGGGAAACACAGTCAAATGCCTTACTTAGGTCACAGAAAAGCACAGCACTAAATTGGAGATTGTCAAAAGAATCCAGAATATCGGCAATGAGATTCAATATACCCAATGTAGTGCATCTGCCCGCTCGAAAACCAAATTGGCATTCAGTAAAGCATCGGTTCTCCTTGAAGAACTTCACCAACCTCATATTTTGGACAGGAAGTGTTGTACGCCGAGTTGAACATTGCAGTGGTTTCTTGGATTCTAGAAGATAACCATGTGTAGCTCGAGTGTGACCGATACGTAAGTGTCGAAAAATCACAAGATTTTTCCCTGTCAAATTAGGGTACAATCTTTGAGTTATAAACAGTTGGATGTTGTATAACTTTGTATTTGAGTAAGTCTAGGCAATTGTTCATTTATTTACCATGATTTGCTTTAGATGGCACTTCAAAGGTCGATTCACACATAGCAGTGACGTGACAGTGTTGTGACTGTGAAAATTATTCCATAGAAAGTTGATGGTACCTATTCCCATATGCCCGACGCGCGACCCGTGACAGTGCAAACAGTGTTGTCGCCGGCACCGTAACGCGATCGTTATATTAGTTCCTGACGATATTTTTGGATTTTCACGGCCGTACAAAGTGAGTTGGTCCGTGGTTATCCCATTTTGTATCTGTGCAACTCGAACTACATGGACTCTGATTTCAAGAATGCTATCTGGAGGGTGTCATGCTTTTTCAAATGATCTTCTATCTTGCACAACAATAGGTTTTATGAATTTTCTGACGTCCTAAAGTATTCAAAAAATTTTGCTGCGTCGTCTACTAATTCTTTGTATAATGTTATAAATGCCCCTTCTGAACCTCTCTTTTTCCATGCAGGATGGACCCAGTGTCGTTTTTCTACTTGTTCTTCCATTTCTTCGTCCAAAACCGGTGCGATCCGCAAAAGTTCTTCATCTGAAAATATTTCCATTTGGCTATAAACTATACTGACTGTGCACTGACAAATATGAATGGAAATCACTGTAAGTTTACGGCCGGTGAAATCACGTGCCGGTTACATCATTGTCAAGTCACTGCTATGTGTGAATCGACCTTAAGTCCATAGGTAAGCTCAAATTTATAACAGGGATGTTAGTATCTTGAGCAGTTTTAGCTAAGTTTTCTGCAAGCTCACTTTCATTGATCCCAATATGTGATGGCACCCAAATGATGGTAATTAGCACTCCCAAATTGTATAATGATTGCTAAATATTATGTATCTGTTGCACGGATGGAATCATTGAATATGACTGTGTTACATAGAGTGAATGGACGCTAAGAATCAGTACAGGACCGCAATGTTCTTTCCTGTACCTGAGATCAATCGTAGGGCAAATAGTATTTCATATAGTTCACTGGTATATACTCTAGAAATAACTAGAAAGCGTATATTGCGAAAGTAATATTAGATATTTTAACTGTACAACTAACACTGGTATTCTTCTTGGAGTTCTCGGTAAAAACTTCACCATAACTTGAGGAATGGACATAATCTCAAGAAACAGTTTTCTAAAAAATAAATCAGAAGTTTTATGTTTGCTGAATTCAGTCAGCAGCATATTGACACTAGACCGCACTAAGAACCATGGTGGAGACTTCAGTTTGGTGAAGGTATAATTCAGGAAAGGTTTTTTGCAACATTTATTTATTTATTGATTAGCATTAGTTAACAAAAAAGTATAACAATTGTTCACTACTTACGTAGAACAAAATAAAATAAAATCTACTGCTAACAATTTTGACGCACGATGGTGAAACAATAAAACTTTTAAGCAATACAATTAACAATTAATTAATCAATACTTAGTGGCCTTTCTCTTTTCTTATATTAAGTACTTAATACTAAAATTACTGTCTACTATCCAACTTGTAATTTGCCTTTTCAATTTACAATAAGATTCCGATTTTAGGTTTTGGGGTAGTGAGTTGAAAACTTTTGGTCCTACACAGTAAATATGATTTTGGCAGATAGTATGCCTGGGGATGCCTCGTACCAGATTATTTTGAACTACATTTCTAGTATTTATGCCGTGTGTTATATTTTGTCTATAGTCAATGTTTCTTAACATATACCTTATTACTGATGTATATACACATGAGTATGAGCATTGTATAGTAAGGTTTCCTAGGAGTATGTTGATTATATATTGGAATTCTATTTAGCAGGTTATCAACAGGATTTGCATATACGGTGGTTGTGTATGAAAGGAGAAGCGTATCTCAACGAAGTTGGAGAGGAAGTTCTCGAGATTCACAATATAAAGAGTCAACTGGACCTGTTCTAAAAGCTCCTAGGCATATACGAATTGCTGTGTTGTAAATGGTATTTAATTTTTTCAGTGTTGTATAGCAACAATACTTCCATAGTCTAGCTTAGATCGTATAAATTCTATAAATTCTCAAAAAAGTTAATTCGTCAGCACCCCATTTATGATGAGCTAAAGATTTCAATATGTTTAGGCCTGTCATGCATACTAATTTGATTTCCTGAAAGTGGTGCTTCCAAGTTAGTTTGTAGTCAAAAATTATACCCAAATACTTATAACTATTGACTGATTGTATTGGTATGTGGTTTAGAGAAAGTCTAGCAGCACACTGATTCCTTCTGGGACTTAATTTCATCAATTTAGTTTTGAAATGTGAAAATCTGAATATCATTCAATTGGCCCAGTTTGAGATTTCATTTAATGCATGTTGAAGCATATTATGTTATAAGTATGCAGATATATCTAGTTTCCTTGCTAGTATTACCTGATCGTGAAGTTTGAACAAATGCCTTAGCAATTGTCAACAAAGACAATTTTTGATAATTCTTCAGATGATACTTCATAATTTGTTCCAACTTCACAATCAGGTAATACTAGCAAGGAAACTAGATATACCATACTTATAACAGTATTACCTGATCGTGAAGTTTGAACAAATGCCTTAGCAATTGTCATAAAAGACAGATTTTGATAATTCTTAAGATGATACTTCAGAATTTGTTCAAACTTTATGATCAGGTAATACTAGCAAGGAAACTAGATATATCTTGTTAAAAGTATGCAGGTATATCTAGTTTTCTTGCTAGTATCACCTGATACTTTTAACATATTACATGTGGTATTCAATTCTCGTTCAGATTAGTAGAGAAGATCATCAGCAAAAAATATTGATTTAACTGGGTGACTTGTGTTTAGGCAGATACTGTTTATAGCCAAATTAAACAAAGTAGGACTTGAGGGCCTCTATTTTCAAATATGACTTGCCTAGATGTTACAACATTCAAAAAGACATTAGTAGTTCTTCGTGATAAGAAATTGGATATGAAGGCCAGGATATTTCCAGATAGATTGATTTCTTGTATTTATCAGGGTCTCTATGTAGCATCAAACGCTCCTTCAATAGGTATTCAAAAACACTGCAACCACTCTTTGTTTCAACGCAAAAGCATTGGCAACTTCTGACTGGCGAATAACTACCTACGTTGTAAAGTGTACTACGATGCAGACGAAAACCTACTTGAATTGCAGTTTAATATCTGGTGTTTTTTTAGATACCAAAAAAGACATTTATTGATCATTTTTTCAAATAGTCTACACATATTGCACTTCAAAGATATAGGGCTAGAGGAGTTTGGTTCAAGCGTAGTAGAGTCCCCTTTATGAAATGGCGAAATAGTTGAATGGCACCATTGTAATGAAAAGGTATGACTTATCCAAATTATATTATATAATTCCGAAAGCTTTTCTAGGCTAGACGAAGAGAGATTTTTCAGAACAATTAAGGGTAAATCATCCAGCAGCGGTGTTTGTACATGTGTGTAGAGCTTCAATCAATTCCATGGTAGAAATGAGTAGATTAAGAGCGTCAGAGTATGGTAATTCCCTAGTAGGAGCCTGTTGGAAATTCTGTGGAGCATGATCGTTTTTTGATTTAGACTGGTAATAATCAGCAAGAATATCTGCCATTGATTTGTTATCATTAATGATTTGATTTCCCAACTTTATTGCAGGTACTTTATGCTTTGTGAATTCACCTTGCATTTGTTTAATTTTAGTCCAAACTTGTTGTGAAGATGTAGTGGATGTAAGAGTACTAACATAATCTTTTCAAGAATCCTTCTTACTATCTTTTAAAATTCATCTAGATCTCTTAGTCTTCCAAATTCTATCAAATCGTGTTGCGTTCTAGTCCTACGATACCTATGTAAAACGGTCTTAGATGCTCGTACTGCTGAGCTGCAACGTTCATTCCACCAAGGTACTGTCTTTCTAGTAAAAGCAATGTATGTGTAATGTATTATGCTGAAGTTATACAATTTTTAAACTGTTCATTGGCTAGACTGATATCATTTGAGTGAACAAGATTATCAATTTGCATTTGCGTACATTTTCCAAAACTATCTCAATCAGCAATTTTGATTTTCCATTTCGAGATAATAGGTCTGTTTCTGCAGAAATCACAAACCAGTCAGAGCGAATTTCATTGGTTGAACACCTTGAAAACAGTCAGTTTCAACCAATGAAATTCACTCTGACTGGTTTTTGATTTTTGCAGAAACAGACCTTATATTGTCTCGACGTAGGAGCATCACTAGCAATTAAATACATTAGGAAAATGATCACTATCATGCAGATTGTCAAGAACATGCCAACTCTGAGCTGTGGCGTTGTTCTTGAGTCAGCAAAACTCAAATCGATCGAAGAGAAAATGATATATTAAAGAGTGTTTCCTGTCCTGTATTGAAGAGACAAAGGGCGAATTTCATTGGTTGAAAACATTCAGAAACAGTCAGAAAACTAATTTCAACCAATGAAATTCGCTCTGACTGGTTTGTGATTGTTGTGCGAACAGGCCTATTATTGTGAGCATTAAAGTCATCTGTAATTAGAAATGGTGAAGGTAGCTGACTGTAAATTTTCTAATTGCTCTTCAGTTGCATTATAATCAGGTGGTATGTAAATATTACAAATAGTGATCAATTTTGGACACCATACGTTGACAGCAATCACTTCGAAATCGGTGTTAATAAATAAATCATGTGAAAAAGATAGATGTACCACCACTTGCTCTAATCACAGGCTAATCTCATCTGATGATAGCTTACATACGATTTAAGAGACTTTTTGTGTTTTTCGTTAAAAATACTTTCTTATATCAGATACTATTTGCTGTACAGGGTGTTCCGAAATTAATGCACCAAATTTTTATGGCATATTCTACGTCAAAAATCAGCCCTAGTTTCCTATATAGGTAAACATATGTCTGGAAACTTTACGAGATACAGGGTGTTCAAATTCTAAGAAAAAAACTATTTTTCTATCATAATTTTCAAACTACTCTAGATATTTCATTGAAATTTTGTACACTGCTTTCAAGCAGCAAAAGACATTTTTTGATGTGAAATATTTGAAAAAAAAAAATCAGTGACGTCACAGAAATAATTTGAAACTTTAGGTGTTTAATGTTTAGCATTTTAATCATAATTTTCACGATTTCGCCATGCCCCAAAATGGTTCTTTATTTTTTATTTGAAAATGGTGCATCTTTCAGAAAAAAGTGTAAAAATCAAATTTGTTCCAAATTGAATGGGGATTTCAAAAATAATTTTTATTTTAGAAAAAAGCAGTGGCGCACCATTTTTTTCTTGAAAAATATTCCATAGAAATCTGGTACGGACGTCACTGGTAATTTTTTTTTATAATTATTTTATATCAAAAAATGTCTTTTGCTGCTTGAAAGCAGTGTACAAATTTTCAATGAAATATCTAGAGTGGTTTGAAAGTTATGATAGAGAAATAGTTTTTTTCTTAGAATTTCAACACCCTGTATCTCGGAAAGGAAGCGTTTCCGGACATATGTTTATATAGGAAACTAGGATTTATTTTCGATGTAGAATATGCCATAAAAATTTGATGCATTAATTTTGGAACACCCTGTATATCCTCAATGCGAGGGTACAAACCAACGCAATTCCACTGAAGAATTATTGAAAATTAATAAAAGGGTCAGTTACTTTACATCTTGAAACGGTTGAGAGCAATCTGAGAAATGGTCATCATCACTGGGATGAATTGACATATCTTTTTTTACAGTTGCATTTTTATTTCCTTATACATTAATATGTATATTGCTGGTTTTGATAACATCTAAATTTTATTCTCGTTGAATTTTACTGTTGAAAGTTAGTCTTTTGGAGTTCCAGATAGGTTCCAAGAGCTAGACTTTTATTAATTATATTGCAACGGTAAGTTAAAAGGACTGGAGAGGCAAATAGAATGGTAGATTACAGCCTCTAATAAGAATTTTCACAGGGTGTTTATCTGGGGTTTTTCATTTGTAATAATGTTTTCTGGGAAGTAGGAATTATTACAACCTGAGAATTAACCCGAGACATGCAAACATTATTTGAAAATCTTTACTGGCAAATGGCACATCATTATATCCATTGATAATATATACATGTAGTAGACTAATAAATAAATTGAATTTTGTAAATGAAACAAAAACTCCAAAGATTACTTAAAATGTATTACAAGAAATAAAATAAGTATAAACTCATTTTTTCTCATCACACCTCTCCGAAACTCATGTGCCCAGTAGTTTTAGCGTGCGATTGTGCTTCAACTTGCCCTCTAAGCATTACATTACAAACCATACACTTGAGGGTGAATTTATTAACGTCTGTATATTGCCTACTGGATTTTGCTTCTTGCGCCAGAGTCAGAGCATCCCTATACACTCTTTCGTCAGCAGTTTCAAATAATGTCTGTATTTTTTCACCCTAAAATAAAATCTTATATTCACTTTGTTTGGAAAATAGAAATCTATATTTACATTAAAAGGTTCCAAGTATAGAGGATCGTAATGGATGCCGTCAAACATCAAAAAAACTCTAACAGGATAATTTTGGTCTTCTCCAAATCTATTAATAATAGCATTAATAGTGTCCACAACTGCAATTTCGATTCCGTAATAATTAGCTAAAATTGCCAGCTCTATAGCGCCACCCCACGAAGAGTCGTTTTGTATCCAAGTGCAATATTCAGCTACTGGTTTACCTAATATAGCTTCGTCATAGTTTTGAACGTCATTGCGTATAGTTTCTGCTACTAGTTGTCTTAAATAAGGAGCAGCCTCTCCAGTTTCATCCACTTTACCATTCAAGACAAAGTGAACGCTAGTAAATAGGCACGAATTATCAGCTGCTACGACTTGTTTTATTAATATACCTTCACTTGGTGGGTCTTCAGTTGGCGGTGGTGGTAGAGCGATGCTTTGTGAAGGCACTGCATTAATTTGTGTAGATTTTTCTATATTTATAGTAGAGCTTTCTTGTAATATAAGAGCATCTCCGGTTGCTAATCCAGCATTTCCTAAAAATTGTTTGTGATTAGCCAATGAACTTTTATTATAAATTTTGGTTACCTAAACTCAGATCGTCCTTGCTAATGTCCAAAGTCTTTGGTGGAAAGCCAGTCAGCACCTGAAGACGATTAACAGGAATATTCGATATCAAGGAAAGGATCTGCTTCAACTCTCGTATCGTGCTCTCTTTGCTAAGGCTGTTTATTACTTGTTGGCCAGTTTTGGTTTTTAATTTTAACGAGATATTTGTCATTTTGTATTTTTAATTTTTTCTATTGTTTTGAAAATTTTAGATTTTTTGACTTTTGGGTTTGTTTACAATTAGTTGACAAAAAAAAATCTGTCTCTCTCTCGCTTACGCCTTTCCCTACTTTCCGTCTCTCTCGTGGATCTGACAAGTGAATTTGAAAACTCTCAAGATATTCGGATTCTGATTGGAGAACGGTTTATCGACATAGGTCTCGATACTATATGCTTTCTCTACTTCGTTTTCAATAGCTTTGTTCCAACCCAGCCAAAAACCGTACAATGTACGGTCACGGTCATGCGCCATAGGTTAAACGCGTTCCAACCGAGAGATGATCGTTTACCGTACAGTTTCGTTGGCGTTCCAACCAAACCTGGGATCGTTCGAGAAATGGTTTTAGCACCGTCATTTCGATCCCGAGTGGAAAGCAAGAACCGCGTGGACTGATTCATGACTGACATGCGTAATTCAATTTTTGTCACCTGTTTTTGTTGTTCATGTTGTTGTTAAACAACCAATTTCCAATCTAACTTATAAAACTGTAGCATTTTTATTTTTTCAAGTGAATAAAAGTACAAAATTTATTATCAGCTATTTGCTAAACCTTGATGTTATCGGCTTGCAAGGATTCAGTTTTAGATTCTTGATAATGTATCAGCGTTGGTGTTTGATTTTCCTTTTTTATATATTATTTTGTAATCCTAATCCTATATTCTTCTATTTTAATTTGCAAACAAACAAATTTAGGGTTAAAGTCTCGGTTAAAGTTATTTGAACTGTCGTCCTTACGAAAACAATCATGAAACCGTTCCAACTACCCGTTGTTTCTGTACCAAGATAAAACCGTGCAAGGTCAACGCATGCGCCTGCAATCGATCCTAACAGTTCCGAAACCGTTTCATGACGATACGAAAACGGGGGGTTGGAACGAACCTAATAGCTTTGTTCCAACACGCCAGGAAACCATACACTGTTCCGTCACGATTCTGCGCACAACCTAAAATTTGTGCGTAGAACATGGTAGAACCATCGTAGAACCAAATTCGTAGGTCTTTAGTGGTTTCGAAACCGTTCATGGAACGGTTTTTTGACGTGTTGGAACAGACCTAATACTGATATGAAGAACATATCATATATATCGATATTTCGCCCTACTCTTATTGAAATTCAGAGATCCATATTTTCCGGTTGATTGTTATTGTTTATTTGTTTGTTAATTATTTCTATAATTATAAATTAATATTTAAACTGATGGCTCTCCTAAACTGATAGTTTAGTTTAGTTTTCCTCTTAATTTTATACTTTGAACATTTACCAGTTACCAAAAATAGCTACAGGCAGCTCTATTCAACTCAGCTCAAATATTTTCAAATTTAGAGAATATGGAGCAATGTAGACTTTGCTTGACTTCAACAAATCAAAGAATTTGTGTAACAGACAATTTAGAACTTATTGAAAAAATAAAGGAAGTTGCTACTATTGAGGTAGGTAACTGTTTATTTTTCTTGAAATTTATAACATAAATCCGAGGGGTTTTTCACCTGACAAAATTTGTACACCGATTAACAGTAGGTACTAACAGATATTTCCATGTATTAACAGATATTTCTATGTACCTAATAACAAGTTATTGCCAACTATTTCCATGTATTAGGGCCAAATTATGAACTGACTGGTAAACGTTTGGTTGTTTCCTAGTAGGTACTTTCTATGCTCTAGATAATAGATAGTACCTACCTGCTAGGTTACAACCAGATACTTACGAGTTGGTCTATAATTTCGCCCTTAACAAAATATTTTGACTTTGACTTATTTCCACATATTGCTAGGTATTTCCCTAGTATTATCACATATTACCAGGTATTGCCATGCTATTGATAGATTAAAATCAAATTTTTGCCTTACCAGAAGTCTAGGTATTGACATATCCACAGGTATTTAGATGTTATTAATGGGTATCAACCAATGACATTAACATACAGTGTGTCCACTTAGGTTCGCAGCATATGGGAAACTTTTCTATTATCAATTTAAAAAAAAAAGTGATTCTTTTTAAAAGTTTCTGCTTCTTGAAAACAATAATAAACTACTTAAACTTGAAATAGCATGTATAGGGTGGTCAAAAAATAGAAAAATATACAGGGTGTTTCCTAAGTACGGTTTGTAACTTCAGGATGTGATTCCTTACAATATTTTAAGAGAAAAAGTTTCCATAAACATGTGTCCGGAAATGCATAGTTTCTGAGATACAGTTTTAGAAAAAAATTATTTTTCAGCTCAAAAATCCCTTTTCTAATTTTTTTTTTTCAAATTTGGCAGGTTTGTTTGTGATAACGAAAGGTATCTTTTGACTGTGATATGACTCGCTTAAACTGAAAAAAATATCAAAGGTTTTAAAAAATAGTGACGTGTCTCATTTTCTTTCTTCTTTTACCAAAAAACCCTGTTTTTTTTTCTTCTATATTCTGACCACCCTGTACATGCTATTTCAAGTTTCAATAGTTTAAAACTATTTTTTCAAAAAGCAGAAACTTTTATAAAGAATAACTTTTTTTTTGTAAAATTGATAATAAAAAAGTTTCCCATATGCTGCGAACTTAAGTGGACACACTGTAAATTGCCTAGATATCTACAAGTATTGACATAATATATTACCTACATAATTAACTTATCCGTTCACAATCCAATGTCCACAGGTACAGGTAAAATTTATCACCTTTCAATGCTATTCGATAGGGAAAGGTGATAAATTTACCTGCACCTGTGGACATCGGATTGTGAACAGGATATAGGTATTGCATAGTATCGACACTATTGACATAGTATTTACCTGGGTATTGGCATAGATTAACCAGTGATTTGTACACCGATTAACAAGGTGAAAAACCCCTTGCATAAATCTCTATATTCTTTTATAGATAACCGTAGAAGACAGACACACAAAATTCGTTTGCCTTCAATGTATAAGAAAAATAGAAAATTGGCACGCTTTCAAAGTGCTTTGCCTAAACTCAAAAACATTCTTAGAATCTATATCTAACATAGAAGAGAATCGTATTGATGCAATATCCCTATCATCAAACAATGAAAAAACTGATCAATTAACTGACACTGACGATCAAGATTCAATTGAAATTAAAGAGGTACAACTCCAAGCAATAATAGAAAAAAGTGAGGAAAAAAGTCAGCTTTACACTTGTGATTTTTGCAATCGAGAATTCGATTACTTTTTGGATTATTTGGATCATCAAGAAACACATGACGGTCAAACGACGTGGTCCTGCACAAAGTGCAAAGAGGTGAGATGTTTTCACATTTAAAAGCTAAAAAAAATGAGAATTTTTCAAAAATTCCAGACCTTCACTAACAGAATTGATCTTCACTATCATGAAAAGAACCATAAATTTCCTTGTCAGATTTGTGGGACTTTAGTACTACCTCAGAGCATGAAATTGCATTTGAATATGCATACTGATAGATTCAAGTAAGAATTTTTTTTTTAAATAAGGTGGGGTGTGAATTCAATTTTAGGCTCGGTTTATTCATCTTCAGATAAACTTGCTGGTAACTATCTTCAGGATAAATTTAGTATTCTATAATTCTATTGGAGATTACTCGGGAGATTCAATACCTGACAGTTTATCAGAACATGAATAAACTGGCCCTTACTGTTATAATTTGCTAAATTTTTCTTCTATTAATCATTATACATTTTTTTGGGAATCACATAGTAATCAGTCAAGTATATATGGAAATTGCTTGGGAGACAGTTTATCAGAACATGAATAAACTGGCCCTTAGTGTTATAATTTGCTAAATTTTCCTACTATCAAGTTTTCTTCTTCCTACCACACTGAAGGGGTAAACCACTAGTTGGAATCATTATACATTTTTTTGGGAATCACATAGTAATCAATCAAGAATGTATGAAAATTGCTTGGGAGACCCTGGTAATTGAATTTGAATTTTCAGACCACAAATCTCAGTTATTAGCATTTGAATTGAATTTAAATCACAGTTTTATAAATTTTGAACTTAGACAGTTCAGACCGCTGACTCAGACGTGTATGTTTAATTTTTATGTAAAGTTGATTGGAATACTGGAGAAATCTTACTTGCATTCCTTTCCATTAAAGACCTTTAAAGTTAGAACCAATGAACCTGGTAATGCGGCTCCTAGTTTGACAACAATTTAAGGATTATGCATGATCGACTTAGGTTGCTTGGTGACATCAGTAGGCAATATAAAAGTCCCGTGGCCATTCAAGAGTACAAATCTTATAAAAGAACTTACACAAATGCAATTAAAACAGCAAAAACCACATATAATGATAACATAACTCAGTCCGCAAAAAAACCCGTAAAAGCAATGTAGAAAATCATAAACAAATCAAGAAATGTAGACTCTCGCGAGGAAGTTAGTTCATCTAGTGATTTTAATAAATACTTTTGCAGCATTGCATAGGATCTCACTAGCAAGATTGGTCCGAACGAGCTTGGTCCTTTACATTACCTAAACCACATGATTTCTCCACCTAATATTTTCAACTCCTGTATCCTGCAGTGAAGTTAGGGATATCATAGACAACTTTGAAAATAAGGCCAGCAGTGATATATTTGGTTTGAGCATCAAATTGATCAAATTCATTAAGAATATTATTATCATTCCCCTAACCAGATTAATTAATTCCTACTGTTTTCGCCAAAATGTTTTTCCTGATATTCTGAAGAAAGCTCTGAGAACCGATGCTTTACTGAATGCCAGTTTGGTTTTTGAGCGGGCAGATGTACTACATTGGGTAGGTATATTGAATCTCATTGCCGATATTGTGGATTCTTTTGACAATCTCCAATTTAGTGCTGTGCTTTTCTGTGACCTAAGTAAGGCATTTGACTGTGTTTCCCATGAAATCTTGCTGAGCAGGCTAGTACACTATAATTTTGGTACAGACAGTATTAAACTCATAAATTCTTATCTGGAAAACAGATCCCAAACTGTCAGGGTGGGTGGAGTGTGTTCTGCGGAAAGGGTTGTAAATATAGGTGTGCCCCCAGGGTCGATCCTATTTATAATCTATGTAAATGATCTTCCCTTTAACAGTGATCAAGAAAAATACAACCTTTTTGCGGATGACAGCACAGTCTCCATATCAGCGGGATCGGTTGATCAGGCAGTCTCACAGCTTGAAGACACTCAGGAATCAGGATAGAGTGAGGGACTGGTTTAATGCTAATAAGCTGGTCCTGAATGAAGACAAAACAGAGAGATTGATTTTCTCCATCAGAGACTCTAGAGGTATTAATAAAAAAGGGAAGATTGTTCGATTTCTTGGAGTGCTCAGTGACCCCACTCTGAGATGGCATGCGCAAATTGATCAAGTTTCAACAAAGCTTAGCAGGGCTCTCTTTGTACTTTGTAATCTCTCCCAGAGTGTCTCAGATAATGTTCTGAAAACTTCATACCATGCTATATTTCACTCTGTTTTGACATATGGTATTTTGGTTTGGGGTCACTCCCCCCTTGTGGCCAGACTTTTTAGACTTCAGAGAAAAGCTATCCGAATCTTGGCTGGGTTGGGCTTCAGATCAGGGAGGACTGTAGACAGGCCTTTGGGAGTTTAAATATAGTTACTTTACCATCTCACTACATACTTGAAAATCTGTTGTATGTGAAGAATGAGAATAAATTCGGGGTGCATGGTGGAGTCCACAGCTATGACACAAGACAGAAAAATTTGATTATCCCAGTCATCCCAGCTTATCATAGGTTGAAAAGGTGTCAGGACGGACTGGGCTAGACTGGGCTATCTGTCAATTAAATTCTATAACATGCTTCCGAATTCCATGAAAAGCTTAGAACAAAACAAATTCAAGAGTAGGATTAAGCAACTTTTGTGTTCAAATTGTTTTTACTCGTTTCAAGAGTTCCTTAGGTATAAGTTTTAGATGTGTCCTTTTGACAACAAACTTTGCTGTGATTTGTTTTTTACTGTCTTGTATTTTAACTGTACTGTTTCTAAAATAAGCTTGTGAATGACGGATCTTTGTACTTATGTATAATAGCACGAATAAATTGAGTATTGAGTATAGGCTCAAATTGAAGCCAAGGGAAATTTTGATGTTTTTTTCTGAAATTTTCAAGTAAACTTTAGTAAAAAAATTATTTTGAGTGTACAATAACTGCTTTCCAGATGCAAATTGTGTGATATGAAATTCACTTGTGCCTCACTACTACGAACACACATCGATATAAGGCACAAGAATTTGAAAAATTATTTTTGTGAAACTTGTGGGAAAAACTTTGGCACGAAAACTTCTCTAACCTTGCACGCCAAAACCCATAGTGACAAAAAGGAATACAAATGTGATGAGTGCAGTTACGCAGGCAAAACTTCCATAGGGCTCAGAATTCACATTTCAAAACACGAAAAGGGTACTTATATTTGTGAATATTGCTCCAGCGTGTTCAAGAGCAATCGAAATTTGAAGGATCATTTACGCAGAGTTCATCAAGACAGGAAATACGCTTGCGATATTTGCTCGATGCGATTTGGTTTAAGGTATTGAGACATAATATTTTAAAAGTAGATCAATACAAATGAAATTTTTAGGTATTTGGTAGAGCAACACAAAAGAACACACACAGGAATTCAGCCTTATAGTTGTGGAAAATGCGACAAGTCTTTTGCTAGATCTGATGGGCTAAAAGAACATCAGCAAATCCATGGAAGAAGGGAGACTTTTAAATGTGAACCATGTGCAAAAGAATTTAAAACAAAACGAGGTTTAAGAAGGCATAATTGTACTTTAGGTGAATAAAGAAAATAAAACACACATTTATTGGTAAAGTTTTATTAAAGAGATCACAATTTACAAAATAATACTAATTTAACAAGTCCCTTACATTATAAAGTGTAATAAATTATTTACAGTGTAAAAACTAAAAAATAATTAATTAGTAACTGTGCATATTTTTGGCAAAATTTTAAATTTGCCATTCAAATAAAATATGAAATTTCAACTAAATATATTAATATTTAAATAACACTACACACCTGCACCGGTTTCATTTATAACTTTTGTCTAGGGAGCAGTTTAAAATTGATATAAAATACTCGATAATAGTATATTACAATCCGAGACGAGAAATGCTTCATTGCTGATCGAGAGGTTATATAGTTTATCGAGACGCGTAGCGTCGAGATAAAATGAACCTCGAGACAGCAATGAAGTTTGCCGTCGAGGTTTGTATACTATTTTATTTTTAACCATAATTTCTTTCTCAAATAAATGAGGACGGGAAATATTTCCCTGCTCCATTTTCCGTCCGTGGACGGGAAATGAGGACGGAAAAAATTTCCCGTCCTGGGATAGGTAATGGATTAGGAAAGTGGAAAGACAGAAATGTGACATTTTCAAATTTTTGAAAAGTCAGTAATGACAACATTTCATATATAGTTAAAAATAAAATATATTGAAATGATACTAGATTTATTTGGGAGAAAAATCAATTGCAAAACCAAACAAAAATTAATCAAATTTCAGATTAGGAATGGGATATTAATGTAAGCTGCTCCTTAGACAAAAGTTGAATTAAATTATATCCAAAAGACAAAAAAACAAAAATTAATTATTACTTTTATCCAAAAAATATGGCCTGTACTTTTCCTTAGACTTGACATCAGCCTCATCCTTGTCAGTCTGTTTAGTAAAATTCCCATATTGCCTATAGGGACTTGGAATTGTTGCATAGTTTATATGCACCAGTTTTGTATCCAAAACTTCGCAATCGATTTGCATCAATGGGAAATACGTTTGGGTTGATGTGTCTGTTGAATAAACCAAATATTTACCAGATTCTTGTCTGAGTCATACAATAACTTACCATTAGGAAACACAAAAGGCATAAGTAGTGACATCTTGGGGCGTCTAGTCTTATTGTGATGCAAAGCTGGTAGAAGCATATGCTGATCGCTGAAAGATACAACATAAAAAGTATCACCTTGTCTATTGATTGCATCAAAAAAGTCAGAATAAAGAACATCTTCTTTTGGGCTAAAAACTTGAATCTCATTTCTGGCTTCATTATCTGGCCCAAATCTTTCCTGCTTTTTTATTTGAGCCAAGGACATGTCAAGTCTCAATTTCTTTCTTTTCATCTTATTTATATTAGGTTTTGGTTTTGTTGGAGGAGGAGCAGGAATGTCATCTGGTTTACCAATCCACCTATAAAAAAAAATCATTCACAATTATTGCAACTTTGGATTATTTGCTATGTACTTACTTTTCTAATTCCAACAACAATCTAGCACTTTCGGTTTGATTTATTGAAGCAGGACACATTGGTAAAGGGGAAAAATAGGTTTTATTCTCAAATTCATTTGAATTATTGTTTTCAGGAGCCCACAATAAATTTCGGCCATAGTGGTTGCTTACTTTAAGCGAATTGCTTTGTGTTTTGTATAAATCTGGCTTGAAGCCAGGTGTGAAATTTCCCAAATTCAAATTTATTCCAACAACTAATAAAAATGCACACAAAACAATGGCTGGTTTTGAAATTTTAGCTGCAATATTATCAAATTGTAATTTTTTGGTAGTTTCATACATTGACAGTCTTTCTCTTAAACATTTATTCTCTACTGTTAGACGTTGGTTTTCATTTTTCAAAGCCTGAACTTGATCTTCCAACATGGTCAAGTACTCTTTCTTTTTTTTCCTTGATATGCTGGCTGATTCTCGGTTTTTAATCCTTCTTTCTTGTCTTTTTAGCATTTTTGGATCAATATTTCTATTATTATTATTAACTGTGACTTGGGGTATATTGACTATAGACTTATTTACGTAACTCAATCCATTTATATTATTAACAGAAATGTTATCTAATACCACAATTTTATTGCAATTGTTGGGTGTAAATTTGGTTTTAAGGTCTTTGATAAGTACAATGTTTGAATTTGCTGGTGGTACTCTAGGTTTAATTGGTATTCTTTTGATTGCAACTTTACTTTGAGGGTTGGTTTTTACAAATTCCTGTTTTGGCAAGATATTGGGTACTTGAGTCAAAGGTGGCGAATTTGATTTTTTTATTTGAATGTATGGAGGAGGTGTAGATGATTCTACAGAATTTCTCGAGGAGCAAGATTCATCAGAATGTACTTCTGTTTTGATGTTATTGTCATTTAATTCAGTCAATTGTACATTATCGATGCTGTCTTGAAGGAATAAATCGAGTTCTTTAATGTCTATGTCGTCTTTCATATCACAATCCTCTAAGTAGGGAGAAATAGGAGTGACTTCTGAGAGAATCTCATCTGGACTTTTATCCAGAAATGAACTTAGGATGCCCATTTCATCGTCACCGGGGTTTAAGAGGAGCGGAATATCCAAATCTGAGGACAGTTGGGTCATGAAATCTTCATCCGATATGCTTTCGCTTGAACCTTCAAAATTGTCTACAAAAAATCAAGGAAACTTATTGGATATTGTGCAAAGCATGAGTGTTACAAACGATAAAGAATTCATAGTGGGTGAACAATGAAACCATATCAAATAACAGCAGCTATTACCTGGAACGAATGAATTGTCAGTACTACATGACTCCGGAGAACTTTTAAATAAGTAATCTTGAGTAAAATTATCTGGAAGTACATTCACGTTTTCGTACCACATCATGAGCAATTATTGGACTCACGTTATCAAACAACACTAGAACAATTGTATTTTTTTATGCTGGAAATTCATTATCCGGTTTCTTTTAATTATGTGTAATTAGTCAGAAAAACACAAAAACATGCTTATTGATTGCTTCATGGCATTGACACGACAGTTCAAACGAAACCACCCACGCAAGCAAGTTTTCATTCGCATCTGCTCCACCTGCTCTATGCAATTCTCGACTCCTGAAACTGCTTACACTATCGACACATTCATCGTGTTCGGTCATAAATTGGATTGAAGAGTGAAAGAAAACACTTAACTTGGTTCGGCTTGCTTACTCCGTAAATTCTTATTTCTTTGGCCTCTCGGCTTTTCAGAGTGAATAGAGTAACTACGTCCACGTTCTGTTCGTTCGAACAAAACTGCTCCAACTCTTTGTTGATTCAACGGAAAGGAAAAAGAAAGCGCCACCGGTTGACAGTAATGACAGTTGTTGTCATGCTGGCTGTCGATGGATGTCAAAAATCTACTTGTTTACAATTTGTAAATAAAATAAGATTTCAATTAGTTTAATTTATTTTTGTACTCTCTCAAAATTACAATAAATTCAAACTCGCAGAGGTCGTACAGGGTTTAGAAATCCAATGTAATGCTTTGTTTAATTTCGTTTTACTTTTAGCTTTAAGTATTTTTTTTTACAAAAATTTTTGTGGGTGTTTTCAAGGAGTGTAGTGGCGAATACGTGATGGCTGATCCTCTGACGGCGGAACAAGAAAATGTAAGTTGGATTATAGGAGGATAAAAGAGCCTCTGTTGAACTCTAATACTTTGGTTTACTAGTATTCATATTGTGAAGTTTTGTATCAAAAACACCCATACATTAAATAAGTTTCTTGCAATTTGTTAGTATACATACCCACCTACCTAATTGCTTAGTTTACAAAAGTTTTAATTATTAGGATGTGACTCATCAATTTCAAAATTTACTGATTTATCATTGTATGAAGCAACTCGAGAATATTGCAGCTAGGGTCATTGTATTTTAGGGGACAGGAAGCAGCCTCACAAAAATACTGATATTTCTGATATGAACCACAAATGACTCTCAAGAAATTTGGAAATTTCAATCAGAACAAAAAAATGTACTTATATTACCTATAGCCTACTCTAGAACAGAATTTTTTCAAAAATAATTTGCACAGTCTATCCACATGTGAAGAAGAATTTAATTTTCTGTACCTAATGCAAAATTAACTTGAGAGTTATAAATACATAAGTATACATTGGGTAACATTGGTATACATACATAAATTTAAAGAACGTAAACAATTTACACGAAGATCATTTATGTCCATAAAATTTATATTTACCTAAATTACTTTCTGGAAAAAATAATGTTTGTGTTAACTAAAATTATCTCCAAACTTGATTCATAATTGTAAATTTCTAATGGTTGAGAACTTTTCTCTCCAAAACTATTTTTATTTTATTTTATTTTTATTTTATTGATTCTCTTTACAAACACCAATAAATGGTAATTACATGTGAAGGTAATAAATACTAAGTAATACAATCTACAATCTACATATCAATATAATTAAAAACATAATTTAAGAGAAAAACAAAAAAAAGAACAATTACTTACAACTACAACAACAGAGTACGAAGCACCAGCCTCAACTGTACCTCCGAGATACTGAAAATATCAAAATCCATGGTTTCAACAATACTGTTACACATCTGGAGCATGTTATTAAAAGGCGATACACTACCATAATTAATTGTGAACAGTTTACGATTCAATTGCCTTAAATAAATCTTAGGAACATTTAAGTTTATAAAGTTAATTAACATACAGTTTTTGTATTTGATGTTCTTAACAATACAGAATACAAACATCACAGCTTGTATGTTTCGTCTGTCTTCTAATCTAACAAGTTTAAAGCTATCTAGCATAGATCTGTATGAGACCATATAAGGGTATGCATTATTCATTCTCACATATAAGTAACGCAAGAACCATTTCTGAACTTTTTCAATTTGATTAATATGAGTTGCTGCTGATGGCATCCATATTTGTAATGCATACTCCAAATGTGGCCTCACCAGAGCATTATAGAGCCTGACAATTACGCTTATCTGGAAATTTCCACTATTTCTGATTACAAACCCCAATGACCTAAAGGCCTTTCTCACAATATGGTTGAAATGGGTATTGAACTTCATGTTAGTCTGAAAATACACTCCCAGGTCCCTAACTTCATTACTACGACTAATTTTTTCTTCACCTATATAATAGTTAACAATAGACACATCAATCTTTCTAGTAAAGGTAACTGCTGTACATTTTTTGCTATTCAACGACATTTTATTCAATTGAAACCAATCAGTCACTCTCCTCAAATCAGACTTTAGTTGCTAGTGATCTTCAGGAGTGTAAATAATCTTGAAGAGTTTAAAATCATCCGCAAACATAAGGCAATTTGAGTGTCTGACCACATCTGGGCAGCGAGTTGATAAAAATTAGGAACAATAAGGGACCTAAATTGCTACCATGTGGTACTCCGGATGTGGCTATGTAAGGGTCAGAGACACACTTACCAATTTTCACTCTTTGTTCACGGTCATCTAGATATGATTTTATAAGAAGACATGCATCACCCGATAGACCACAATCAACCAGCCTGCACAGAAGAATTGAGTGGCTTACCTTATCAAAAGCCTTTTCGCAGTCAGTATAGACTACATCCAGTTGGGCTTTATCATCAAACGCCTTTGCTGAACATTCAGAAAATAATAATAAGTTTGTGACAGTTGTCAAAGTCAAAGTCAAAAAATGCTTTATTGTCTAAGAACAAAATTCTCGTTGACAAAGCTGTAAAAGGGGAAAAAGAAAACATTATACAAAAATAATTCCAGGGCCATAGAGTACCAAGATTGAAATAATCAAAATAAAAATATAATACAAGGTCAGACTAAAACAATAAAATCATTTAAACAGTAATTAAAACAAAAGATGAAGTCACTTTAAAAATCAACATAAATATAAACATAAATCAACATAAATACAAAAACATGTTCATTCTAAAATATAAAATACAAAATATCAAAATTGCACAAACGTAAAGTCAACAGACATAGAAGTCATTAAATAAAACTACAAATTATATTCAGACAGTCACAACGTTGATCTGTCAGGTAAAAATCCATGCTGCTGTATAGCTATTTGATGACTTATATTATGAATATATAATTGGTTGAATAAGATCTTTTCGAAAATTTTTGCAGCCACATTAATGAGACTAATGGGGCGATAGTTTCCAGTTTTAAATACTGGCGACACTAAAGCTTTTTTGAATATGACTGGAAATTCTTTTTGTTTCAATGATAAGTTAAAAATATGAGTCAGGGGTTTTTTAAAATAATCAACCATACCCTTATAAATATATGCTGGAATCGAGGGGTCAACCACTTCCCGAAATACATGTACACTTGGCCCAAATTACCTCCGAAATACTTCGAAGTACCTAGAAATACCTTGAAGTACCTCGAAATACCAGGTATTCCCGTCGGAGTACGCGAAATCCCATGGAATTACCGTCGAATTACGCAAAATACCCTCGAATTACCACGCAAAGTCCCGCAATACTTCTAAAAAATTTATCGTTGATAACGATTCTTCTTGCAGATCGCAGTGAAGTATTTTTGCTCGGATTTTTGTGTCTTTAGATATGATATGATGGATTTTATTTTTCCTGTATTTTTTAGAAAATCCAAAATAGCAACTTGGAATATTTTTTCTTTTCTGGAGAATTCAAAAATGGTACCAAAAAATCGTTTGAACCAAAAACCAAAGAGTTACGCCATGGATAAACTGTTTCTTAAATAGAACGCCGTGTTTTCTCAGTTTTCTCGTATGATTTTTGAAAAAGTCTGATTTTTCACGCCGTCTATTCTGTTGAACATACATATTTGATTTTCCGAATGCTGTTTTTATTTTAATGTTTTATGCTTGGTTCATAAGTGATAAAGGTATAATCTTTGTATTTTGTTGCTATGTATTAAACAGGCAAAGCAAAAATAAATAAGAATAAAACAATAATAGTATATTACATACTGAGTAGGGAAATGTTTCATTACTGTCGAGAGATTTATATAGTCAATCGAGACGCGAAGCGTCGAGACTGACTATTATTCTCGAGACAGAAATGAAAACTTTCCTCCGAGGTTTGTATACTATTTTATTTGCAAGCACACCATTAATTACGATTAGTCAATCAATTTTTTCAATATTAAAAAAATAAAACAAACATGCCAAAATGTGTCATTCACTGCTTTGACGTTTTTACCTGAAATGTTCTCATTGTTGCCAGCAAAGGTAAATAAATTAGAGTGAGGGAAATCGGTGAGGGAAGTCGAATAGGGTAATCGGTGAGGGAAATCGAAGAGGGAAGTGACACAGGTAAAGTGTCACTTCCAAACTTTTAAAAAGTCAGTAATGACAAGATTACATATATGATTGCAAATAAAATAAAATAAAAACAGCTATGGGAATATCAAATATTTTCAACAGAATAGATGTAAAAAAATGTGACTTCTCCAAAAATCACACAAAAAACGGGGTGTTCCATTTAAAAAACAGCTCATCTATGGACCATGGCGTAAGTAACTTTGGTTTTTGGTTACCATTTTTGAGTTCTCCAGAGAAAAAAAATCCAATTGGCTATTTTGAATTTTCTCAAAAATACAGGAAAAGTCAAAAATAATCCTCTGTTCAGTCATCGTTGGATGACCCTGCATACTATTAACTAACTGACATTGATTACTAATACATATCAGGTATATACTTAGGCCCAGTTGTACAATCTTGGTTCAAAACAGAGTTCAGCTGAACTCGACTGGTACTTGAACTTCCCCATTTGAAATGCATTGCTGTCAAAATTGATAGAATTTGACTAATAGCTGACAGCAATGTATTTTAAATGGGAAAGCTCGAGTACCAGTCGAGTTTAGTTGAACTTTGTTTTGAACCGAGTTTGTACAACTGGGCCTTAGTATGTCTTTCCATTTGTTTCAATTAATCTGCAGTAAATTCAAAGTATGTCAACATATTCAGCCTGTTCGAAGATGGACTATAATTCTCATTCTATAATATTCCAATTTTGAGTGATAAAGAATTAATTGTTCTCGGTACATAAAAAAAAACTACTTTTAAAGAGCTCGAAATACCTCGGCTTACCGCGAAATACTTCGAATTACCTCGAAATACTTCAAATTACCTCGAAATACTTCGAGTTACCTCCAAATACTTCGAAGTACTCGGCAATACCACAAAAAACTAGGTTCGAATTACCACCACCGAAATACTTTCAATTTCGCGAAATACTTGCGAAATACCAACATTTCCGCAATACGTGTACAAATTTTTACAGAGTGGTTGACCCCTCGGCTGGAATGTTATCAGTTCCAGTCGTTTTCTTTGGTTTCAATTGCTTTATACTATCGTACACTTCTTTCTCAGATATACTAGAGAAATTAAACAAACTAAATAAATTATCACAGCCTTTCTGAAAAAATTGACTAGAATCCTGTTTTTCAAAAACGGATTTAAAATAATGAGCAAAGGCATTAGCTATATCATGGGCATTTGAGTGAAGATTACCATCATATATCATATTTCCAGGCACTCCTCCAGGACTTGATTTGTTTTTAACAAAACTCCAGAATGATTTCGGGTCAGAGTTGATGTTATTTTGAACTGCGACTTTTAATTTGCTTTCTTAAATCTTTGTAACTTGACATTACATAAATATTGGCTTTATTTTTTTGTATTAAATTGTGCATTCTATTCTTCAGTTTAATTTTGCGCACCAAATCAATGGAGTACCATATAGAACTTTAGTTTAGTGACTGTCTCCCTAACCACATACTTTGGTATAGCTCTATCCATACAATCATAAAATCTCTCATAAAACAGATCAAGGCTAGTACTGGCATTAAGACATTTCAGCAAATCTGACCAATCAATATTACTGATCAACTCATATAATAATAGAAAATTACCTCTAGAAAAGTTATATGAATAAGTTTTAGGTATACTACTTTCACCTATCTCCTGTTTGATATTTAATGAGAATAACAATGCAGGATGATATGGATCCTCAGGTACCAGGTGTTGGTCAGATCTGCCAACAGACAACACTACATCTGGCATAACTAAATCTAAACATCTATTCATAAAATTATTCACATTATTAACTTGAGCTATATTATGCATATTTAGGAACTCTTGTACCAATAAACTTTTCTCATTATCACAGTTCAGTATAGGAATATTAAAATCACCAACGACTAAGAGGCTATAGTCCTCATTATGCATCATTATGTCATCAAACAGATCAAAGTAGCTCTGATAATTCTCTACTTTAGAATTTGGTGGAAAATATACCACAGATATGTAAAACTAAGCAGAGAGAAACTTCAATTTTTGATCAACACTCGACCAGGTACATACTCTTGAGAATATTTGGACAGGAGAAGAATTTAAAAAGCCAAGACGCTCGCTATATTTACACCCTCAAATTTACAAGAACCTACTAGCCCCTCTACCAAAATTGAAAACGAGGGGTAAACCACTCCTCTAAAAAATGTACATGTATTGCAGAAATCCTATGATTTCTTGGCAATCATTGTGATTTCCAGGGCTGCCATGAGAATTTAAGAGATTTCGAAGATTGCTATGAAAATCCAAATGATTTCCAAGATTGCGGGACTGCAAAATGATTATTGAAGGACTGCAGAAGGAATTGCGAAAAAAATACTTGCGATTGCCACATTGATTTTGAGCGATTTCGGAGGCTGCGACGAGAAATTTAGACACGCACCTATGACCGCATTCACAAGATTTCTGCGACTGCAAACGTGATTTCTGCGACTGCAAACGTGATTTCTGCGAATGCGAAGAAGAATGCGGGATTATGGGCTATTTTGGCGACTGTCTAACGCAGAATGCAGGATTTCCTTGTGATTTCGAAGAAATTTTAATAAAATGTACATGTATTGCGGGGAGTGGATTGCCCCTCGATTGAAAACTAAAAGAAACCACCATAACACCATCAAATTGATCATTATTGGTCTGAAAATGCTAAAAGATAGCAGGGAGGGTAAATCTTACCCCCACTTTTTATTGTTTTAATGAATTTTTTAAGGATTTTTCATTATTTCTGCCAGCATTAGGAAGAATCTGTACTTAGAATCATTGAACAAAATTAATATTTTGCATTGCATATTATATAAAAAGTGGAAAGCACCAAATTCTATAGATATATTCCACAAGTTAAAATTAGGTAAGTAGTACAGCAGGAAATGGTAGGCACAATTCTGCTCAAAATTTCAAATTTGTGCAAATACCTAATCCAAAATTTGTGTACAGAGGCGTTTGGAAACCGTCCAGGGGGCGGTTTTCGAGTTGTTGGAATAGTCCTAATGTGGAAAACTCAAATTTGCCCCATTTATAGACTAGCTAAACTTTCATTTTATCGCATAATATACAGGGTGTTCCATTAAAAAAAAGTTGAATTTGTCTCCGTTTTTCCATTTTTCAATGCGATTCTGTTTCTTCTGATCACGGTAAAGGATAATATAGAAAAAAACTGTCAAGTTTGGTATATAACAAAAAATTCTATCTCAAATAGTAAAGGCTGTAGGAATGGGCTTGGATAGAATCAAAGACCCTGTACACCAAAATTCTAAGGTTGTTTCCTCTTTGTAAAAAAAACTTAAAACCTGAAAATACATACATACATATGTCAACTGTGAAGAAATACCGAACATCTAACCTTGAACAAAAAGGCGTAGAGGTTGAAATAAAATAATATACTTATGTATACAATAAAGTAAGATTGATAATGTGTGAATTATTAATTATTTTTAGAAAATTTTGCTGCCAAAACTGCTGAACATTTTGGTTCACCATGCACAAATGGTACTGGAAGTTATAGTCAGTACCAATATATATTGTTTAGGGTACCTAAAAAGACTTGCAAATAACTTTGAGGGTGGTTTAAGAGGGTGAAACTAATAGTTGCGATTCATCCAGAAAAAGGTTTTTGTGAAAATGTGGACATTTCCACTCTAGTCTTGGGCACAACTGGTGCTGGAAGGTATAGGCAGTACCGATATACACCGTTCAGGCCTTCAGGGTACCTAAAAAGACTTGTAAATAACTTTGAGGGTGGTTTAAGGGAGTAAAACTCGGAGTAAAACTAATAATTGCGATTTATCGAAAAAAGGGTTTTTATGAAAATATGGACGTTTCCACCCTAGTCTCGGGTACAAATGGTACTGGAAGTTATAGACAGTACCAATATACACCGTTTAGCGAGCCGTTTAGGGAACCTCACTTGACTTGCAAATTACTTTGATGGTGGTTTAAAGGGGTAAAACTAGTTGCCGAATTTTTCAGTGACATCTTTGTTTAATGCTCGGTTTAATGTTGGTTTACAATTTTTTTTATACTTTTTTCTCTTATACAGGGTTGTCGTTATGTATGGAAACGGCCAAATATTTCAGAACGCACTTAAGGAAAATGTACAATATTTCCTACCTGGCGGTTTTTGGGAATGCCCGATTCAATGATGGTATTTGCAATGTTGCCAAGTTTACTGTCCAGATTCCATATGTAACTTAATTTTTTTAAATGGAAGTTGTAATTAATTCAGCGTCCCAATATTACTAAAGCTCCTAAATGCCAAACCTCAATTTGACTCTGTTTTTGAAATATGAGAACACAGTTTTTTGTTGAAAAGTATGGAAACGGTCTCGTATTTCAGAACACGCTTTAGAAAAATGTCCAATATTTCCTACTTGGGCCTACCAGCCCCCCTATAAATCTTGAATACTCATCACTTTTGGCATTTGTCACATTTTCCTGAAGCCTGTTCTCAAATACTAAATCGTTTCCATACATTTCAACGAAAAACTGTGTTGTTATATTTCAAAAACCAAGTCAAATGGAGGTTTGGAATTCAGGGGTTTTAGTAATGTTGGGACACTGAATTAATTACAATAAAAATAAAGAGAGATTTTCATTTAAAAAAATTAAGTTACAAATGGCATCTTAGAAACGGTAAACTTGGCAACATTGAAAATACCACCATTGAATCGGGCATTCCGAAAAACCCCCAGGTAGGAAATATTGTACATTTTTTTCAAGTGCGTTCTGAAATATAAGACCGTTTCCATACATAACGACAACCCTATATATTACTCTTCACTTATTGCATTATATTTTTCCTACAACTGCCTCTGAAAATGGAGTTTTCGGTACGCTAGGCAACCTCTGAAAATCGAGTTTTTCGCACAGCGTTTTCATGAGAACGAGGGTTCTGTCTCCGTCATAACACTGACAATGACAGAGCAATCGTTTTCATTAGAACGCTGTTCCTCGGTTTTGAGAATAAAGTCCCTGCTGAGTGACTGAGCTTAGCCGCTGGCACAGCCTGAATGTACCGAATGTTTATTCAAAATTTTAGGCATAAAATAAAATAAAATGACGCCACTGATCAATCAACATTGTTCGGCAGTTTGGCTGCTAACTTTTATATTAGCTGCACATCAGTTAGACCAGGGTCGTATTCATTATTTTTTCCTTTAATTTCAAGGAAATTTTAGGAGAGGTTGCATCGTTGCATGATCATTTTATCATGAATCTTGTGTATCAAAGTTGTTTTCCCTTAGATTTAGGACTTTTAGGTATTTCAAGTTATCTCTTTTATACGGAATTTTGAGGTAACCTTTTCCTTACTGAACGAAAATTAGTATGTTCACGATACAAGATTACCTACATGGATTAATGAGATATTTGCCATTATTTTCTGAAAAAAAAAATATAATCAAGCTTGCCAAAGTAGTACTGGCAGTCATTTTTAGATTTGGTTAAAAAAATCTCCTAAAATTCCATAAAATTGATAAAGATTTAAAATTTGTGTTTGGAGAAGTTATCTACATGATATTGTAGAAAAGTTTTCTTTTCTAAATTTCTAAAAAATTGAAACTTTTTTCACGGGAATAAAGAATGTGGAACTTCTTATCTGTTCCTAGTTTCCGTAATTTATTTTTCTGTCGGGGAGTGAAAACTGGAATGGGATATATCTAAAAAGAAAAATAGAAAAAGAAATTGGAGATGTACAGAGAAAAAGTACGGAGAATTTAGGTGAAACTAGGCTGGCTAGACAACAGGGAAAATCTTGCTTGTGGGAAAAATAAGCAAAAATTCCTTGAATTTCGTTTCTTAAAAAAAGTCCACATCTAAAATGTCTAATTTACAATTAACAACAAACAGAAGGAAGATCTAGTTTTTCAATGAAAAAACCAATTAAAATCCCAATGAGACTAGAACAATAATTGTTTCTTGTTTCCTAATTTGGGTCCGATCAAGGCAAAAAACACAAATGGACATTTAACCTTTTTCAGGCAACAAAAGAATTTATCGACCGAGTAAATTCAAGATTCAAAAGAAAATTCGGCACCACTCCAGTTTCCTGGTCAACTGCGGTCCGATTTTTATACGCCAGAAAATTCGACGTGAACCGCGCGGTGGTTCTTTTCGAACAGCACGAAGCAACGAGATATCGTGAAGGCCTAAACCGATTCGACCCCTTACAGGAACCCTTACACAGCGAACTGTTAACAGGGAAATTTACAATATTGGTATGTTACCTATCTTGCTGGATATTTTAAATTCTGATCCGATTATCTATAGCCTAAAAGAGATTGCAGCGAGGCCGCCATAGCCGTATTTACAGCTCACAAACACGCACCTACAAATAGTACCCATCAGACTACTTTACAGGGTGTTGTTTATCAACTGGACGTGGCCTTACAAAACCCTCTGACGCAAAAGTCTGGGATTGTGTTCATCTACGATATGTCCAACTCGAAATATTCGAATTTCGATTATGAATTGTCCCAGAAAATACTTACTCTGCTTAAGGTAAGAATTTTTTTATTATCTGTAAACTAATGCTAGATATGTATTTATTTTTTAGTATTGTACTTATTCGAGTTGGTTGTTTTTTAAAAATAATTGCAATATTAATGATAATGAATACATATATTTTTTCAAATAGATTTTGCTTTCCTGCACTCATTCGAATAGTTAGAGTATATATAGTTTTCTGTACAGTACTAGTAGTACCTAGCTAACTAAAATTCAAATTTTAAGAGAAACATTTTTTTTCCTTATTTGTTTCCTACTAATAATAATAGGTAATAGACATAATTTTCATTACATAAAAAACAATTAAATTGAATTTTCCGAAAGTTCATAGTTCATCATCGATATATTCCGCAGTTCCACATCTTCGCAAAAAAAAAAAGAAAGGGTCTTCTAATACTGGATTCATATTAATGCGCGTGCGTCGTATCGAAGCGTCCTGACGCTCGGCGTCATCGATTTAGTTTATCCGCATCTCGCGAATCTGTTGCGCGTACGTTCAATGGAAATAAATCCGAGATTTTCTCATCGCGCATGAATTTCGGGCCCTAAATTCACAAAATCCTCCCGAAATTTGATTGTATAGTGCGATTTTAGATAAAATTACTAGAGGGGTGAGTTATGGTTTGATAATTAGGCCAAATCGGTTGTATTACGTAATGTAAAGTGGGTTTTTGATGCGCTCTTTTCCTACCTTTTGGGCTATTTCGCTGTGTTGCCTAGTGTTTCAATGGCCAATGGTAATGGGGTCATTTTCGTTTTAGGATTTTCCTCAATATATTCGCTCGAAGCAGTTAGGAATTTGTTTATTTAACGTTTACTTTTTCATGAAAAGTGTTATTTCTGCATTCAAATTGAAAATTCTGTAAAACTACGTTGTTGATTTTAATTCAACGGATGAAAGATTATTTCCGAAACTCGTATTAGAAAACGTAAACATAGTATAAAGGAAATAGAAAACACAAGTCTAGGTAATTATTTTATTTTCGTATTGTCCGAGAGAATATAAGCACTCTGCGGTTTGCGGGTACAGGTCAATCAGAAATAAACTAGCAACATCTAAAAATACGTCGGTGCATCTAATTATAAGCGGGCAAAGTGCGCTAAAAATTAAATTTCAAATATTTTCCAGGGTGGTTATCCGGCAAAACTGAAAAAAGTTTTAATAGTGACTGCCCCGTTGTGGTTCAAGGCCCCATTCAAAATCCTACGTTTGTTTGTGAGGGAAAAACTCCGGGAAAGAGTATATACCGTTTCAACTGCCCAACTGCTCGCCCATATTCCCAGAGATTCGTTGCCCGCCCAATTGGGCGGCTCTCTAGTCCTGGACCACGATGGTTGGTTGGAGCACTGCCTTTCTTCCATGAGTGCCACTAGAGGAACTTCACCTTTACCACTTTACGGTAACAATAATTACTGTTTTAATTAAAAGTAGGGTGGTTAATGAATGCGTTGTTTAGATGATAAAACTCCATCTCCTCAAAAACGGCTCAACGCTCCAGGCGAAATTGACATAAATACGGGCAAAGAAGTGCCCGCTGACGCTTGGTCTTCGGAAGAGGCCAATCTGAATCCTCCTTCTAGTGCTTCAAGTGGATTTAGCGACGACGATTCGTTGCACGGTGATGGGGCTGCGCTTACAATGGTGCAGCTAGTAGATTATGTTAGACATCGAGGAAGGTATATATCTGTACATGTTACAAGAGTAGTATTTTCCTTAATAGTAAATGCTATGATTGGTCCAACAAACCTATACGGAGTAAACATGGCTGAGGGTTCACACTGCACAAATATTTTATAAAAAATTTGAAAAAGTACTCACACATTATTTATTTCAAAATCTTACAAAACATCACTCTACAGTGTGAAGCGGGCTGAAAATTGACCAAAAGTAACGACCCTCTTGAAGGGTATATTGTTTTTTTTACTCTGTAGGTTGGTTGGATAGAGTTTAGATTTCACTAGTTGAAGATTCTCCCTACATAGTAAATTCTTGAAAATTTTCAGGGCTGGTCTTATACAAGAATACGCCGAAATCCGTTCCAGACCACCCGATGGTACATTCAACGTTGCCAAACTGCGCAATAATCTACCGAAAAACCGTTACACCGACGTGCTGTGCTACGATCACAGCCGAGTGATTTTGTCTGAAATCGATTGTGATAGAGATAGTGATTACATTCACGCGAATTTTGTCGACGGGTACAAACAGAAGAATGCTTTTATCAATACGCAAGGTCCGCTGGCGAAAACGACGCCGGATTTTTGGCGAATGATTTGGGAACAACACACTTTAGTTATAGTAATGACCACTAGGGTGATGGAAAGAGGCAGACCGAAATGTCACCAGTATTGGGAAACCGAGGAGGGTACCGAAGCAACTTACGGATATTTTAGCGTAAAAACAATGGCTGTGGAAACTGATCCCAATTATATTGTCACCACTATTAGTTTGACTAATAAAAAAGTAAGGATTTTCTTATGTAAGAACTTTAAATTAATCAATTTGTTGTAGACGGAAGAAACCAGGGAAGTATCTCATTGGCAATTTACATCGTGGCCCGACTATGGGGTACCGTCATCTGCCAAAGCTATGCTAGAATTTATGGAGAGAGTCAGAAGACAACAGGCGAGCATGGTAAACGCTTTAGAAGACACTTGGGCGGGTCATCCTAGAGGTCCGCCCATTGTGGTGCATTGCAGTGCTGGTATAGGCAGAACTGGTAAGAATTAAATTAAATATTACAAAAACCCAAGAATGAATATTTCAAACCGGACATAAATAATAGAATCTCTTCCAATGAATAATAGTAAATTAATTAGAATAACATTATAATGAATGTTATTATTAACAAGGATAAAGTTATTATAATCATTATCATACGAATTTGAATAGGTATTTCCCTTGTGTATGAAAAATCCCATGTGCAATTATTGAAAAAATTACAATAATTGCGTTACCTATCCATGGAAATTTCATTGTAATTTTTATCATAACATAATCACTTCGAAAAAGTGTTTACCCAAAACCTCCGGAGAACATGACAAAACTACCTGCTTATTCCAGAAACGATGCGACCCTGTTTTTTCCCCTTAAATCGTCGAAGAGTCAATTCTCCCCCAGTCCATGTCCCGACAACATTCCAACCATATTTTTGAAAATATGTGCAAAATCTATCAGCTCGCCCCTTGCTCACGCAATGACTAACCTGATAAGTGGTGAGACAGTACCGGAAACATAGAAAGAAACCTACATCGTTCCAATTCATAGAAAACGTGACAAGCCTTATCCAAAAAATTACCGTCTCATAAGTCTTACTTGTAACACTTGCAAATCCATGGAAATAGTTATTTATTATACAAGACGGTAAAAAGATGCTTTACCTGTGAGTGGAAAATGTTGATTCACGAGCGACGAAGGAGCGAGTGGATTAATTCCACGAACAGGTAAAGCTTTTTTACCATCGTGTGTAATATTCTATTTTATTCTTGAGCAACTTTTTATTTATCACAATTACTAAAATCATGAACTGAAATGTGCTAAAATTTTACATAGATTATGATAAGTTGACAAAGTACCTAACAAACTGACACATTTCTGGTGTTGTCAATCATGCAACATAACAGATTTCTGTCAAAAACACTATAATTATTATAAAAGATTTAAACAAGTGGATAAAATTGACGTATGAGTGGGTAAAATTGACAAATGAGTGGGTAAAAATTATTCGATTTCACTACTTCAAATAAAGTGTTACTTTAACAACGAGTTTTGAGTCGATTAAATGATAGTTTACCATTCGCGATAGAATAAAAGTTTTAACCATACTAATGGAAAACAACATCCTTCTGTCTTCACAGCATTTTTGCCTAAAAGATCGACTGAAACCAACCTACTAACATGCTTCGATGCATGGACTAAGATGAATGACGAGGGACAACCTATTGACGTCATATACCTGGACTTTGAGAAGGCTCTCGATAAGGTTTCAGTCGATCGTATATTATACAAACTTCAGCACTATGGAATACATAGCAACGTATTGGGTTGAATCCGAGACTTTCCAAACGATCGAACGTATCAGGTTAGAATTAATGGGGCTTATTCGACTCGACATAAGGTATATATAGTGAAGTACCGTAAGACTCTGTACAGGGTGTCCCAAATTTGAGCTTCATCATTGGGATCTCGGAAACCGTAAGAGATACAGGGTCGGTTAAATTATGGCAAAGTTGCGCAATTTTATGACCAATAGAATGCCGTTTTGGTTGGCAAGATTCCGAATACTTCCGGAGATATTCGGAAAAACCGAAATTTTGTAAAATCGTTTTTATTTTTTCCCGGGCTTATTTGAAGAGCAATTTCAAAATATATGTCACTTCATCATTGCCACTTTTTCCCCTTTAGAAGATGGTGCTACTAAATTTGAAATCCGACGTTTCGTTTTCAGGCGGCCATCTTCAACTTATTTTTTTCAAATACGGACCTGGATTTTTTATTTGCGATTTTGTCGTCTTTGGGCATTCTAAAACCGATACTGTTTATAATAATTTTTCTTTGGGGTGATTTATCAATTTTTCTGAGTGCCTTTTTTCATAGATTTCGGCTTCAAATCCGAGAATAATTTAGTGTATGGAGTTTGGGGTATGTTGATTGACCATAAGGATACAAAATCTCGACAAAAAAAAAATTCAAAATTTCATCGTTTTAGTAAGAAGTTACCTTATGATTTAGATTTTGGAAAACTTTGAAAGTTCATAACTTTTTTTCTATTATAGATAGAAAGCTGAAACTTTCACTGAATTTTATCCGAATCAAGGGACTACAATCCCTGAAAATTTCAGCTCATTTGCACTTATAGTTCCTGAGATAAAATCGTGTTAGGCAATTTGGGGTGATTTATCAATTTTTCAATTTTTCTGAGTGCCTTTTTTCATAGATTTCGGCTTCAAATCAGAGAATAATTTAGTGTATGGAGTTTGGGGTATGTTGATTGACCATTAGGATACAAAATCTCGACAAAAAAAAAATTTGAAATTTCATCGTTTCAGTAAGAAGGTACCTACCTTATGATTTTGATTTTGGAAAACTTTGAAAGTTCATAACTTTTTTTCTATTATAGATAGAAAGCTGAAACTTTCACTGAATTTTATCCGAATCAAGGGACTACAATCCCTGAAAATTTCAGCTCATTTGCACTTATAGTTCCTGAGATAAAATCGTGTTAAGCAATTTGGGGTGATTTATCAATTTTTCAATTTTTCTGAGTGCCTTTTTTCATAGATTTCGGCTTCAAATCAGAGAATAATTTAGTGTATGGAGTTTGGGGTATGTTGATTGACCATAAGGATACAAAATCTCGACAAAAAAAAAAATTCAAAATTTCATCGTTTTAGTAAGAAGTTACCTTATGATTTAGATTTTGGAAAACTTTGAAAGTTCATAATTTTTTTTCTATTATAGATAGAAAGCTGAAACTTTCGCTGAATGTTATCCGAATCAAGGGACTACAATCCCTGAAAATTTCAGCTCATTTGCACTTATAGTTCCTGAGATAAAATCGTGTTAGGCAATTTGGGGTGATTTATCAATTTTTCAATTTTTCTGAGTGCCTTTTTTCATAGATTTCGGCTTCAAATCAGAGAATAATTTTGTGTATGGAGTTTGGGGTATGTTGATTGATCATTAGGATACAAAATCTCGATAAAAAAAAAATTTGAGATTTCATCGTTTTAGTATGATTTTTTTGGAAAACTTTGAAAGGTCATAACTTTTTTTCTATTATAGATAGAAAGCTGAATCTTTCACTGAATTTTATCCGAATCAAGGGACTACAATCCCTGAAAATTTCAGTTTTGTAGTCCTTTGACTACAATTCCTGAAATCAGCTCATTTGCACTTATAGTTCCTGAGATGAAATCGTGTTAAGCAATTTGGGGTGATTTATCAATTTTTAACGGCATAACTTTTATATCTACTGATGAACAGAGAGATCTTGGCGTTATTGTAACCAACAATTTGAAACCAGAAGCACATATCTCAAAATGCATCCTGAGGAAAAAAGCATTCAAGGACCAGTCACTACAACCCTACAAATATAAGTCATTCATCAGGCCCATGCTGGAGTATGCTCAGTCAGTTTGGAATCCTACCAAGAACATTGACGCATTAAAATGAGTTCAAAGAAAAATCACTAAAATTCCACCAGAAATTTGAGACCTCACATACGAGGACCGTTTGAAGTGGTTCAATCTAACAACTTTACGTGACAAGAGGTCAAGAGGGAATTTAATTATAACATATAAAATCCTATATAATTACTACTCTGTCAACATGAATATATATACTCTAATTGATAACCACAACCAAAAGATTGGACAAAGAGAGATGTTCTAAACTCCTCATAAGAAATTTCTTGTACAAAAGAGTAGGCTAATACGTGAAATTCGTTCGCAGCACTTAATAAGACTGGATGGCGACCTCAGTTTATTATCCAACACACTGCTTAAATAATAATAATATTAATAACAAAATCATATCTAATCAGTTTGGAAAGGGACAACAACAATATTTCTTTTTAATAATTACACTCTATCACTCTGAATAAATAGTTCTTTGTTTCTCTATTCTCCAATTCTTTTATATTAGCTGGAGGATTATTATAAAAGTACAGATTTAACTTATAAATTTTGATTTTTTTTTCTCTTTCAGGTACGTTTTGTACTCTAGACATATGTATTTCACGTTTAGAAGATGTCGGTACGGCCGATATTCGAGGAACAGTGGAAAGGATACGATCGCAACGAGCTTATTCCATCCAAATGCCAGATCAGTATATATTTTGTCATTTAGCTCTTATCGAATATGCTCTTATGAAGGGGTACCTGCAATCGGCCGATTTGGAAGGTTTCGATCAGGTGGTCGACGACGAATCTGATTAGTAGCTAGGCCATTTTTTTAAATCAATTTCTTATGTGTAATTTAATGGGCAAAAGTAATCATTTGAGTTGGGCAAATTGACTAAGAAATTCATCATTTCTGTATTAAAAATATTTTTGATGAGAACAAAAACAAAATTACTTTTGTGGTATTGTGTGTCTGCAAGATGTAGGGATCGGGCGATATAAGATAATAATAATTTAATTAATATTGTTTATAAAACAATAACATTTTTAAAATTAAGTTCCAAAAATAACCAATTTGTTTTATATAATTATTTATTTTTATAGCAAAATTCATTTTTGCAAACCTAATTATCATAATAATTCGTCAATAAAACTATTATATAAGTAAATGTGTCATAGATTATATATTGAAAATACGATTTTGGTAGGAAGTCAAAAAAACTAATTTCCTAACAATCGTAATACATACGTATAATTTATTCTTACATATCTTTAAGAATTATATTTGGGAGAAACTACATAGATTTTTTTTAATAATAAATAACTCCAGTTAGTTAACTTGAAATTGCCGCTCCTTAATAATATTAGTCTCTCAAATTTTCGATGTTTGTTGAATAATTATTAAAAAAAAAGAACTATTGAACTATCTGTGTCTGTAATTACTTGTATAGTATAAAATATCTGTCTTGGACCTGATTTAAAAATAATATAAAAATGAATTAAATAAGATATTTACCTAAAGACTGTCCACTTTTCGAAAAATCCCTTTTTACTTTATATTATATTTGTATTAATTAATTTTTAAGGTGATATTTGTTTCAAAATATTTAAATGATAATAATATTTACAAGTTATTTTGCAAAGCGATTTTTTTTTTATTTATTGGTTTAAAAGTTTATTTGTTTGTGACACGATTTTTCTTATTTTGTATATACTTTTGTTTCACTTGGTAAAATATACAAAATGCTTTTTAAAATTTGTGTTTTATTTGAATCCTGAATCCATTCGACTTTCCATTAAAACCTGAAGTTTCAAACCTGTACGGGGTGTTTGGAAAAAGTTAGAAAATTGGAAAATTCCTCTATTTTCAAACTACATTTATCTATTTTTTAAATACACTTAAGCTAGATATACAGGGTGTCTGGAATAACTTAAAGGAAGTACATGGGGATTTTGGAAATCATTGAACATATTATATGGTAGACAAAATAAATAAAAAATTGCACAATCAAATGCCTACAAATAATCTGTCATAAACTTCTTTGAACTCGGAATAGCAACGGATATACAGGGTAAGACACTTTGTATTGAAACATTATATCGAGATTTTATACAGCATTTTGTTGCTCTCTACATCTGCAAGCTCATTTTGGAAATTGAAAAAAAAAAATCACAATCCTTTTACATAGAGTATTGTCAAAAATGCTCCATTTTGGAAAACCTAAATGAAAAAGTTAAAAAGAAAAAAACACACAGATCATTTTAATCCTACAACAATCTCAAAAACGATATATTACGTGTAATTTTTTTAAATAGTTTACAATTAGATTAGGTACATCTAAAAATTGGCTATAAATATCCTAGTCAACTTTACCTAAAAAAAAAACACCTTGATGTGGTGTCTTCCTTTTTAAAAGTATTCGAGTAACTCAATTCTCTATATAATATATCTCAAATTTAAAAACAAGTACATAATATTGACTATTCTTCTCACAAATACATCATTGCAAATTTTCTTAAAACTACTTTTCCGGAAAGATTTTTTTTTTTGGTAGCAAATACATAGCTACTCTTAGAGAGGCGGAGAGAGAAATTAAAACATTTTTGTTCGACTTTTTAAAGAACATTTTAAACATCTAAACATTAAATTTGAAAACAGAATTGCTACATTTTTAAAGTACAACGATATCAATCATTTGAATCCAACCATTTGCTTTCTTCTATAAATCTCTCGAAACAATCCAGAAGATATTGATGCTAAAAATCACAAAAATTATTCGATTCAATTTATGTAAACAAATTACTTACATAAGGTGTAAATATTTTGAGCCATCGAGGTGTTTTATCTTGCCGATTATATTTAAGACAAAATGCCATGCCTTCTTCATCGATTTCCCATTGTCGAATGCTGTCCCATTCGAGGACCACAATTTGACTCTCCAAAGTGCCATCTTCCAGACAGGCGTGCAATTTTAAGCCACTTGTGCCTATTGACAATATAACGTGTCCATCTTTTCTGGAATCACACGCGCAGTGCGGATAAACGATTTCTCCATATCCTGGCAGTTCTCGTGCTAATTTTAAATATTCAGTTGCTCTTGTGTTGTCTTGTAGGGCTTTTAATTGATATAAACGCTCGCCAGCGTTAATGTAGCCTCTGTTTACTTCATCTACAGCCTATAATAATTGACAATAACTAATACATTGAACAGACAAAAACTAATAATATTTACCTGCCAAAAAATAAAAGACGTAGCTTGAGGATCTGTCATTAATGTGAGCTCTTTTTGAATTGAAAACAGCCACTTTCTTATGCACAAACACGTACTAGTAGCGGTGCTGTAATTTTGAATATACAAATTATGAGGGTATTCTGTTGGCTGTAGTTTCCTTTCTAAAATAATCAAGTAATAATTACAGGTGCAATAATAAGATTTCACAGGCATTTACCAAAATTATATTCTACAATTTCAAAAATGAAAAAATATTTAGCAACCTTCTTGCCCATTCCAATTTTTTTAGTTACAGCATTGTAAACTTCTTCAGCATTTGCGCTACGCTTTAAAGTCACAGTGACAACTTCCCTGTCTGGCAACAGGACCTATAAAATACAATCATAAATTTTGTAACACAAAAATCAAAAAATTATACCTTTAAATCTACAGGAATGCTATTGCTTTCATCATCAGGATCCGTAAGGAATTCCTGCACTATATCAGATTCTGCTATTACTCTAACTGCACACACCCGCTCCAAATATTGTTCCAAGCCTCTCCTTCTGGCGTCCAATTGTTGTTCGCTTAACGTAAAAGGCCATTTGCCCGGCAGTTTTGGAAAATTGTAACCGATAAATTCTTTTTTTAAATCCGCGTGCAACTTGGCAAATTCTCTATATCGTCTCGAGCACAAATGCCTGCCAGCCATGTAAATATTAAATGCAACGTACCGATCACCGCTTCTTTCATTGTAGTGATAATCTGGAATACTGATGGGTAAAGATCGTTTTTCGCTATAGTCGTAGTAGACTTGGGTGTCTTCCGATGGTTCCAATCTTTCTGCTTCCTGTAAAGATTATTTTTATTTTGGTTGACAAAGATTTTTAGGTTTGCAACTCACCTGTTGAGTAACAGAAATCACGGTGAGCCTCAAAACGTCTCCGCCAGATTTAATCAGATCCACTACTTGCTTGTGAGTGGAACCTTCCACGTTTACCCCATTTCTGGAACAACATTTTTGAATTTTTGACACTTTTTAATAACGAATGTATCTACTTTAATTTAGTAATTTGAATTTTATAGTTCCAAAAATAGTTTTGTAAGAGGCACTAAAGTGTGGCGAGAGGTTTTTATCAAAATTTGATCTATAAAACCTGTTTATTTATGATAAAACTTTGATAGGGATTGAACAAGCAAATTGAATCTGGCAATTAAAGAAATTCAACTTTTTGAATTTTTCCCATAGTCACTTTATTTCCAATTTGGTTTCTTTATGGGGCTCTTGTCAAAATTCAAAATTCAAGAGCTTTCAATGAAAATATTAAAAAGAGAATTGGCAGATCTTGAAGAAAGATTTTTTTCTCAAATTTCAACGTAGGTAATTTTTTGAAAATTCGATTTTTTTCAAAATCACATTGACACATATTTACAAATACAAATAGTTTACTTCCATAGAAATTATACATGTTTTGGAAATGTCACAAATAAAAAATCCAAAAGTAAGGGCGTAAAAGTAAACAATACAATGATAATAATAGCACTAAAGATCAACATCAATATCAATAGCATATCCAGTCCTATCCAGCGAAAATACATCCACATATAAGAACAAAGTACAAAAAATACAAAAACATATGCGCAATAATAAATCCCACGACAGTGAAAACATGAATTACAAGTGCATTACACCTCCTGCTGCTTTGGAAAACAAACAAGAAGTACTCTTGCAAAGAATAAAACAGGTGGCAACCAGTATGGTCTTGAATTTCTGCTGAAAAACGCACATAAAATTGACGTTTCTTAGGTCATGTGGTAGGTGGTTGTAGATTTTTGAAGATGTTATCATAGGACCGTCCTGGATCTGGGTATGTAAATGTTGGTTGAGTTTCTTGTCTGGTACCTGTTCACGTTCCCACATGTGATGTAACTGTATCGGTTTTCAAAGACTTAACATGCACTCTATGAAATGTACAGGTTTATGACTGTAAGTATATTTTCGGCCTTAAAAGTTTGGCGACAGGACTCTCCAAAGGGCAGTCGAAAAATTGTCCTGATTATTTTTTTTTTTCAAGAAATTAGGACCCTGGCAATATCCGTTGAGTTACCCTACACAAGAAGACCGTACGACAGAATGAAGTTTATCGCAGCGTAATAAAAAGTTTTAAGAGTATTGTGATCCACATGGTCTCTAAGCTGTAATATGGCAAAGTTCTTAGTTGACAATCATTTGTAGTTTTTTCCTCATGTTAGTTAGTTCATTTTTAGCTGTTTTGAAATCCCTTTCTGTGTGTTCGTTTCCTATATTTTTCCACCGTACATAAAGCTTGTCTCTTTGTTTTTGTTTTTTAATATATTCAGTAGTTACCCAGTAGTTGCCTTTTTTAATTTTTCTTGTTTTCTCTGTAGTTGCGTTCTTTTTAGTTGCATTTATGATTTCTGCCAGTTTTGCAAATGTTTTAATTTCTACATTATTCATTTTTTCACGTACACCATCTATCCATAGTTCTTTATTCAAGTAGACTCAAGTGACTTTTTCTTTTGTTTTTTGAATCATAATTTTCCTTAAGCCGGCTACAGACGGTCCGGCAGGCCTGTCAGTTTCAACTGAACAGTTCGCCTGAAGGCCGGTTTCCGGATGGACTGATGACTTTACAAATGTTCAGGCGTATCTGATTCTTCAGTCTCAATCGTCACGACCTCTACTGAAGACGACGCGTTATAAGCACTTTGTGGTTTAGTACTAGTATAAATATTTGTGAGAACAGTAGCGTCCGTACAAGAAAAATTAATTTCCTCCCATTTTTCTACCAGTTTCTTGCCATGGTCGTGGAAGTTTTTCGATTTGGCTTGCCGCAGGCACGACTCGCCATGATAAATAGCGATAAATTCCGCCAAACACCTGTTTTCTAAATTTTTATTTGTTATTATATGATCTAGAATTGACGTTTACAATTTAAAGAGATGGACGATAAAGTATGAAAACATTCAGATTCCCGCCAACATTTGCTTGCTCGTTAATGTCAAGTGTATAGGGTGTTTAGCAATCCCCTGGTTTTTATTCTAATCGGTGACTCCACCGATGAGTTAGGTATCTTTGTTCAGTGAATGGAAAATGACAATGACCGACATAGAATGGTGAAATTTGAAATTGGAAAGAAAATGTGGGAAGCAAACAGCTTCCGCAAAATAAACTTGAAAGTGGATATCTTTGTATACTTGATGAGTCGTGGATTTCCCTTACTTTTGCGAGTATCAGTTCTGATTTTGTGTATCCAAATTTTGACAAATGTAGGATTTGATGAAAACTTATGGAGAGACACGTCCGCCGGTGAATAGGAATTATTTTCACGAAAAGGCACACTACACACAATCACCATTGTTAGGAAAAAACCTTGAAAAAACTGAGGAAATAATAGTTTCCAGTCTCACACGTATAAAACTCTTGTCAACAAACCACTGTCAATAGCTGTCAATCATTGTTTTCAAACTCTTTTGGCGTCTGACAGTCTGACGCCAGAGAGAGAGACTTCTAAATTGAAAAGGTCAATGTGGCATTTTCAGCTGTCATAATATTTTGTATCTCAAAAGCATTCATTTCAACGGTCGATCGGCACAGATTACTTAAGAAACTAGAAAAAATTGGAATTGGGGATGTGGTGTTGAGATGGTTTGGAGACTATCTAACATCAAGAAGACAATTAACTAGACTGAATGGAATTAGTTCAATAGAGATAGTTAACGAGCATGGTGTACCGCAGGGAAGTGTTTTGGGTCCACTATTGTTCATTATTTATATAAACGATCTGCCAGATGTAATACATGACATTGAATTGCATAACTTCGCCGATGATAGTCTATTCTACGCCTTTTCAAAAGATTTGGATTTGTTGGTGGAAACTGTTAATAATGCCCTAAATAAAATGGACAATTATGCATCAACGAATCTTTTGAAGATTAATGTTAGTAAAACTAAATTTATGTTTATTGGTACACATAATAACAGAAGTCTTTTTAATATGAACAACTATTCAATTGAAATGGGTAACAATAAGTTGGAAGAAGTTCAAAAGATTAAGTATCTTGGGGTAATTCTTGATAACAAATTAAAATTTAAAGATCACTGCAACATTCTGGTTTCTAAAATTAGTTTTAAGTCAAATTATCTTAGGCGCTGTTCAGCATCTCTCTCAGCTTGGTCTAGAATTGTTGTTTTTAACACTATAGTTTTGCCACACTTCAATTATTGCGCAACAATACTTTATTTACTTAACCAGAATGATATCCAAAGACTGCAAAAGTTGCAAAATAGATGTATGAGAATCATACTCTCATGTAACAAATATACTCCTATAAAAAGTATGCTTAGATTGCTTCAGTGGCTTCCAGTTGTGGAATATGCAAAATATAATGTACTGGTGTTTATTTTTAAAATTAAAATTGGACTTGCTCCATTGTATCTTACAAGAAAAATAGTTTACAGTGGCCAGATGCATGATCACAACACTAGACAACAGAACAACTTCTATATACCACATAGATGTGGGGCATCAGCAACAAGATCGGTATTCTTTAAGGGTATGAATGAGTTCAATCAGCTACCGGATGAAATAAAGTCATGTGTTACTATTAGCAATTTCAAAAGAAAATTAAAAGTTCATCTGCTGACTCAATGTGATATATATGTTCCAGATTAAAGCACAAATGAGTAGCTTATTCTTGTTGATCTGAGTTTTGTTGATTTGAATTTCTTTTGTTTTGCGGTATCTTGATCTTGTATTTTGTGAAGTGAAAAACGAATGCCATATTTTGTATGAGTTTCAGGACTTGCTTTTTACGAAATTTCAAGATTTATTATGTCTTTCGGAATGATTGTCATTTGTATTTTGAATTTAAATTTAAATTGTTTACTTTAATTGACACTATACACTAATTATAACTTTTGTGAATTTATATATGTAAGTTGCACGATTAGCTATTGCTAAATAAACGAAATAAATAAAATAAAAATAAATAAAATAAAATAGACCTATCAATTTTTACCTGGTATGCGCGCGCAACACGAGGCAATGTCTTTTTATTGGCTAGCTAATGCAGGTGTGAGGTGATCGTTTTGCACGCTGGGCATCTCTTTTTCCTTGTTCATTGCACATGATCTGACAAGACTAAATCTAAAGTTGATATTCAATTTGACAAGTGTCATTCAAAAGTTGTTTGACATTTTCATTGACAAATACGTTGCACAACACGCGGTTTTTCTCCTTTTCTTTTTATCCTGTGCAAATAAGAAGGACGGATTGCTATACGTAAGTCTAACATAATTTGGTACGTTTTGCCTCGTCTTGCGCAATGAGCGTTCTGTGTCTTTTTTTATTTAATGAAGTTTTCGTATTATTACCTCTTTGTCTGGTAAAATAGATAGGTCTATTACGTTTTTGTAATCCTTAACTGCTTGTGTTTCCTTCAACAAATCTAGATTCATATCACCTATCAAAATGGTTTTATTTTTTTGTCTTTCGTAAAAAACAAAAATTACACTAAGGGCTGGTTAATTCACCTTCTGCTAAACTGTCAGGTATGCAAACTGACGGATAGAAACACAATCTGTAATTTCATTGGTCGGCCGGTTATCCCTCAGCCAATAGAATTATAGAACGGTAGACGTATCTTGCAGATAGTTACCACCAAGTTTACCAGAAAATGAATAAACTAATAAACTGGTTCTAAGATAAGAAAAAATGTAGAAGGTAATAAGTATATACAAACACAACTTGGTATACATACAAATAGAATTCAGCAAAACAATAAGTACTTGTGAGCAAATGAAAACATCAAATAGAAGCGCATATAGAAAAAAATCAACATTAGAATGATGTCACACACTGACTTTATAACTTGGGTAATTTCAATCCGATCTCAACATAATTGGGCTCAAATTAAGACCAATTTAATTCTCCACAAATCACAGTTGATAGTTTCAATCTCGGTTTCAATTAAACTTCAATAGTTTGTAGCTGAACAAAGCTTCAAAGTCAGACTTTGTTTTTTACCGAGGTGAGTGAGCAGGATATATTATTTTCCTGGAGTCCAATCTTCTTTCTATCCACCTGTAAAATTTCAGTCCAATCCCTCGATCATTTTTGCCTCAAAGAAAAAATAAAACGTCTATAAATAGCGTGAAATTAATCTCACTATCGCAAGGAATGAAATTCCTTAATAATCCTCATGTTGTTTTTTGAATTGGTTGTTGAATTGCCTTTGTCAAAAGTTAAGAGGTTATCAAAAATATAAAAAAGGATAAACTTAATTTAAAACTAGGTATACAGGGTGGGAACTTCAACTGGAACTAATTCACTAGAGCCTTCGGATAAAATATATGGACAAAACGCAAAAACACGTCGATTAAGATTTTTTCACATTTAAAATAATAAAGTTGATAACCATACACTTGTTCTTGGAACACCCTAGACAAAAAAATTAATGTGAAAAAATCTTGAGCAAAAAATTTTAATAACTGTGTTTTTGCATTTTGTCCACATATTTTTTCCGAAGGCCAATTAGTTCGAGTTAAAGTCGTCACCCTGTATATCTTTATTATGCTAAAGTTTTTCCACAAAAGGTTCTTTTTCCTCAAATATTTCAAAATACTTATGGCTAGCTACTACTACTACTAGACTACTCTGATTCTGAGGCAACTATAGGTAAACTTGAAAAAACGAAACTTGAGAATCTGAAGTAGGTAGGCTACCCAGGTTCATTTTAAGGGCAAAAATAATGCTTTTATCCAGGGTGTAAATGCAAGAAACCATGAAACATAATATCTAAGTAAAAAATAAAAATTTAAATACTCACACTTCCAATATACGATCTCCTTTCCTTATTCCAGCAAGTTCGGCAGCGCCGTGGTCCAGCACAGCGCTGACATGCTGCAAGGGGGCGTACAACTCACCGTTGATGCTTCGCAATTGTCCGCCCTCGCTGACCTGACCTCTCACGTTAAACCCAAACCCCGTTTCGGTCTTTTTTATTGTTACGACCCGAGGCCCGGCCACGACCTGGACTTTTGTATTGTTGTTTTGGACGCGCGGCACCCGGTCCGCAGTCTTACCACCTTCTTCGGCCATTGGTATATATGAATTTTGAGTTGATGATCGACGTGACCCTACACAGAAAGTACACTCACCCAGAGGAGATTCACATTTTGTTAGGAGTTTTCAAATGGAGTTTGTTTAAATGTTGGGGTGTTGTTCTGGCTGAATACTGTCGGGGTTTCGTGTCTGTTTGGGTGATTTTTGGTTGAAAACAATTTTTGTTTGAAAATTTCTTGTATTTTGCCAAATTCTTGACAAATTCATGACAGTTGACAAGGTTGTTTTGTTGACATTTACAACAGCTGATTGATTGAGAATCGATATCGACTATTGAGTATCGACTGCAGAAACGACAAAACGTATACTTGTCTCTTTCTATTCTATTGTGTTAAATGAGACAAGGAAGGCAAACCTGACTAATCAAAAAATTTATTTCTGTCTGCTTTTATGGTTATAAGGTAAAGGGAGACAGCAAACAAGAGTTAAGGCCGATTCCTATGACAACATCGAGCGCGGTGCAGCTAAATGCAAAACTTAATGCCCGTATGCACCAATTATTAAAGGATGTTGGCCTTTTCATTTGGACTGTAATTTTTATCCATTTCAAGGAAGTCTTAGCGATAAGTATTCCTTAAAGTGACATTTTTCTGTATAAAAATGTTCTTTTAAGAAATACTTATCGCTAAAGGGCCCCATACACTACGATGAAACACGAAGGTTTTCATCGCCAAGATGAAACACGTCGTTCAAAAGGGCCCCACACACTACGTTCTTTTTCGTCGGTTTTCATCGCCACGATGAAACACGTCGTTCCAAAACCGAAGTGTGTAGTAGAAAAACACGACGGTTTTCTACAGGGCCCCATACACTACGATGAAACGCGACGGTTTTCATCGCTACGATAAAACACGTCGTTCTAAAACCGAAGTGTGTGATAGAAAAACACGACGGTTTTCATCACCACGATGAAACACGTCGTTCCAAAACCGAAGTGTGTGGTAGAAAACCGTTCGTGTGTACGAAATGTTGAACCGTCGTGCCAAAAATCAAGCTCGGACTGAATTTTAAACCGACGATGTAACACGACGGTTTTCTACCACACACTTCGGTTTTGGAACGACGTGTTTCGTCATGGCGATGAAAACCGTCGTGTTTCATCGTAGTCTGTGGGGCCCTGTAGAAAACCGTCGTGTTTTTCTATCACAATTTCGGTTTTAGAACGACGTGTTTCATCGTGGCGATGAAAACCGTCGTGTTTCATCGTAGTGTATGGGGCCCTTAAGGCTTCCTAACCATCCTCTCAATGGTCGGTGCAAACCGGTGTAAACGGCCATAAGAGCTTATTACGTAATCAATTTCACCTATTTGAGTCAAATAATAAGTTGTATAATTTTATTGTACTAGTTATGTAATGAACTCCATGTATTATTAGTAATTTAATAAGCTCATTACATAACTTATTTTTATTACAAAAACAGCAATTCTTTATAATTTCTTTATCCGAAAAGTTATAAATATAAAAATGAGAACCAATACGTTTTGGATAGAAGAGGTGCTTGCAGCTTCGCTATAAAGTACAAGCTCATATGGTGTTGCACCGTTGCCGACGTCATCAACGGTGTCGTGTGCTGTTTCGCTATCGGTAGTGGTTTAGAATATATTCGTGACCGATAAATAAGGATGGGGTTATTCTAAATGGGTATTAAAAATACTAACATTTATGATGAAAAATATTATTTGATTTTGATTAACATAAATAGTCAAAGAGGAAGATGCAAACGAGATTTAAAAAATGGTTGTTAAGAATGGTAATTAATGTACTAGAATCAATTAAGTATGCATAAAGTGAAAGCCAGCGGAATCATAGCCTGTGGTTCAAAGATCCTACGTCAAGGTGAGAAACGACACTTTGCTACGTCATCACTGGCAATTTGGCATGGTGGGGGACATGAGATTTGGTTACACATGCCTTACGAGGATAGGCTATCCTTCTGCGTAGTGTGTAGTGTAATATCCTTACTCTTAAGCCAATTTTAGGTGATTGATTGAACGGGCATCTTGACAGATAAACCATTAATTTAGCGTCATTTGTTAACCAATTGGTCTTAGCTGACGTTAAATCCATTGCTTATTTATCAAGAATATTGCGACTTGCGAGCCACTAGTGCAATAGTCATTTGACACTCATTCCAAAGTGACGGTTCGAACAGCACTAGAGCTATGTTGCAACTCAATGGTTTCAACGAAAAAAAATGTCAAATAATTAGGCGCTAGCTGACGTCACACGTTTGAAGGACTATTTTTACAAGGAGGCGACATGAGGAGAAAAAAGCGTATCCACTTCCGCCATATTGTTACGACACTTCTGTCTGAGATTCTGTCACTTTTGACATAGTAAGGCATCAGAATTGCATTAGGGCCGCATTTTGAATCCAAAGATTTTTTAAATGCAAAAAAAATTGAATCCCAGAATTCCTGTTTTGGATCTTGGAAGGATGTCCTGTTTCAGTATGTTGGAAGTTTTTTTTTTTACGTTTTTAGATAAATATTAAGAATCCATTTAGTTCGGCTTTGTTTAAGTAGCCATATTGTTTCTACACTAAGCCACGCCTACCGATGCCGTTTTCTATTGCACTATTCAAATGATGACAGCATCTCCTTAATTAATTCTACACCTCAATGATTTTTACACACAGGCGCTAGCTTGGCACCAATGACATAACGTCACTTTGTGTTCTGTGGTCACTTTCGATAGGGGGACAAACAGGTCATTGAGGCTTATGTGACGTCAGCTAGTACCTAATTGTTCCGGGATAGCTTTTATACAATTCGAATCCTTGATTAGGTCTGTTTCTGCAGAAATCATAAACCAGCCAGACTGAATTTCATTGGTTGAAACTAGTTTTCTGACTATTTTCAATTAATTAAATTCGCTATGACTGGTTTGTGATTTCTGCAGAAACAGACTTATTACAATCTCGAGATTGATGAATGGGATTTAGACCAAATTATTGATGATTAGATTAGTATAGTAGTACTACCTACATTCTACCCAATGTACTACACGGTCCGAGTTCGTTTTTGTCATCTTTTTCGTCGATTTGCACCGAAATTTTGACAGGCACGTGATTTGTAAATGTAAACTGAAACTTTCTTATCCAGTCGCACGTTCCTGTCAAAATTTTTGAGCAAATCGACGAAAAAGATGACAATAGCCTAGTATACAGTGGCTAAATAAACCTTTACATACAGTGGCGACAATAGAGGTCCCGCCGCCATCTTGTTCCCAACCTCTTGTTACTTTTAAATATTAATATATAGGATTTGAATGGACATCTATCATAAAAAATTGAAATCGACGTATTTGATAACCATTATTAGGTCCATCAAATACGTTGTTTTCCATGATTTATGATGGATGTTCACCTAAATCCCATATATTCATATTTAAAAGTAACGAGAGGTTGGGAACAAGATGGCGACGTTTTCAATATAAATATATGGGATTTTAGAACCAATCAAAAATAAGACAGTAATTGTCGCCACTGTGGTAATAGAGTCACTGTAGCCTAGTACTCATAACCGCGAAATTCGCTCTCTTTGACATTACTTCGACAATTTGACGCATAATTCACGCATAAAACGTCAAATTGTCGAAGCAATGCCAAAAAAGAGCGAATTTCGCTATGAGGCTTATTGGTCTGTTTCTGCAGAAATCACAAACCAGTCAGACTGAATTTCATTGGTTGAAACTAGTTTTCTGACTGTTTCTGACCAGTCAACTAATGAAATTCGCTTTGACTGGTTTCTGATTTTTGCAGAAACAGACCCAATAACGAACTCGGCCATAGTGACGTACTATACAGTGCTTCTATGCAAAACAGTGGCGACAATAGAGGGACTCATTTTTGATTGGCTGCAGAATATCGGCTAAGTTTGGTCGAAAGTTATTTGTGTTTACCGTTTGATTCTATGGAGATTTATGCAATTTTGAGTTAATATATTTTTGTTTTTGTTATTTGTGCCTGTTATTGACTATTTTGTGAGAAAAAATTAGAACAGAAAGAAAAGAAAGATCAAATACAATATTGAATGAGTTCGACAAAACATGGCGGGTGGGCGGAGCTTAGGCGCTAAAGTTATTTGTGTAAAACCATTCGATCTTATGGAGATTTATGCAATTTTGTGTTAATATAATTTTGTTTTTGTTATTTGTGCCTGTTATTGACTATTTTGTGATAAAAAGTTAGAACAGAAAAAAAAGAAAAAACAAATACACTATTGACTGAGTTTGACAAAGCATGGCGGCTAGGCGGAGCTTAGGCGCTAAAGTCGCCACTGTCTTGTATAGAGGCACTGTAACGTACTATACAGTGACTTTATTACCTACAGTGGCGACAATTGCTGTCTTATTTTCGATTGTTTCTGAAATCCCATATATATTTATTGAAAACGCGGCCATCTTGTTGCCACCTATTGCTTATTTCAAATATGAATATATGGGATTTGAGTGAACATCCATCATAAAACATGGAAAATAACGTATTTGATGGACCTAATAATGGTCATCAAATACGTCGATTTCAATTTTTTATGATAGATGTCCATTTAAATCCTATATATTAATATTTAAAAGTAACAAGAGCTTGGGAACAAGATGGCGGCGGGATCTCCATTGTCGCCACTGTATGTAAAAGTTTATTTAGCCACAACGTACTAATCATTGTAACGCCATCTATTAATGAGCTATTAAACGACGAATTTTGGTCGTTATCCATCTGTAATACAGACGTTATATAGACCGTGCGTTCGGTATTTTGATCTGAGTTTTCCGAGCTTGAATTTACCGTTCGGTTAACTATTTAAAAAGTGTGCTCGGCGCAGGCTCATTCGCGTTCGTTTATTTAAATTTTAATTCGAATTTCGATTTCTAAATCTGATACAAGAATAGGATTGCTCATAAGGCGTACGCTCGCAGATTCTCGAGTCGGCAAGGCCTGCAAGTGACGGCAACACTAGCAGCAGCTTATAGTGATGACGTCACCCGCAGGCCTCGATGGGATACTTGCGATTCAGACTCTGATACAGCGTTTAACGACTCTGTGCTCTCGCTGGTTACATGATTACGGCTCCGCTTCAGTACCCTCTCAAATTTTTCGAACGAGTATTCGAATACCAAGATTTGAAAAACTCCGAGTCCTAGTTGCTAGGATCTTTAGGAGAAAAATGAAAATGCGCTGCGCTATGTCATTACGTCGGGCGCAGCTTAAGGTAGGGTTACAGTTGTACATACATTTTCAACCAGTTGATTTGCTCAATTTGAAAAAAAACGTATTTTTTTTTTGCCAAACAACATGGCTTAACTGGTAATACAAATGCAAGACAGAGAATACGATGAATGTGCCGCACTTATGATTGAGGTGTTCGATCAGTCGTAAGGAAAGTTTGACAATCAAATGGGAATCGGCCTTTAGCAGTGATTAGTGAACGACTCCATTCCCCACTCCTCTGTCACTGCATTGTTTTGTTTTTGTGCTGCACAGTGTAAATAGCACTTCACTAGACACCGCCAGAAATAAGTGTAGAAATAAGTAGCGGCGGAAAGTTCAGAAAGCAATCGTACGCGAAGCGCAGTAGGCGGCGACACGAGAAACTACTCTAGCAAAACATGATGGCGTCTTTAGAGTGACACTGTTTGTGTCATCCAATCCTTGTAGTGTTTTCGCGTCTTATTTTTACGAAATCATTCAATACGCGTATCGAATAGTGTACGGTAAAGTGTCGAAAAGTGTTCTGAACCCGCGAAATAAGTTGGCGTCGATCGTTTGTCCTGTAAACAGTGAACATTTGGTGCAAGGTGGAGTGACGTTTGGTTTTTTTTTTATCCAGGATTCCCAAGCCTACTCATCATAATAGAAAGTAAATAAATACTATTTGTTTTGCACTGTATATAAGTTTAGTTTATTTGCACTTGTATGATTTGTTTCACTAGTAGAAATGTTTTGTTTCATTTTTGACTTTCTATTTGGATGGCACACCCTGCTTCTACTGCATCTATTTAAAATTTGTATATTTTAATACAGAATCTCGTACAGAACATAGCAACTGGTTATATTACAGGATAAAAATTTTAATCTCCACCTCCAACTTGTTTTGTATCATGAAAAAACTTCATTTAACAAATCCTGAAAGTATCAAATTGCTGGGATGGCTCAAGATATTTTTCAGGAACCTTGAAAGGTGATTTTATAGGAATTTTATGATTTTCCCAGATATTATGAGTAAAAAAATTCATAACTTAGGTTGTGATTTTCATGTCATCTCATCTTCCAACTTGTTTTGTATCATGAAAAAAAAACTTCATTTACCAATTCCTGAAAGTTTCAAATTGCTGAAATGGCTCAAAGTATTTTTCAGGAACCTTCAAAGGTGATTTTACAGGAATTATATGATTTTCTCAGGTATTAGGTAATGAGTAAAAAAAAATCGTAACTTTGGTTGTGACTGTCATATATCAACTTTCAACTCCGAGTTGTTTTGTATCATGACGAAACTTCATTTAACAAATCCTAGAAGTTTAGAATTGCTGGAATGGCTCAAAGTTTTTTCAGGAACCTTCAAAGGTGATTTTACAGGAATTTTATGATTTACTCAGGTATTAATGAGTAAAAAAGACAGTAGGTATCTTTGGTTGTGACTTTCACTCCGACTTTCATATCAATTTCCAATTTGTTTTTTATCATGAAAAACCTTCATTTAACAAATCCTGAAAGTTTTATATTGCTGTGATGGCTCAAAGTATTTTTCAGGAACCTTGAAAGGTGATTTTACAGGAATTTTATGATTTTCTCAGGTGTTAATGAGTAAATAAAATAGTAACTTTGGTTGTGACTTTCATATCAACTTCCAATTTGTTTTGTATTAAGAAAAAACTTCATTTAACAAATCCTGAAAGTTTTATATTGCTGAGATGGCTCAAAGTATTTTTCAGGAACCTTGAAAGGTGATTTAGTAACAGTTTACTATACAGACTTATGCTATTATCGCTATTTTACTAGATTATTTCGAGGGGCTTTTCACCTACCAAAATTTGTACACCGATTTCCATTTTTCTTAACATTTCACGGTATTTCCATGTATTTTTGAGTATTTCTAAGTAGTATTTCCAAATATTCCCTAGTATTTCAAAGTATTTCAGAGTACATATTTCTTAGTTGAGTTCTTGTATTTCTAAGTATTTCCAAGTATTTCCAAGTATTTCCAGGTATTTCCAAGTATTCTCCTAATATTTTAAAGTTTTACCTACTAGCTAATTCAATTTAAACAATAGGCTTAATTTCATTTTATTACCACTACATTGATTTGACAAACACCTCTCTAGGTAGGTACCAACAAAACTTGGAATGGGCTGATAGGGGCGCCAAAAAAGAAAAAAACTTATTCTCAATCGCTCTACTATCTTCTCTCAAAGGCCATTCAAAATTGTCTAAATTTCTTTTTAAAAATTTCATGTTACAGGATTTTTTAGTCATTCTCAAAAGTCTGCTTACATACCAATCTTCATCAAAATAGATGGCATAGTATTTAAAGAAAAGTTCTCAGAATCAAAACACGATCATGAATTAGAGGAGCTATAACTTTTCAATGTAAGGAATTCTTTTGTGAGGAATTTTAATGCTTTTACAAGATTTAATCAGAAATCCGCTAGAAACTTTAGAGAAAAATGTTTTTCTGGATTTTGACTTTTTGTGGTTTCTCATCCCTTAAACTCTAGACATGCAGTCAGTAGAAAGTCTGCTATTATTAGCATTAAAAAACCAACATAATGCAGACTTTCTTACCAATATACTTCGACCTTCATTTAATTCAATGGTAATACAACTTATTACTGCTTTTTGACCTCTTTTTTGAATAATCCGAGGTTCTCACAATCAAATAAAACAAACTGGCACTGTAAAAATTCAAAAAAAGTACCTATGTAATTTATGAGAAGAAGCAACGCTCAGGAAGCTCAGAAACAAACTGTTTTCTCACATCATTCGGCAAGTATTACCAAGTATTTCAAAGTATTTCTAGGTATTCCTCGAAGTATTACCAAGTATTTCTAAGCATTTCTAGGTATTTCCAAAGTATTTCTAGATATTTCCAAGTATTTCTAGCTATTTCCAAGTATTCCCAGGAATTTGTACACCGATTTCCTTGGGTGAAATGAAAAGCCCCTCGGATTATTTAAAACAAATTATGGTGTGATTGACGGCATACTAAACAATTACCCCAGGCGTATTTGCTTACTATAAGGACTTATCGGTTTTTTCTATTTTTTTCTGAAAATTATAGTCAGATATTCTCTAAATGAATTAGTATGTTAATATTGAATTTTAAAAAACGCGCGCTTTGCGCGCTCTGTTATTAACCAGTACATATAAATTGCAGAATGCTTTGCAGAGCAATTTGAAAGCGTATACACATTACTGGATCAGAACACAAATAAACCCACACTTCCCTTGGAAACCTACTCCAGGACTGCAATTACCAACATCATATTCACAGCAGAAAAAGTAGAAACCGCAATCCCATCACTAAAACCAAACTCTAGTCCAGGGCCTGATGAGATCACACCAGTTTTTGTCAAGAACTGTGTACAGGTGCTGAAATAGCCTTTGCCTCACTTGCTTAACACCATAATGCGCACAGGAGATTTCCCTTTAGCCTGGAAGAGGGCTGTAGTAACACCAATATACCTACAAGAAAGGAAACAAACAGCATGCAGAAAATTATAGACCAATCAGTCTAACAAGTGCACTATGTAAATGCATGGAAAAAATAGTAGCCAAAGAACTCACTGATTTTTTACTTCAAAATGTTTTACCTGCTGAGCAACATGGCTTTCTCCCAGGAAAATCAACATTAACAAACCTGCTAACCAGACTAAATGAGTGGACCCTGGCTGATGACAACCATGAACCAATTGATGTCATTTACCTTGATTTTGAAAAAGCATTCGACAAGGTGCCAACAGAATTTTTGCTTTATAAATTGGAACATTTTGGAGTTGGAGGTAAACTTCTGAGGTTGTTGGAAGGCTTTCTCACTGTACGTACCTTCCAAGTACGTGTGGATTCCTCACTTTTAAAGGAGCACAAAGTACACAGCGGTGTTCCTCAGGGGTCAGTCCTTGGCGCGCTGCTGTTTATAACTTACATAAGTGATCTCTATCAAGGGCTTCACACGAATAATGCGACATTTGCTGATGATGGAAACCTATACACAAATCCGCTGCTACATCAGGTTGAATTACAGATGGACCTTAACAACATTAAAGCTTGGACACATAAGTTTGGGCTGCCTCTGATTGATTACAAATGCGCTGTCCTTCATATCGGTCAAAACAATCCCAATTTCAACTATTTCTTTGAACAAACGGAAATAACACCAGTAACGAAACAACGAGACTTAGGAGTCACTTTAACATACGACCTGAAATGGGATACACATATCACACAAATGTCCAAAAAGGCTAATTCAATGATCTACCTTATTCAGATAGCCTTTAAAGACCTATCAAAGGAAATGATCTTGAAACTTTACAAGTCGTATGTAAGACCAAAAGTTGAATATGCCCTCGAATATGCCCAAACGATCTGGAATCCATACTATATTAAAGACATAGAATAGATAGAGAGAGTTCAAAGAAGAACAACCAGATTACTGCAGGAACTTAAGAGTCTGTCCTATGAGGAACGGCTCCTGAGATTGAACCTCACAACTTTAAGAGACAGGAGAATCAGAGGTGATCTCATTGAAATACATAAAATACTCAACGGTCACTATGCCTGTAACCTGAGAGACATCTTCCACCTAAGCCACAACATAAATCTGAGAGGACACAATCAAAAGCTATCTAAAGAAAGATGCAATAAGCTCCTGAGGAGGAATTTCCTTAACAATAGAGTTGCTTATAATTGGAACCGCCTGAGCGCTGACACCATAAACTCTACCTCCAAAAATCAGTTTTAAGAATCGCCTCGACCAGGAAATGACAAGTTGGGCCACAACCTCCTTTGTGCACTACTGTCTATAGACCATACAATCAGAACTAAGAATGCGATAGCTGTCTAAACAAATACGGCAGTCTCATCGGTTTTTCTTTAAACTGCCTACTGCTGTTAACAATAATAATAATATAACACAGTTTATAGCCAGTAGTAAAAGAACTGTAACAAAACTAACCAAAAATATGCAAACTAACCCGTCCACCGTCCACGTAATGCGCCCTAGTCCTTATAGTAAGTACAATATAAAAAACCGCTGACAAATTGATGGAAAAATAATGAGCATTAGGTAGGTATATGCCTTTTCCGTAACTAAAACGTACTAAACCTTATTAGGTATATTGTTGGAAACTAAATATTCCGCCCTGTTTTTGAATGGGAACTAAGTGATATCTGAATGAAATTATTGCGAAATAATTCCATAGAAGTTGCGACCTATAAGTTACCAGAACTGAATCTGCAATCTAATTGAAAATTCAAGAAACATAAAATATACAACCAAAAAACTAAAATAAATTGGACGTTTCCAAAATTCCTTGTTTTGTCTTGTGACGTCATACTTAAATGGTCAATATCTAACCCATCACCATATGCAGTCAATCAAAAAGCCCTATAGAAAATTTAAATTAGTAAAAATGTTTTTTTTTCGACGCCTTAATTTGTTTCAAATAATCATTTGAAACAATATCTGATGGTAATTTCTTTAAAAAAAAGAAAAGCATCATAAGTCCCTATGGTAAACAAATACGCCTGGGGTAATTGTTTAATATGTAGTCAATCATCAAAAAGCCCTTTAGAAAATTGGAACTGATAAAAATGTTATTTCCGACACCATAATTTGTTTTAAATAATCGATATAAACAATATCTGATAATAATTTTCAACAAAAAATTCGAAAATACCGTAAGTCCGTTTAGTAAATAATTACAGGAATTTCATGATTTTCTCAGGTTAATGCTATGAGAAATTTTTTTGACTTGTATTGAAGTCCAGAAGAGAGCCTTCCGAAAGCGATTTCCAACTTAGAAGTTGAAAAAAATTGCTTCTTGAGCTTTGGAAGAGTTTCTTAGGCCTGGAACAGTTTTTTTTTACTCTGGAGTTGCTTTTTGAGTGATTAAAGGGCTCTTTACAGGAGTTTATTCATTCCAAAATGAGGCAATTCCAAAAAAATCTCTAATCTCTAAAATACTTGTGACAAACATAGCATAGGACCCTGTTCCAGATTTTTTTAAATTTTGAAATAAGCGTAAGTAATAAAAACGCACCTCGTAATAGTTGTAATCCTGTAAAAGACCTTGATTGTAATGTGAGATATCAAGATAACCAATCTAAAGGCGTGCCAGGTTTACTTAACCAGGTAATAATATGCATAAATGAAATTTCAAACAACAATAATTAATTAATCAGCAAATCCCACTCGAAAGTGGGTTTTATATTGAAGGTGTGTGCTCCTTTTGCTTTCAAAATTTAATCTAGGTCTTTGTGTGTAGGTTCCAGGAATGTATTAATTTTTCATAATCTTTGCACTGAACTTTTGTTCTTCTTCAGACACTGAGAACTTAAGACTTTAGGCGCAAATTGTAAGAAAACTGTAATGATTTTCTGGGAAATAATTATTGTCAACTGATTGTGGGATTGCCAAAAAGAAAATAAAATAGGATTGAAAAAATATCACATTTTCTGAGAAATAAAATCAATTCTTTAATGTTTCTCAATAATAACTTCAATTATTTTCCAAAGAGAACATAATTATCTAATTATCTACCTTTTAAGGGCTTGACTGTACGCCATTTGATCAAAATTCCCTATTCAGGTATACTTATAAGTAAGGTAATAAGTAATATTTTCGTGTTGTTGTTTTAGGTATTATAGTAATTATCTAGGCTAGGGCCTATTGTAGTTGATTTAAGTAATAGTTACCCTCTTACTTGTCATTATTAAATCATTAATTTGATCCTCTTCTGGCAATACAAAACCCCTTAGAGTAACCAGCAACACAAGTTGGCAGAATGTTTGCAAATTTATCAATTTGTACTTCTAGAGAAACTCATGTCTCTGTGTGGATTTGTTGTTTTTCAACCTATTCCTGAAAGTTGAAGTGTTGAAGCCACAATCAGACTACAAAATCAAAACTTCATAACCTTCAATGAATGAATCTCAAAATCTGACATGTAAATGTCTAAAAACGACTTTTTTTTTCAGAAAATAACATGATCACAGGTCCATGGAAAAGAATGGATAAGAGATCAAATTATCACAGCAGATAGTCCAGGGCGCAGGAATAGCCGAAAAAGACATGAACCTTGCCGAACCAACCAACGTTTCGGCTTTGAAAAGATCGAAAGTGTGTGGGTACCGAGATGCGGTACCCGCGGTGCACGGTAAAACATTGGGACCGTGCCCGCCGCAAGGGAACCGGGCACGGCTGAGCAATCACCAAAGGAATCTGAGCTTGGATTTCAGGTAAGAATTATTATTGATGCAATTTTCGATACCTATTTACAAACAAAAATAGAGTAGAAAATCAAAATTAATAATTGTTTTTAAAGGTCATAAGTTACTTTGAAGTCAAATAAAGCGAAAAATCTCTGATTGCCTTGAAAATGTTTTAGGAAAAAGCAAATCTTTAATAAGAAAATGGATTTTTGAAAAATCATTTCCAAGAATTGAGTCTGTTGAAACTCGTAACTTTTCCAAGGAAAAAGATTTAGATTATTTTCGTCTTTAACCGCTTTTCGACGTCATCACGAATACATTAATAATATTTATAGCTGCAAAATGTAAAACACATGCATGACATGACGTGTTCCAGTCCAAAATTATAAATCTTTATTACAGTGACGAATTGGATATTTTTGTTAGATTTTAAACACTTTTGCTTTCAGTAAATCAAAACTAGAGAAAGATTCTGCAAATATTGTAAAAGGAATTTATTTTCTGCCCTTAATACTTAAATAACTGTTAAGGTGTTTTAATTAATGTTAAGAATTTTAAGCAGCTTTCTTCTACTAGAAGCGGTGTCAAGTAATACTAAATACGATGTCGGTTTCAGGGTAACTTTCTCTTGTATCCATTGGCATATCTTGGAATCAATGCTGCTTCTTAGCAAAATCTCTTTTAATTAAATAACCAATAACTGATTTTCTTTAGAAAGTGTGTAAAATGCCCTAATCTCAAGATAGGGCACGGATATTAAATAAATCGAAAGCAATTGAATAATAATAAAATATTATCTAACAGCGGAATAATTATTATTGCATTAATCCTCCTCAAGCATCATCTCACGCTTTTAACAGTTGCTTGATTAAATTTAACCTTTATTGTGTGCAGTACAATGGCAACGCTTACAAGTGGAGTTAACAAGGCGAAACAATTTCATTTGTTGACACAATAAAAATTTTATTGAGAGGAATAGTTACAAGATGATCATAAATTACCATCACTTTGGGTCAATTTCCATTTTGAGATTTTGTCTTTAAATGATGGGCGGAAAAAAATTGAAAATTCTCTTCTTATTCCTTAACGCGATGAGAATCGCTGAAAATTTCAGCTTTCTATCTATTATAGAATTGGAGATGCTTTTCAAAGTTTTGGAAAATTCAAATCAAAAGCCCCCTGCCTTAAAGTACTAAAATGATGAAATTGAAAATTTTCTTTTGTTGAGATTTTGTGTTTAAATTATCATTTGGGACCCCCCAAACTCCATACACTAAATTATTCTTGGATTTGAAGCCAAAATCTTTAAAAAAGGTCGTCAGGAAATTGAAAAATTGATAAATTCACCCCACATTGCTTAACGCGATTTTATTTCTGGAACTATAAGTCCAAATGAGCTGAAATTTTCAGGGATTTTAGGCCTCTACTAGGATAAGAATCACTAAAAATGTCAGCTTTCTATATCTATAATAAAATTGGAAATATGATCTTACAAAGTTTGTGGAAATCAATGTTGAGAATTCGACTTGAAATGATCATTTGGGACCCCCCCAAACTGAATACTGTAATGCCAAAATGTTTGAAAAAACATCAGTGAAATAATTAGAAAAGCTTCAGCTAATTTAATTTTTTTTTTTTTTGAAAAACTAAACACCGTAAACATCCACACTCTAATAAAGCTTCAACATTATTTATTATTTAACAAAAACATACATGGAGTTGTACTTAACATAAAATAAGAGGCATCGGAATGCGATAGTGATGGAACGGAATGGAATGTTCGCCAACGCCATATTAATTACACGGAATGCAGAAAAATGCCTGATTGAACTTAATGCGTAAATAATATTTTAATTTGTATAACTTTACTTATGCTGAATGCGTTATAATTTATATGAATACAAAATACAATTTATCTATAATAAGATTATATAAATTGTTTCTACAGTTTTATTAATGACAAAGTAAGTAAAGTCCGCTGAGTGGTCAAGGTGGATTATTAGAACATTTGAAGCTAAATTGTAACTTTACATTGAAAAAATTACTGTTTAATGAACTATAAAAATGAAATAAACATCGAAATTTTCAATAAAAAAAGACTGATCTAACTTAGTTTAACCTTGACTTTCTCTTCTCCATATGATCTAACTTTTTCGACCAGTTTTTTTGCAAGGAAATCTTTCAACTCACACAAGGTTTGTCTATCTATGGTCAAGGTTCCCCCAATTATGTGGGTGCAGTCAGGTTCTTAGAAAAACAAAAAAATAATCATGTAACCCTCATAGATAACAATATTATTATATTGCGATATTTTTCCTTAAATAAATAAATATATCAATACACTTGAGAGCATTCCACTGTATTGTAAAGATTATTGTATCATTAAGTCAATTTTGCACTTGTTTCGCTTAATTCATTAATTTTGCTTGATCCCTTGTCATCCAATCATAAATTCATCAAATATACCATGAATATGGAATTCAAAAAGTACAGTTTCGATTCTCAAGTACTCTGGTGTTCTATTTAAAAACCTCACCACACCCATTCCCATATACCGAGGGCGTTCAACTTCTTTTTTTTTTATTTTCCTTTTAATATCCCACTTCCACTCATGCACGGATTCCATAACACAGTAATGTGTGCCCGAGGTACTATTTTACAGTCTGGTACTTTTACGATGTCCTTCTCTCTGGTACTTGCTAGTTTCCCATGACCCTTTTTTTTTATCCCTAATGTGAAAATAATATTACACTGCGGGCTGCAGACTGGAACTAATTTATTTAAATAGCGATTCGTGTTGTTAAGAAACCAATTTCTTCTTATAATATGTGATGCTTACAAAGTGTGGGAAGATTTGTTTATATAGTATAAAGTTCCAATGATACTGGCAATAGATTTAAACATTGTCTATCTGTGGCGTAATAATATAGCCACATTCCAAAACTCAATTAGAGCATGGCGCCATTCGAATGAATAATTGCTTCTTATGCTTTGTGTGAGTTGTAATTAAAAATGTTTATTAATTGGGATGTTATGTATCAACTTATGATATGTTTTTGCCAGAAAGCTAAATTTAATGGTTTGGAATCACACACATACCTAAAATTAGCAAACTAGTCACTTTTTCTGTTTATGCAGATTTTTGTTCATTATCTATCGAGTGTCGAAATATAAGAAAACTTATCTTAATTATTATCTCATTCAAGATAATTGTTTCCCTAAAACAAAAAAACCATTTTCGGTGTAAAACAACCATGATCCAATTGAAAATAAATCGCCGGATATTGCTTTTTAACGCCTCAGATCCGAGAAGCACTCTCTTGTTTTCAAATTCACGAATAATTAAAGTTGTTAGCACGCCCTTGACGCAAATTCGTTATTCTCTTGAATTTGTTAATTGCTCTAACGAAAAATTGTTTTCAAGGCAAAAATGCATAATTCCTATCGTATATTATTGGATTTGTATTGACACATCAAGAAAACAAAACACAGCTTTCTTATCGGGCGGTATCCTATACGAATAAAATGAGAAATTGTATGAAAGAGGGACATAAATTCAATGGCTGTCTAACAAAAAGCCCATTTAAAGCTTTCCTTCATATAAAAGGGGACTGGTTGAATAAGAGCACTATTATTAAATTATCATGACGGAATGCGGGCTTTAAAAAGCCATTTTGATTCCTATTAAGGCCGTTATGTGGGAGCTGTGTTCTCGATTTATGGTTGTCTTCAAGTCATGTTTAAAAGATAATGCCACTGATATTATTGGTAATCCAGAAATAGTCCATCAGGCTTTGATCTGTAACTGTTGTCAAATAATTTTAAAAAATGGTTATTTATAGGCGATAGAAGATTAAAAGATTTCATGGATCTTTCCTGGAAAACTATTAAACATCGACTCGATAATGTCTATTTTGAGAATTATAGTATAGTATCTACTAGAAATTTTATAGTTTTTAGAGTAGTCCGAGTTCATCTATTTTAGAATAATTACTCTCGACTAGACTGTACTTTTTGCTGGCACTGACAAATTAGGTGGGTGAGAATCAAAATATTAATAGATACATTTTGTACTTGACCTTACCAGCATATTATAGGTGAGCTGCTCATTATAATTAGATTATTTTTTTGGTTAAAGTAGTGCTCCTTGAATCCACCTCACACCTTTGGTAATTTGATTAGGAAAAAGTCAGGAGTTGAATCATCTGATAAACATTTAGTCGAGTAAAAGTGAAAAATTATAGAAATTCATCAGACATTTAAAATGATGAATTATCTGGCGTTCCCTTATAAAAAGCTCCTTCAGTTTGGTACGAATGTAGATGTACTACACAGGATCTTGGTGTAATCTTCTGGATGTCTGACTTGTGGTGAAGTTACATTGAATTATTAGCAAATTACCAACCTCAAGAATTCAATCAATGTTAGAGCCTCCTAAATCCTGATGAAGATAACAGCAACTTGCCTGTACAAATAAAAAATAAGCCTTGGCCCAAAATTTAAACTATTAAATCCACTTACCTGCATTTTAACTTTTATACAACGAAATTTGAACTTTACTTGTGACTAAAGCAAATAGACTCCAGTTTCCAAACCTAAATGAACTTTATCATTGTTATTTCCGCTTCCGGCCTAATCCCAGACGAACTTTATTGACTTGGCGACTTAATTTCAATTGTCCCCATTCAAACAAGAAATTATTTCCGATTTGGCACGGTTTCAAGATAATGAATGACAAAATTTAATACTTCCTATTTTTATTAATTGACATTTTTCTTGTTTCAGGTCAATGGGTATACTTTTACCGCCCGTAACTCAAGTGACCACGGCCACGAGTTCTCACATGACCCTTCATCACAGGAATCGGTCCTTGGACTCGGCCCTGCAAAAAATACCAGAAGTGGACGTCACTCCGAGTCCCGAGTGCGAAAACGGCGTCGTCGTTGCCGCCGTTTTGGCAGATACTGTCAGACATCAGGTAAGAACAATAACTTTAACGGATTTTTCAGTTTTTAAAAATGTATCTTCAAAGGTACTGAGATGTTTGAGAAAAGATCAGCGAAAAAAATTGAAAAATGATAGAATTAGTCCCATTTCTTTAGCACCTCTAGAATTATAAGTACAAATAAACTGAAATTCCCAGAGTCTGTAGTCCTTGATCTAAGAAATTGCAACACCCACTAAATGTAAATATATTTCATTAATATTTTGGGAATGAGCTGGGTTAAATATGAATAGCAATCGACGACATTTTCAAACAAATTTATTGTAAGGAATTCTTATTAATTCAATAGTCAGTTGCGCCTCGACGAAAGTTTTTGTATTCTGCAACTCTTCGTGGTATGCTGCGAATCAGATGATCCATATCTGCCTGTGTTAGGTTCTCCCAGACTAATCTTATCTCATGACGTAGACGTAGATCCAGTAGAAGATGTGGCAACCACCTCAGCCTTCTACCTAAATTATCCCAGACTTGTGTAATAGGCGATAAGTCTAGTGACCTTGCGGGTCATGAGAGATGGGTTACATTAGCTTGTTGAAGGAAGTGGCTAGTAACCGCAAAGGCATGCGGTCCTGCATTGTCTTGTGGAAAAATTGGATCTTGCAGTCGCTGGAGGTAGGGCAACATAGAAAAGTCCGTCGCAGATGTGAAGAAAGGCACCAACTTCAATTTTCCATGGAAAGTGAGACTGCGCTAACTAGGGGCGTTATGGCTTGGAGTGCCATAGCAGTTGGAAGCAGGTCACCTCTAGTTTTTTTGGATAGAAACATGAACGCTCATACCTTCATTAATAACGTATTATAACTTGTCACGTTGCCCTACCTTCAGCAACTGCAAGATCCAATTTCTCAACAAGACAATGCGGGATCAAGTACCGCTGCAGTTACTAGAAACTTCCTCCAACAAGGTAATGTAACCTTTCTTTCATGGCCCGCAAGGTCACCAGACTTATCGCCTATTGAACATGTCTGAGATGTGATAGGTAGAAGGCTGAGGCAGTTGCCACATCTTCTACTGTATGCACGACATCTACGTGATGAGATAAGATTAGCATAAAAGAACCTACCACGGGCAGGTATCGATCATCTGATTCACAGCATGTCACAAAGAGTTACAGAATGTCAAAACTTATGTAGAGGCGCAACTGACTATTGAATTATTAAGAATTCCTTTAAATGAATTTGTTTGAAAATTGCATCGATTGTTATCCATATTTATCCTAACTACTTCCCAAAATAATATTAAAATATATTTACATTTACTGGGGCTATGTCACACAGTATATAATAAATGGAGATACCTATGATTTTTCAATGTTTTAAAAAATTCAAATCCAAAGATTTTACTCAGTTAGTTTGAGTTTTTCACAAAAGGTTTAAAAGTGACCAGCGAAAAAATTGGTTAATGATAAAAGTTTCCCCAATTTTCTTATCAAGATTCTATATCAGGGTTGTAGTCCTCCATTAGAATAAAATTCTTTGGTAAAATGTAAGATTCCTCAACCTCAATACAAAAATGTTGAACCCGCTATAACTCTGGCAATAATTATTATTGTATTATCTATTTGTGTTGACAATAATTTTTCATATTTGATTAACATTTATCTACCTAATCAACACTACTTGAAATATATAATGATTATGTAGTCGTTATTTTTTAAACTTCAAGCATTTTTTATGAGTTGTTTAATCTACTGTGAGAAAAATTCTCAAACTGACATTTGATACAAGAATATCCCTTGACTTGGGTCGCATACTAAAATTGACAATGTTGCGCAAATGGAAATTCAATAGCTTTGAGATAACACAGAGAGAGGATGTGGTGGCATTGAAAATCCCATGATATTCGATATTGTCGAAAGATTATTGTTGCACTTATTCATAATAATTGTTATCAATTTAATTATTGACGCGCATTTTCGCATTTGATGAATTTGATGTGGCAGATTTTGATGAATCGATGTTTTTAACCTGCAATGACCCTTTTTGAATTCCTAATAAATCATTTACCAACCTAAACTTTACAATCATCAGCAGAAAAAAAATTATTACAACAGAACAAGTAAAATGTTTCATTGAATAATTAATTCTTAAAAATTTACAGTTTAGTTCGAATATTTGTTTAAATAAATAATCTTGACTTAGTTATTGGTTTTTTTAATAATAATTTTAACCAGTTATTCTTGTTTGAATTGCATATTCAACAACAAAGTTAAAAGTTAATGATTTTATATGAATACAAACATGCCAAGGCTTGCTGGAATTGAATTGCCATTAAACAAAAAAAAAACACTCTAATCCAAACAGTTTGCTTGACTTTTTTGAAAAAGCATAATTACAGATTTGTACACAGCCATTTGTACACACCAACGAAGCCTCTATTGCGTTTTCATAAAAACGCCGCCCTCTTTAATTATCAGAAGTTGAAATATTCCTTCGAAATTTCAACACAAATTTTGATTGTTGAAAAATGCTTTTGCTTACAAAACGCAAAATGTTACACAATTTCCCTTGAAGAAAGGGGGGCAACATAGAGGAATCGATAATCGCTGAAATCCAAACAAAACAAAGTAATGCCTAAAAGTAGGTACTCTTATTGATTAAATTTGAAATCGTTTTTTTCATATAGTTTCAAGTAAATGATACACTAAAGGCCGGTTTACCTAAAGGCCGGTTTACACATATCTGTTATAATTACTTACCCCTTCGCTTAAATCCCTTAAACCCAATAAATCTTTAAATTTTAGAAATGTTGGCCCTGATTGGGCTGGCTTTTTTGTATCTACATAAATTAAGTTTATCAGACCCTTTCTTAAATTTTCAGACACAAAATTAAACTTTAAATCAATATGTTTGACTCTACGATTATTAGAAGGATTTCTAATTTATTGCCAAACAACCCTGATTATCTTCGAAGAAAGTTATTGATTCGAAGTTGATATCATATGGTTTCTCAGCCACAATCCATCAGTAACTGAAGTACACAAAGCCACCAGTTCTGCTGCTAGTTGTAGATAATGACACGCAAGATTGTTTTCTTTTACTCCACATTAAAATATTATTAAATGCTTTAAAAAGGTATTCTGTGACTGATTTTCTATCTTGAGTGTCACCACCCCAATCTGCATCTACATAACAATATAATTCGCCTTCAGTATCTACTCTACAATATTTTAGGTCAACATTGACAGTGCCCTTCAAATACCTTAGTATTTGTTTTAAATGCGACCAATTTTCATCAGTTTCCTTATCTTGATAGCGAGCAAAAACATTTACTGAATAACAAATATCGGGTCTACTTTCCAACATCAAATACATAAGGCAACCGACCAACTCACGAAAAGGTTTTTCTGTCTTTTTCTTTTTTCCATCAAAAAATTCAAATTTCCATCAATCGGATCAATAGGTATGCTTAAACTATTGGATTCGTCCATTCCAAATTTTTTCAACACATTTTCAGTATAATTTGACTGATCTATTGTTACCATTCCCTTATCACTATCATAATTAATATTAAGACCCAAAAAATGTTCAAGTTTCCCTTTATTTTTCATTTGAAACTTCCCCATTGATTTTATCTTTTATATTATTTTAAATTTATGCTGGCTAAAATAATATCATCAACATAATATATAGTCCAAGAAACGGAGATCTGAAAAGAGGGGTTACCTCAACATAATTAGAAGTTGAAATTTTTTTGGGGGGATCGGTTCATTTTAATATGCTAAACAACATATTAAGTTTGCGACCTTGTACTTCCATAGGGTTTTCAGTTAGGGGTGGTTTTTAGGGGTAATTTGCGGTTTATGGAGAACGCTGCTCAAAGGGATGGTTCAATAGTAAAAAGTTTCAAATGAATGTTGTAGCTGAAGTTTTTTGCTATAAAAAACTCAGCGACAGCACCCCTCTATCTTCTATAGTTTTTTTTCTGCAGCTTCTTGAATAGTAGCATGTTTTTGTTCAAGGTCACTGAATCAACGTTTTGCCATTTTACGCGCATTTGTTGCAGCAGCGGCCGAATGCATAATCCGATTTCAATTTTTTCAGACACCACATTATTTCTAATGAAATGCACTCTCCAATGCTTTTTTGTTCGAATTTTTTGCTTGAAAATTAAGCGAGCACGGACTTGTCTAATGTGCGAGGAAGTTGTAAGTTGCATCGAAAGCTACCCCTTTCTTGCATTCACTCTAATTTCTAAACGGGGCCAAATATTTGGTGACAGTTTTCGACAATCGGCAGCCCATTTATTCCTCTCATAATGCCCCAGCGGATTTTTTTTTTCGTTAATCACTTAATGACTTATTGGCCTGAGAACGCCGCGCGGGATTTTTCAAAAAGTAAAAATAATTAAAATTGTCGCATAGCGCAGAAATTTGGTACGATGGCCGTATTTATTGTTCTTACGAATATACTGCAATTTTAATTGCTTCACATGATATAAAATTGCAGTATAATCATGAGAACAATAAATAAAGCCATCGTACCAAATTTCAGCGCTATGCAACAATTTTAATTTTTTTTTACTTTTTGAAAAATCGCGCGCGACGTTTTCAGGCCAATAAGTCATTAAGTGATTAACGAAAAAAAAAATCCGCTGGGGCATTATGGGAGGAATAAATTGGCTGCCGATTGTCGAAAACTGTCACCAAATATTTGACCCCGTTTAGAAATTAGAGTGAATGCAAGAAAGGGGTAGTTTTCGATGCAATTTACAGGTTCCTCGCACATTAGACAAGTCCGTGCTCGCTTAATTTTCAAGCAAAAAATTCGAACAAAAAAGCATTGGAGAGTGCATTTCATTAGAAATAATGTGGTGTTTGAAAAATTGAAATCGGATTATGCATTCGGCCGCTGCTGCAACAAATGCGCGTAAAATGGCAAAACGTTGATTCAGTGACCTTGAACAAAAACATGCTACTATTCAAGAAGCTGCAGAAAAAAAACTATAGAAGATAGAGGGGTGCTGTCGCTGAGTTTTTTATAGCAAAAAACTTCAGCTACAACATTCATTTGAAACTTTTTGCTATTGGACCATCTTTTTGAGCAGCGTTCTCCATAAACTGCAAATTAACCCTAAAAACCACCCCTAACTGAAAACCCTATGGAAGTACAAGGTCGCAAACTTAATATGTTATTAAGCACATGAAAATGAACCGATCCCCCCCAAAAAATGTTAACTTCTAATTATGTTGAGGTAAACTTCCTTTATTGCTTGGACTAATAGGTATTAACAGAAAATACTTTTCGTTTTTAGTGCTCAAAACATATAAACAATAATCATTTTCAGATCGAACAAAACCAATACTAAGCAAGAATTTATCAATTTCATTGTTCCAACATTTGGATGACTAAGCCCATACAAAGATTTTTTTAATTTTGAAACGGTATTAGGAACACATACAATTCCTTGTGGTGGAAATATATAAACATCTTCTTCTAAATTTCCGTTTAAAAATGCGGTCTTTACGTCTAATTGTAAGAAGTGAAACTTACATTGATTTCCAATCATAAGTAACATTCTAATGGTGGTCATTTCCACAAAAGGTCAGTATAAATCATCATCCACTCTTGGGCAAACCCTCTTACAACTAACCTAGTTTTAAATTTGCCACATCTATTTTTCTTCAAACTTTTATAAGTGAAAACCCATTTAGTATCAAGTATACAAACATTTTCTGGTTTCTTAACTGACATCCAAGTTTCATTCTTTTCTATCGATTCCAACTCCTTTTCTACCACTTTCCCTTATCTGGATAGAGAAGAAAAATTATTTGGTACATTTTCAACAAAGTTATAAGCATTAAAAGCCATGTATAGTTCATATTCATCAAACTTGGATGGCACTTTAACGCTTATTTTCTCTACAAATTCTGTCTCGAAACTCACTCACTATTATTTTTAGAAGTAGCTAATAGATTCTTAGAAATATTTTCATCAAGAATCATTATCAACCATACCAACAACATTATTTTTGAATGGAAAAACATTCTCATTAAATTCTAAATTTCTAGAAATAGTAACTTTTTGTTTTTTGAAACTCCACAACCTATAGCCATTATTTGCATAACCAATCATTACACATTTTTCAACTTTAGAATCAAATTTGTCCCGACATTCTTTGAAAATATGGCTATACGCTAAGCAACCAAAAATTTTGAAATTACTTACGTTTGGTTTTTGTCCATACCATATTTCTGCTGGTGTCATTCCATTGGAAGAAACTGATGTGCCCCTATTCACATTTATAGTTCACCCCAATATTCCTTTGGTACTTTAGAATCCTGAATAATTGCTCTGCTTCTCTCAACTAAGCTTCTGTTTTTTCTTTCTGCTTTTCCATTCTGCTGTGGGGTATATGGTACTGTGTGATCCAAAATTATACCTCGTTCCTTACAAAAATCTTTAAAACTCCTAGACACATATTCACCCCCATTATCACACCTTAGTTCTGGAATTCTATTATTAAATTTGGACTCTACGATACTGACATACTCTTTAAATTTATCAAAAACTTCATTTTTTGCTTTAGGCAAATACATACAACAGAAATTCGAAGAATCGTCGATAAAAGTTACAAAATATTTATAACCATCATACGTAATGGGAGTTATTGGACCACAAACATCCGTATGTATAATTTCCAAAATTCTTTGACTTCTTATCCTTGAACCAAAAGGAAACCTAGTCATCTTACCACTCACACAGGGCTCACAAAATTCCACTTTTTTTATATTACCTGTGAATTTTCACATACAACCTTTATATTGGACATTTCTAGTTTCTTGACGCTTAATAAATTCTTTCTTAAATCGGGTACATATAAAACATTCTTTATGGTACAATTTACCTTCTTTTCTCTTACTTTACTAATAGCCCTTATCTTTTTTTCCTGTTCTGAATACCTGAACCACGAAATGAACCTCTTTGACCCAATGTTTGACCATATCTTAAACCATATTCTCTACCTCTGTCTTCATATCTCTAATCTGCTCCATTGTCATATTTCCAAATTTCAATTTGTCTTTGCTGATTATTACTATATCTCCCATCATTATTTGTACGAAAATTCGTTCCTCGACCTCAATTTCCATAAAAATGTCCATATCGTTGGTTATTATCGTTATTTAACTTTTTACAGTCCTTCTTGAAATGACCAGATTTGCCACATCTATAGCATGTACCTTTTTGTTGTGTAGTGAAAGCAAATGTACTGTCCTGACCATCATTAATTCTCTTACCTAAATTTCTTTTTTTCAAATTCTGCCACCAACCTCCGTTTCACCATTTCAAATGTCATATTCGGGGTACTTTCAATAATTGCTACTATGGTCTCATAGGATTTGGGCAAACACAAAAGCATGTTACAAATCAGGTCTTCATCACTTAGCTGTGCACCTGAACTCTTCAATTGCCTGACAATTTCATCGAAATCACTAATAAATTTTTCCATTGATTGTCCCTCGTTGAGCTTCATTGATAATAATTTTCTTTTCTAAAATAGCTGGCCTGGCAAACCTTTTTTCTCATACTTCTCCTTTAAAATTTGCCACATTTGAAAAGCTATTCTTTTTTCTCGTAGACATTCTAACTGATTGTCATCTACACATTATAGATACAATCAAAGATTTGGCTTTGCAATCCCTTTTGTTTACCTGCTGTCTTTTATTTTCGGTGGCCAAATTACCTGGAATGGATTCTGTTTCCATCATATCTGTCACTCCATTTTCTGCCAAAATCCTTTCAATTCGGAACTTCCAGTTATGATAATTATTGCCATTCAAAGCCTCAATTGCATAATTTTTCCCGGCTTGAGCAATTTTCAGAACTTTTTCACTTGGATTACTTTGGCGCCCTAGGTAACTGGGCCCATAACCTGTAATAATTACTATTTAAACTGCAGTGGATACTTCTTCAAATTAACTTTTATTTCACAGAGAACAAAGACAGGATTAAACAATTCTACATATTTCAATTACATACATTTTGTCAAAACTACAATTAAAACATCAGACAGGGATAAGCAGATTTTAGCTTATATTTCAACCAATGACATGCCAGAACTGGAACGTCAGTGAGACTGGCTCCAGCTACTGGATACATGTAAATCGGCCCTTATACCAACTAATGAACAAGATACCTGAAACCGTTATTGATTCACTTAAACTTAATTTAGGTTTACATCATTTCTACAATAAATTTGAATGAAAGGTTTCAATAGTTCTAAGTTCTAAAACTGCCTGAGTAGATTATTTTGAAAAAAAAATTCTTTAGGTCTCGGCCAAACAACGTGACGAATTAGCATCGCTAGGTTCGGACGACAGCGGCATCTTATGCGGTTCCGATACCAGCGATACCACAACCAGAGAATCCAGCGTCGAACATCTGTCCAACGTGGAAAGTCGAGAAAGCTTGGACGATCTGGACGAGAAATTAGTACCACCAAAGTGCCAAAACGCCCTAGCGAACGAGCAAAGGACTAAAAATCGCGATGTAAATAATTTTTGTAATATAGACGATGTAAATAGTGGCAAGGAAAGTGTTACGAAGCCGCCGGCCAAGAGTTCTGGAATGCTGAGGCTTTTAGAAAGCAAAGTTTTCGACGTGCCCATGGCAATGCATTATTTGTTCAACAGCAAAGAACCAGGAGTAAGTTATAGTTATTAAGTTAAAAGGCTTTTTCTGGCTAGACAGAGCAATAATTCAAATCCACACCTTAATTTCCGTATTCTTGTCGAGCCCGATGTTCAATATTTCATACAGACGGTGTTAAGGTGTGGTTTTGATGTTCCTGAAACGTGTGTCACGTGCAAATAGAGGGTTGGGGGCGATAACCCAAAAAATATTTGACGGACTGATTAATGGGCGGAGGGGTCTGCTACTTAATTTAATGGGATTTCATGACGGAAATGTTTAAGTTTATCTATTTTGTTGAGTGATAAGGATATACAGGGTAATGACTGATTTGTGTTTATTTTAAAGTTTATTTATAAAATGTATGGCTATTTCATCTATTGCTTTACTGTTATAGTCATTGGAATTTTCTAAAAAAAAAAAACAACTAATTCAAATAACTTGCCCTTTCCATTATTATAAATAAACATTATTTCATTGTTTTAAACTTTCTTCATTATAAAAAAAAAACGAAAGTGTTACTCAAATACATACAATCACAGGCAGATTCCTAGTTATAATGAAATCTAAACAATACTAATTGGGTTTTTGCACATGTTCAAATTCAGAATTAAAACCCATTAAAATCTGTTTAGATAATTATATTTTGTATGTGTGAACATCAATTTCAAATTACTCAAATAATGTAGGTCGGTTTTTGATGGGTTTTTGGTTTTAGCTAATTTTTGGTTTAATTTTAGGTTCTCTGTTATATCGTCAACAAAATGTTCACTTTTAGTGACCAAGAAGTAGATTTTTATCTGCCGCAACTCGTCTGTATGTACATAGAAATGCACGAAGTAGCTGAAGTGATTCATCGATATCTTGTCCATCGGTAAGTAGATTTTGTAGGAGAACAACCCATAAAATCATTCAGCTAGAGTATAAATTTTCGATTGCTGTTTGGAAAAAATCCTGTTTGATATGTCGATAGGGGATCTGGATTTTATCTTATAAATTAAGACAAATAGGCCTACGGCTGGGGAAAATTGAAATGGAAGCTCTAAAAATACTACCCCGGGCAGCTTTTGATAGGATTGGGCGTCTCCGCTGAGTCTAGACATTTGTTTTTGTGTGTGTTTACATAATATGTATAATCTATATGAAAAAAAAATCAAATCAAGGTTACCTTCTTGGCAAAATTTTTGATATGCAAAGGTGATTTATTAGTTATCACCTATGACAAATCAGTGGTGTTTCCGAAGCAGTTTAAAAAAACACATTTTACATAAAAGGAATACTTTAAACTCTAAAAGCATTTGTGTAATTTTTAGAAAATTTTATGTTATCGTAAATAGAATAATTTAGTTGAGCATGTTCAATTGAAATACATATAGCAAATATCAGGTATCATATTTAGCTTTGCGTATATTGCAAATAATTAAGTTTAATTGCTATTAACGTAACAATGACGATAGCAAAATATTTCCAACCATTATCGAACCTTTTAAGACAGGAAATTGTCCCAAAAAGGCTATTTTTATCCTCCCTAAAAAGTGACAGAACCCTTATGATTGGGGTTTTATAAATGGTCCCTATAAAAGCGAAACTGTAAACCGACATTAATTTCGGCCGGCTGTACTTTAGGGTTCATCATTACTATGCCGCGCCCCGTTTTTCGGCATTTGGGGCGCGTATTCAAAAACTGGGTCGAGTCCTAGAAATGAATAGTAGAAAAGGAGTGTCCCTGGATTATTTTTGATTTATTTTTTGGAGGTGCACCTGTACCAACAATGTATTTGAAAATTATTAATTTTTATTGTTCCTCGTCTCGATATATGATATATATCTGTTTTATTTGATTGTTAGTTGTTTATTTTTTTGAGATAATACATGTTGATGAGGATATTCTACTACTGAATACGTTGACATTGAAACTATAAGTTCAAATGAGCTGAAATTTTCAGGGAATCCTAGTCCTAGGACTGGGATAAGAATCGCTGAAAATTTCAGCTTTCTATCTCTAAGAGAAAAAAAAATTATGACCTTTCAAAGTTTTCTAAAATCTAAATCATAAGGTAAGTTACCTTAATACTAAAATGATGAAATTTAAAAAAAAATTATATTGATATTTTGTGTCTTAATGATTATTCGGGATCCCCCAAACTTCATAAACTAAATTATTCTGATTTGAATCCAGATTCTATGAAAAAGGGCACTCAGAAAAATTGATAAACCACCCCAAATTGCTTAACACGATTTTATCTCAGGAACTATAAGTGCAAATGGGCTGAAATTTTCAGGAATTGTAGTCCTTTGAAAGGGATAAAATTCAGTGAAAGTTTCAGCTTTCTATCTATAATAGAAAAAAATGACCTTTCAAAGTTTTCCAAAATCTAAATCATAAGGTAGCTTCTTACCTACTAAAACGATGAAATTTCAAATTTTTTTTTGTCGAGATTTTGTATTCTAATGGTCAATCCGAGGGTCAATCAACATACCCCAAACTCCATACACTAAATTATTCTCAGATTTGAAGCCGAAATCTATGAAAAAAGGCACTCAGAAAAATTGAAAAATTGATAAATCACCCCAAATTGCTTAACACGATTTTATCTCAGGAACTATAAGTGCAAATGAGCTGAAATTTTCAGAGATTGTAGTCCTCTATTGGGATAAGAATCGCTGAAAATTTCAGTTTTCTATCTATAATAGAAAAAAAGTTATGGTTTTTTGAAGTTTACAAAAATCTGAATCATAAGGTCCTTACCTTAGTACTAAAATGATAAAATTTCAAATTTTTTTATGTTGATATTTCAAGAAATCCTAAGAATTTTCTAAGAGAAAAGCAGGATATTTGCAGAAGAATGATTTAGGGTTTAGGACCCAAGGATTTCTTCCAGTCTTCTCCAGAAAAACTGGAAAATTAGGAAAGAAACGATCAATAATTTAAGATTTGATCCCAGAATCCTCATTTAGGAAAGAAGAAAATCGATCAAGAGTCAGGACTCAAAGATTCTTCCAGTATTTTCCAGAGAATAAGCAGAAAATTAAGGAAAAAAAGGCCAGAATAAAAGAGAAAATTTAATGAAAATTGAGAAATGAAAAGAGGAGATTCAGAAATAGATTGACATATCAATATTTTCTTTATTCCAGGCTCTTGAAGTCTCTCTATTTAAAAAAAAGACATTTGGAGAAAACAGAAATTCAAGAGCCGGGGAATAGACAAAAAATTAAGACGGAAAAAATGGAAAAAAAAAAACTTAATAAAATTGGGAAATGTAAAGAGAAAATTCAGGAAAAATTGAGAAGAAATTGGTTGGCAAGTGAAAATATCAATATTTTCTCTGTCCAGGCTCTTGAATTCTCTTTATTTGAAATAAATTGAAAAAAAAAAGGAAATTCAAGAGCCGGGAATAAACAAGAATTGAAACGGGAAAACTGAAAATTAACTAGAGAAAAATGTAGATGTCATTTCAAGTACGACAGTTTAAGTAAAGACTCAAATTTGACTCTGATTTTCGAAAAATTTGGTACTTGTACTTAAATTTGCTGAATTCAAGTCAATTTACTTGATATTTTAAGTATTTCCTTCTGTACTTATACTATACTTGTACTAGTACTTGATTCGTATTAAAAAAGAAACTTGTAAGTACTTAATATAAGTACTTTCCCAGTTTTTTCAGAGAAGAAGGAGAAAATTGGGAAATTAACGATAAAAATTTGATTAATAGAATTTTTTCGAAGAAAAAGGAGAGAAAATGTCCAATGATAAATGACTCGGACTAGGAATCCTAAGAATCTTTTTAGAGAAAAACAGGATATTTGCAAAAGAATGATTCAGGATCTAGGACCCAAAGATTTTTCCAGTCTTCTCCAGGAAAACAGCGAAAAATTAGGAAAGAAACGATTAAAAATTTAGGATTTGATCCCAAAATCCTCATTTAGGAAAGAAGAAAATCGATCAAGAATCAGGACTCAAAGATTCTTCCAGTATTTTCCAGAGAATAAGCAGAAAATTAGGAAAAAGAAGGTCTGAATAAAAGAGAAAATTCAATGAAAATTGAGAAATGAATTGATGATGAATTCTCTTTATTGGGAAGAAATTGAAAAAATAGGAAATTCAAGAGCCGAGAATAAACAAAAATTGAGACGGGAAAACCGAGAATTAAGTAGAAAAGAAATGTATAGTGGAGGATTACAATTTCTCAATACTCATTTTCAGAGTTGTACCGAGTGTTTCAAATGCTTGAAGTATATACCTAAGTATTGATTTGGGTACTAATCGAAACATTGGTACTTGTAGTTATGAAATTTCACTTAAGTATTATGCTCAAATCATTCATATCTCCCTTATGCTTGCACCGGTACTTAAGTACTTCGTATTAAAACAGAAACTTGTACTTGATACTTAAGTACTTTTTCTTGGTTCTTACAACTAGACTTATAACTCAGTTTGAGAGTAATAACAATTTGAGTTTCAATAGAAGATAATGTTCAAAATTAGATCTCCCTTTAGATTTTGCCATGATCTATAAGCTGGAAGGGAGTATCGTCCAGAATCTCAGGAATATTGCAGTATAGCTTAACTAATCAATAGCTTGATAATGAAAATTTAATATCTTCATTTTCTAGACTCCTCTTGAAAGTCCATTACGTACCTAGACAGCACAAAGACATTTTGAAAAAGTCCCTGAAGATGTCTACAAACGACATTCTCAAGACGTCTTTTAAACGTCTGCTTACATTTTAAAGGCGTCTTAAGGTCTGTTCCCACAGGAGTCTCTGACAGTTTGCAAACTGTCAGTAAGCATCACCCATACATGTTTTCAATGCTGTCGACTCGAGATAAATCTGTAACTCAGCTGAGCGATTGTTTCTGATAGGTTGCAAACTGTCAGAGACTCCTGTGGGAACAGATCTTATAAGACATCGTAGGTATGTCTTCAGACGTTCAGACGTAATGAAGACCTGAAAAATACGTCTGGAAATATACAGTCTTGCCTATTCCCTAATTTCTGTGCTAAATCATGTAGTATTTCATTGGCATACAATTTAGGAACTTTTGGGAAGCAATTTCAAGAAAATATTATCAGCTTCAGAAGACCGGTTTATTCATATTGAAATAAACTTGCTGGTAACTATCTGCAAGATAAATTTACCGTTCTGTATTTCTATTGGTCAGTGGATAACTGTCTTACCAATGGAAGTATATATCATAAAGTTAGCAAGATCAGTTATTTTTTGGTTGGCATTACTTTCTCTAACATCAGACTGTGGTAAATCTTCTGATGAACTGTGGGGCCCGATTCTCGTTTCAGGGAGTGGAGCTCCCTGATAGAACGCATGTTTTGAAAATGTCAACGTAATCGAAAACTAAACAAGAATGATAAAGACGAAAAATTTGTTCTCTCTGGGAGCTCTACTCTCTGAGACGAGAATCGGGCTCCTGATAGATGTCAAGGAACTTCTGAATTTATGGCTTAGGGGTGGGATTTTTTTCTTTTTCTATTGGTAATTAGTATCTAGGTATGAGTATTTAGTTCCACAAATTTTCTTCTTTGCAAGCTCAAGTTGTCTGAGTCCAGCTCATCCTCCAAACCACTATTCTGCTGGAAATATGGTTCAAAATCTGACTAACTATTAATTACACCTTGAAGCTTGAAGTTTTCTGAGACAAAATTTGTATTTCGAAATGGTTCAGAGTCAAGTCATGGAAAGGCTAACTTGATAGGTATATATTTCTCAATGGACTCAATGGTTCGAGTTCTGGATTGAGGTATAATCTTTGTTTCTTCAGGCATCTGTATTTAGTTACAGTTATAGTTATGGTCATTCGTAATAGTTGAAATATAATAGCTCTGTTCCAACAGGCATGAGAACCGTTCCAGGACGGTAATTTCTAGACGATTAATTCATTTGTCAATTAGGATAAGCATGCAACTTATTGAAAAATAGGTAGGCAACTGGAAAATACTGGTTCTGGAACGGTTCTCATGTCTGTTGGAACAAAGCTTAAAGCTTCGAAGTAATTTTTTTTTTTCTAATTTTGAAATTGCAAAACAAAGTTTCTAAATGGAAGAAATCGTTAATGAAACTACATCTAAGATAATGTATAAATTTAATGAGACAACAAACAATTCAGTTTAAGGTAGAAACTGGCTTGAACACAACGCTACAACGAAAAGTTTTGCAGAAAACCATACATTTATCTGGAAAAGAAAACAATGTGAATTCAAAAATTTAATTTTGCCGCCATATTTTAAACCGGAATTATGACATCATCATCATCTAAATAATCATTAGGGACCCCCCAAACTCGATACACTACATTACTTTGAATGTTGGAGCTGGATTTTATGAAAAAAGGCACTCAAAAAAATAGAACAATTGATAAATCACCCTAAATTGTTTAACACGATTTTATTTCTAGAACTATAATTCCAAATGAGCTGAAATTTTTTAGTTTACAAAAATTTAATTTCAAATACCAATATATTGTAAAAATTATACAACTATAATCCTGCGTTCCATTTCAAATGGCACTGGGTGTATATTTTTGGCATAAAAGTTTCCTTGAATCGTAACTCAAAATTTCTTATTCCAGATGCCGTAAATCAATCGATTTTTCGCTCAAATGCGCTTGGTTACTGCACGCCTACAGTACCGACACAACAGTACCATCAAAAAAGAAACCCCACGGAATTAAACTACGCAACCTAATACTCTCAGAAGAATTAAGGCCGAAAGGCCAACCGACCACTCAATTGAATCTACAAATCCTGACTGTCAACGACAGACTTGCACCTTTGAGCGCCGTACCAGCTACTTTAAAAAAATCACATCAGAGGTCTCAGGTACTAAAACAAGTTTTGTTTGGGATTTTTTGATTTACAAAACATTTTTTTAGAGCGATGCCTCAGCTCTCTTAGGACTGAGCGGACCAAAAACATCCGTACCAGCCAAATTGTGTCTTGGCGATTTGAGTTCAGGCAGAGCCTTCGACAACGGCTGCATGTGCTTTGAGAGCCGTAGAAGTGTCGTTAACGATCTAAGGGGAGAAAAGACTGAATGTGTCTGCATGGTAAGAAATTTCCCATTAAAAAAAAAAACAAATATTTCAACCCCTTGTTTAGGCTCCAAGACTGAGTCCAGAATTGGAATTCATGCAAGCACTTATCCTAATCGGCAAACTGTTGAGTTCCATACCGACAAAGGAGGCAAAAACGACAAGACTGGTTGCCGAGCTCACCACCTTGAATCTGAACCTACCGGCTAGAGTTTGGTTACCTTTGAACACGACCACGCCCCATTTAGTTGTACGAATTCCACCACAAGTGGCTGCGGTGTTGAATTCCAAGGACAAGGTAAGAATTGACCACCATGTTATAATGAAGTGCAAAATTGTCACCAATCTGTTTAATTTTCAGGCTCCCTACATAATTTATCTCGAAGTAGTAGAAGTAGACGACAACTACAGTTCACCAGTTCCTAGTAAGATTATGTCCACATTGCGTCACACCAAATCTGAAGAAAACCTCCAACACGATTCGGTTTCTTTGTCGGCGTTTAGTGTGTGCGGTGGCTGTTACGATGACAACGATCCAGAGTGGAGCCAGGAGGATGATGAAATATCGCAACAATACACTCAAATGAAAAAAACCGTGGATCGCGACACGATTTCCCAAATGAGTCAAGAGTCTAGCGATTCTGGAATACCTCCGATGTCGATACCGGCCAGCGAGATTCGTAGGAGATTGTCGGATTTTTTCCATGAGGAGAAAAGTAAGCAATTTACACACGATCCAGAGGATCCTTCTGCAGCGGTTTTGAAAGAGCCTTGGCAGGTTAGTAATTTATTTTTCCCAATAATGTGGTGTATATAGAATTTTGTTTGAATAGGATAAAGAAACTAGGATCCGTGAAACGTCCCCCTATGGGCATTTAGTAAACTGGAAGCTATTACCTTGTATTGTAAAGTGCGGCGACGATTTGCGACAAGAGTTAATGGCTTTTCAGCTATTGAGCGTTTTCCAGAAAATTTGGGAAATGGAACATGTTCCTTTGTGGGTCCACCCTTATAGGTAAGATTCATATTATTTTTCGTATTGAATTGTAAAATTATCACATATACTTTTTTCCAGAATACTCGTTTTATCAGATGATAGTGGCCTTATTGAGCCAATCCTCAACACAGTATCTTTGCACCAAGTCAAAAAACACTGCCAGCTATCATTGTTGCAGTATTTCAAAAAAGAGTTTGGCCCAGAAACTTCAGAAGCTTTTTTGACCGCTCAGAAAAATTTCGTTCAAAGCTGTGCCGCTTATTGTTTAATTTGTTACTTGATACAAGTCAAAGATCGGTGAGTAGAATTACATAATAGGCGATTTTGTCAGTGAAATTAATTATTTTTATTTACAGGCACAATGGTAACATTTTACTTAAAAGCGATGGTCATTTGATTCATATAGATTTCGGGTTTATTTTGTCCACGTCACCAAAAAATCTGGGATTTGAAAAATCTCCTTTCAAACTGACTCCGGAATTTGTTGAAGTTATGGGCGGCGAACATTCAGATATGTTTGAGTATTTTAAGATTCTTATATTGCAAGGATTAGTTGCAGCCAGGAAACATCACGGAATGATTATTGATTTAGTGGAAGTAATGAGATCTGGTAAGTGATTTTCTCATTTATTTGACAGTTAAATGTCTAAACTGTGAATATTTTAGGTAATCAATTGCCCTGCTTCAAATCGGGAGCGCCTACAGTTCAAAATCTGCGTAATCGTTTTCATATGAACATGACAGAGGAACAGCTTCAACTAGAAGTGAATCGTATGGTTGAAGGTAGTATACACTCGCTGTCGACGAAGCTTTACGACGGTTTTCAGTATTTTACAAACGGGATACTGTAGCTCTGTGATAATTTCCAAGAGTGTGTTGTTTGATTCACGAAAGATTGCCCTAAAAATATTCATTTTATTTATTCCAAGACCAGTACTTTGTAGGTATTATATGTTCAACATTCCATTAATTTTTATTTTGTTTTTTTCAAAAAATTTACAGAGAAAAATGTTTTTTTTTTTTTTTTAAATGCTATTTAAATTATGAATATTTTTAGAAAACTAAGTGGAAATTGGTGCAATTAAACAAAATAAAACGTGAGTGACTCAAGTGAAATGATAGTGTCGAGAAATCTGCTTACTAAGCAGCACATCTGATGAGATTTGTTGTAAGTTTTTGTATATAAATCTAATATTTAAATAATGTACATTTTTTTTTTAAACTGGAAGAATAACAAGACCAAAAATGAACTAAGCCATCTTACAGCAAACGCAAACTTTTTTAGTGACAAGTTTTCTGTAGTTATAATATTGAATGCTCAAATTAATATAAATTTTTACTATGATTATGTTTTTTCTACATAAAACTGCTGATTGAATAGGAAGTATCAGAAGATGCCTCACGTAATGGGTAATATGATCTTCTGACACAGACATTTTAGTTATTCAAATTGACTTGTTTGAAAAAAATGTTTCTGAGGTACGGCATCTTCCTATTCTTATTCAATCAACATTAAAACCAAATGTTATTGCGGTAGAAATATTTTTATTTAGTGTGAAAAATTACTAAGCCGCTTGTCTTATGTGTTTTTTCCTAGTTGTTGGTCATTCAGAAATAATCATTCCTAGTGATTTCTGAAAAATAGACCATATTTTTCTGCTAATAGTTACCGCAAAACGAACAAATCTGGTGCCAATTCGAATTTAGCAGAAAAAATGTGTATTTGTTTTAATTGAGGATTATTGTGGAAAGTTATTATTTGAGACTACAGGGGGTGTGATCCAAAAATGAACTTTAGCTGAAAAAAAATCAATTACCAACATACAATACTTCAATCCCAATCATCTTAGACCCGATTTATTCACCTTCTGATAAGTTGTCAGGTGATACAATCTGGGCCCGGATTCCGAGCCCACGATACGATAGTATCGTCTATCTATTTCAAATGGACGATACTATCGAATCGTGGGTTCGGAATCCGGGCTCTGATGGATTATTTTCCTGATATTTTTTTGATCACACCCCCTTCAAGGTTCTATCGATAATACTCACAGAAAGGATCCAACTAACTGAAATTGTAATGGTTTTTGGTTGAATAAGCCCAATCTAGAATTAAAAAATAAATAAAAGAGTAGATTTAAGAGTTTTATTTATCAATACAATACAAATTATCCTGATGTGTAAAAATATATATCGCATTTTATAAATGTAATAAACTTAATGTCCTTATAATTTTTGTTGCAGTAAATATATTGTCAATCAAATTTTCCTTTCTGAATATAGCAAATAAGAAATTATGAACATCATTGTATATATAACTTTTTAGGTAAATTGACAAGTATCCATCCATTTTATAAATAATTATATTAAAATAAGCTATAAAGAAATTTTTGACTGAAATAAGTCTTCTTGTTAGGTAACGAAAATTATTTTATTTTTTTGCTTTCAATGTATGTACTTGTTACTTTGTCATTGTACTAATATTACGTGTGTACATAAGTAGCTAATACGTGTTTTGTTTAAAACGATTTTTAAATAATTAGGTACAATTTAAATAAATCCTATATATGTATCATCATATCTTTTTTCGTTACTTAAAAACTCGACTTAAAAAAAAATAAGATGTTTCATATAAAGAGAAAAAAAAAATGCAAAAAGACTGAAAACATGTCGTTGGACCCCCTTGTAGGCTTTTTGCAACCTAAACTTTTTCTATTTATTGTTATTTAAAAAAAAAGGCGTTAAATCAAAAAATTATATGTTTTTCTCCTTTTATTCTATAGTTAGTTTATTGTACTGAGATGATATAATTAAGTGAAATATTAAAAAATGAAGTCGCAGATTTTTTATTAATATGTATTTGGATTATAAAGAAATATATATTATGATTTTATTTATAGAAGCTTGTTAATGTACGATTTTTCCTTTCGTGTTGCCAGCATTCCGGCTTCCGATTATCAAAATCGACCAATACATCACAGAAAACAGAGTGAATAGGGCTGGAAACACTATCCTCGATACTCGGTCGATTTCTTTCCACATTATTTTTATTTTTCCTTTTTCCTAAAAATACCAATATAAACTGGACAGTTCAAAGTTGAAGAGAGTCTGGCATTATGGAAGATTGATTTTCACTGTTATTTTTTTAAATATTTTTTAGTGTGTAACTTTTCCACTAGCAAGTGAAAAGGCAGCTATCGAGACAATTTAAAATCATAGTGCTGGCTAACTTTTCAAGCCAAAACGTTGTACTTACAAAGCGGCTAAGGATTACAGACCCGTCAGTCTATTCTTGTTTCTTCTAAAAACACTGAAGAAACTGGTTAACAGATTCATAAGAGAAGAGGCTTTGAAAACAATGACTAATCAACACGCCTTCTGATGTCAGGGAAGTTAGCAACACATTCGAAACAGGATCTTTACAATGCACCTCTGCTTGTGCTGCTATATTACTGCTTTGTCTTACTTCAACTCAGCAACACCCATCGTTTCCGAAATACATAATATCGATTTCCATTTTGGTTGCTAACTTCACCCTTAGCAACACATTGGAAGCAGAATCGCTGAAACAAGTTCCTGCTTGTGCTGCTAAGGTCCTGCCTCATCCTGCTTCAAATCTAACCCCGTCAACACCTACTATTTTCGAGATACAACGATATTTATTTTGGTTACTAACTTCACCCTTGGCAACACAATGGAAGCAGGATCGCTGAAACAGATTCCTGCTTGCATTGCTATGGTCCTGCTTCAAACTACTACAATCACCCTAGTAACACCTAATATTTTTGGTAGCATTACAAGAGTCTAAGATAAAATGTTACGTTTAGTAACAGATAAGTTTTCATCAAATTTATCGATTTCATATTTGAGAATATCAAGTGAAGGATTCCACACGACTCCAAGAGTTGATCGGTTGATAGATTTATCAAAGGAATGATTTGTGTCATTATCTATAGTCAGCCAAAATTGTAGTCGTAGGAATACAGCGAGCTCGATACACCGTTGCCAAATGAGTGATTGTCTCTGTATGTTGGTATTTTCGACAAAAAGATGTATGTTGGTATTTTAGAAGAAAAGTGCTAATCCAAACTAACCTGTCCTTTTGTAATGAATGCTAATCATTGCATGTTGGTGTTTTAAACAAAAAGGGCTAATCCTAAGAGCTGAAAGTTCAGGGTCAAAAACTGACTATGTATTCTATAGTGGTCTTAGATCTCAGTGTCGATTATGTTATCGGGAATTTGTGGAGGGAACTGAATATAATTGAACTAACCAGTGGCGGATCCAGAGAGGAGGGGCACTGGGGTCAAGTGCATGATGCAGTAAATTGTTTTTTGAATGTTGATATCTATGTTTACCTATGTATTGAGTTTCTTTTTTTAGAATAAGTTTGTGATACTATATTCTTTCACAATGAGCAGGTATTTTATACTTAGGCACAGGGTCATTTTTTTAAATATTTTTCCACCTCCCTTAACTTTTTTGTGCCACTGTCTGTGTATAGGAAAAATGTAAATAGGAAAGGTGTATAGCTAGGAAAAATAGTTCTCAGAAAACATAGTTTTGTTCATACAGGGTGTCGCAGAAAGTTTAAAAAACAATATTTTTTTTGTTTTTTTAAATGGGACACACTGTATATTATTGAATATTCTGATTCTACATAAAATTTTGATCAGATTTCATGTGATATACATTCCTACCTAAGTTCAACTGTTTTGGAAAAATTGACAGTTGAAATTTGACTTTTTTGCAACTTTGACAGGCTGTAAAACCTATTACGTTTTTGTCATCTTTTTCGTCGATTTGCTCCGAAATTTTGACAGGCTCGTGATTTGCAAATTGAAACTGTCTGATCCAGTCACGTGCCTGTCAAAATTTCGGAGGAAATCGACAAAAAAGATGTCAAAAACGAATACGGCCAGCAAAACTGATTTCACATTCTTATTTTTAGCGTTTCATAAGCTATCTTCTGACACCAACTTTGACTTTTAACGGAGATTAAATTTAATTGAAATTTTCAATCATGGATTAAATTCAAAGGAAAATCTAAGACGTGAATGTGAAATCGGTTTTGCTGTAAAATTAATTGTGAAGGTTTTACAGCCTGTCAAAGTTGCAAAAAAGTCAAAGTTCAACTGTCAATATTTCCAAAACAGTTGAACTTAGGTATAGTGTATATCACATGAAATCTGCTCAGAGTTTTACGTAGAATCCGAATATTCAATACTTAATATACAGGGTGCCCCATAAAAAAACATATATTTTTTTTTGGTTTTTTAAACTTTCTGCAACACCCTGTATGAACAAAACTATGTTTTCTGGAAACTATTTTGCAACCTATACACTTTTCCTATTCACATTATTTTTATACACAGTGGCACAAAAAAGTTATGGGGGTGGGAAAATATAAAAAATTACCCTGTACAACCAAATATTGATATTAAGTATCGTTAAAGGGCCCAAGAAAGGGGCGTGGCACTCTAAATTTTTTCGTTAGCCTCCGGCGACTACTAAATGAACACGTTCTCAGGTTAATTCGCCCCCCCACGAAAGGCACCCTTGAATCCGCCACTGAAATTAACCAGGTAAATGTTAAACAGTTTTGGAAGTTTGTTCAGAATGAGAGAAAATGTGGAACCAAGCTACCATCTTCAATGTTCCTTGATAATAATCAGTCTCAGCTTGGTCCTGATTCCTGATCTACCCGATCTTTTTGCTGAGTACTTTCAGTCAGTATATACTGAGAAAAATGTTATTCGTCAGGATATCCCCTCATTTAATCACATTTATGTAACTGACTGTGAAATTTCGATATCAGCCATTTTTGAGGAAATGACTGGGATTGACATAAACAAAGGCCCTGGGCTTGACGGAATTCCTCCTGTAGTGTTGAAGTCTTGCAGTTTTGTTCTTTCCCTTCCACTCCACATTATTTTTAATAAATCGCTTTCTCCGGCATATTTCCGGATTTCTGGAAAGTGAGCTACCTTAAACCTATTTTCAAGTCAGGAAATAGAGCAGATACTCGCAATTATAGACCAATATGTAACCAAGTAACCTTAGCTCTATCCCAAAACTTTTTGAAAAAATAGTTTCGCACTATTTAAAATTTATATTGGGCTCGTCAATTATCGATGAGCAATTCGGCTTTGTCAGTGGGAGATCTACTGAGTTGAATTTTCAGTGGGAGATCTACTGAGTTGAATTAAGTAACATTTGTTGATTATCTGTCGGACGTCTTGGATGAAGGGGGAGAGATTCATGCTGTATATACAGACTTTTTTAAGGCGTTTGGCAGGGTCAATCCTGGGGTGTTGATAAATTGAGAGCAGCTGGTATTCAGGGGACCTTGTTGGAATGGTTGGCCAACCACCTCACGGATAGATACCAGGTAGTCAAGGTGAATAATTACACTTCTAAATATACTCTTAATTCCGCTGGGGTTTCCCAGGGATCCCACTTGGGCCCCTCGCTATTCTTAATGTTTATTAATGATATTGCAGATTGTTTTGAATTCGCTGAATTTTTGTGTTATGCTGATGATGTGAAGTGCTACCTTGCAATTTCTTCATTGGATAATCGTCTCAAGCTTCAGTCAGACCTGGAGAGACTCGATACGTGGTGTGATCGGAATGCAATGGAGTTGAATATTGCTAAATGTAAAAACTTCACTAAAAAACGCAGGGGGACAGAATTTTCCTATAGCATAAAGCCATTGTCCCAGGTCTCAGTCATTCGTGATCTTGGAGTTAACATAGACTCCACACTATCCTTTTCAACCACATTGATACCATGTTTTCTAGAGCTCTAAGTATAAAGTCTGCTATTTGACTGCTATACTGTCCTTTGTCAGGCCATTATTGGAGTATTGTTCGCATGTTTGGAGCCCTCATTATGCATGTCATATTCATAGACTGGAACAAGTACAGAGGAAGTTTCTGAGATATCTAACTCACAAATCAGGTATTCCACAAATTGATGAATACACCTATGATTTTAATTTACTCCAAGTGAGATTTGGATTGCCAGCATTGAAGGTTAGGAAGGATCATGCTGACCTTGAACTTTTCTTCAAGGTTATCAACTATGTGGTTAACTGTCCCACTTTGGCGAGCACTTTGGTTTCTTCTGTGCTGCACGCGGTCCCACTTAGAAACACAAGAGCTTCCTACATATTTCAGCAGGCTTTTAGGCATACTAATACTGGCTTTAATTATTCATTCATGCCAAGGGTGGCACGAATGGCTAACTATCATTCAGATTACTTTATTGATAGTTTTGTGAGCCTGAAAATAAATAAAATCTAAGCTAACCCAAACTAGCCCGTCCTCATACTAATTGCTAGTCTTTGTATATTGGTATTTTAGACGAAAAGAGCTATTCCAAACTAACCCGTCTTCGTAATGTATGCTAGTGTTTGTATGGTGGTACTTTGAATGAAAAGAGCTAATCCAAGGATGGAATTGAAACTAACTCGTTTTACCCAATAATCTTTACGGAAAAAATAAAAATAAAAATCCTACAGAAGCGCAGAGAAACCACCTATCCCAGAACGGGTTAGTATCAATTCAATCCTTGGATTAGCTCTTTTCATCTAAAATACCAAGATACAGAGGCTCGGATCCATCACAGATGGATTAGTTTGGATTAGCTCTTTTCGTCTAAAATACCAACATACCGAGACAAGCACTCATTACGATATATTTGGGAACGGTGTCTCGAGCTCTCCCTATTCCTACGACTAGACTCTTGAAATGCTACCAGTATGTATCTCAAAAATATTAGGTTTTGTTGGGGTGATAATTGAAGCAGAATGAGGCAGGCAGGACCATGACAACACAAGCAGGAACATGTTTGGGTCAATGACATATTAACACAGATAGACATTGCAGTAAACAAAATTTTGTGTTGCCAACATCTAGGAGAGCAATCCACCACCGATGTATCCCCTCCAATTTTGTTGCCAAATTGTTACGGATTGATATTTTATCCTGTTATGACTTTGCTTCAAAAAGTTGGTGGTTCAAGACTATAAACGACTACTGACAACGCCGGTTCTGTAAGACAGGCGGAACACACCTGCAATCGATTGGCATGTCAACGCGTCCATCAAACTTATATCATCTCTGCTTATATCATATGAGTTAGAGGCAGACAGATAGATAAACGAGTTGCACCCGTGCGCATTTCTCCATTATTTTGGTCAAGTGAATGACGGGATTCAGAGGGGAATACGGGTCTTGTTTACACCACTGATGCATCCCTACCATGAACCCCCTCGAGCAGCTCACCTCACCTCTCCTGGCCCATGGGGGTCTTGTCATCACAACAAACATCAGTTTATGAATGAGATGTAGTGTCTATCTGTGTTTAAATGTCATTGGCGTGGGCGATCCTGCTCCCAATGTGTTCCCAAGCCAAGGGTGGAGTTACGAACCATAATGAAAAACCTTGTATCTTGTGATTTAAAGCAGGATACGGTAGGACCATAGTAACACAAGCAGGAACATGCTTGAGCGATCCTGCTTCCAGTGTGTTCCAAGGGTGAAGTAAGCAACCAAAATAAAAATCGCTGTATATATCTCGAATATACTACGTGTTGCCGGGGACAGATTTGAAGCAGTATGAGGCAGGACTATAGCAGCACAAGCAGGAACCTGTTTTAGCGATCCTGCTTTCAATGTGTTGCCAAGGGTGAAGTTAGCAACCAAAATAAAAATCGTGTTGCCGGGGATAGATTTGAAGCAGGATGAGGCAGGACCATAGCAGCACAAGCAGGAACAAGTTTCAGCGATCCTGCTTCGAATGTGTTGCTAACTTGTCTGATATCGCCTACTGGAGCGGATCTGCAACTTTCTTAAAAGTTGCGGGCATCCAAGATAAGACAGGGGATAGCACTATACGCTACATGCGCGTCTACGAGCTGCCTATGAAGGCTCCCCTTTCAAATCAAAATTGTGAAACAACTTACAGTCTTCCAAAATAAAGTAATCCAGCCATACTTTCCAACTTTCGGAGTAATCAGACACGAGTTACGTTTATTGCTTGGATATTCGTTGGTCCATGGTGTAATTGCCTGAAATTAACCATTATACACAAAAAAAAATAGATAAAATAAAATCCTTTACCATAACTCGTTCGTTTTCCTTTTGCTTAAACTCCGAATATTTCCCTTGAAGTACTTTGACTATAACAAATTCCCCTAGAGAAGCAAAAACCGATATCATACATCCTGCCATCCACAAATCTAACGCCTGAAATGTCAATAAATAAAAACTTGCAAAGAAAACTACATGCAATCACCTTAACGTAAGCTACTGCAGGAATATCTGTCCTTAATCCAGTAAACATAGTCACCAATGTTAGTAAACAGGTTACCAATAAAGTAACTCTTGCAGGAATTGCGTCTAATTCCAACCAAAAACTGAACCAAGAAAGTACCACTACTAAAGTCGAAGGGGCAAATGTTTGAATCAAATGATGGCCTATTTGTCTTTCGAATTTAAATAGAACTACTAATCTGGAATAATTGCCTATATGGAAATATAATAATAGAATAGATTTAGGTGTGAAATTATTAATTACCGTTTTTTTCAGTAGTTAATGCATGAGTTTGCTGTAAAACCAACGGTTGTATAATATTGTACTGAAGTAGCTTTAATTCTGGGCTTACAGTAACTCCAGGTGCAGTCCATCTTAGTATCATTTTTTTATTATTATAGGAAACTATAAAAAAATACATTTTTTTTCTCAAAATAATTAATAAATTTTCACTTACAGCTTTCCACAGACACTGGACATACTTGCGTATCCATAGGATAATGGTAAAATTCCATTTGGCAAGCGACTATGGCGTGCATCCTTGCCGAATACTGGATAGTTTTGTTTCTGTAAAGGGTCACCGACGAAAATTTGTGTGTTAAAGTCGCAATTTCTACAACTTTGGAGTTGAGAAAGTACAAATCCGGTTGCCACAAGCTGTCGAAAAATTGCGACGGCAACGTTACAGAGTCGTCTTTGTAATCGAACATTTCTTCGGGTATACGGATTCGGGCGTCTGTCCATTGCTGTTTCAAAAACATGTCCATACTAGAATAATTATTAGTAATTAATTATACAATTTTAAAAAATGGAGTTAATTGTTACTTACCGAAAATCCATATCTTCAACATTAATGGAATTAATATCAACTACTCTCATTGTAAAGTCAACTATTATTGGTTCGCCTCTCAATGTTGGTGGTCGAATTTCTGCAATTTTTTTTTTAGATAAGCATGATCATTAATGATGTCTTACCTCTAATATAGTCATCTGGTATGATATTTTTGCTCAAATTTTGATTGTCAGGATTTCTCGGCTTTGGCACTGAAGCATTGCATTGGTGAGCCATGAAACTGAAATGGAAAAGATCATTTTCTGATTGTTACAAGTCATGCTTTACTTACCAGTATAAAATTATTTTAATATATTTATCACGAATATTCATCTTGACTCTCAATGATGATTTAAACAGTAAACGATAATTAAGATTTCTTGATCCCTCTACCGACTTTTATAATATAAAATACTATTTGTTTAAGTAATAATGGTAAATTTTTTGTGCACACATGGTTTTTAACAAAATAAATTCTTTAAACTGGATTATGTCGGCTTAAAAATGTATGATCATTTTTTTCGGTTACCAAAATGGGAAAAAGGTAATTAGATGATCATTTAGGTCAATTACAAGTGATGCATTAAATACGCCAATTTTAAGTAAAGTAATAATCGTGGTTTCTCAAATGAGTTTCTTCCTTTTTATCAACAATGTTTCCTACAAAAATTGACAAGTTGTAATTATGATAAATTGAAATAAGGCAAAACCAATCCAAAAGAAGAAAATAGCTAAAAATAAACCCGTAATTTGATTAATCAAATTATTTTTCTCTAGACAGCTTGTTTTTCTCAAAAAAAAAAAAATATATTTTAATGGCCAAATCAAGTGAAGGGTTCTTCTATGAAAAATGGATAATTTTAATACCAAAACTTGATGCATTTTTTTTGGAGAAAAACTCTTACCCTTGCAAAAGGGATGATATAAGAGATAAAACAAGGTTATTTTTGTCATTTGAATACATATAATAAATCAAAGATTTAGTGCTTTAGAAAAAAATATGGTGAGGAAATAATTTCACTACAACAATAAATTATAATTTCCAAATTTCAGGGACTAAAAATTAATTTTCTGGTTTACTTTCTTATATTTTCAATGGAAAAACGTTATACTGGTTCATCTGTTGGTGTCTGCATCACGTAAGCTTATCAGAAAACTAGAAGAAATCTTATTACTTTTTTATTTTATAGAAATTGTGTCCAATGCAAACAAATGTATGGACAATATTTCGAAGGCAAAATATGCGGCGACACTTGCATAGCCAGCAATGGAAAACTGATACCTGACTGTAATCAACCAGGGACATTACACAGTTATTTTAAAAGATTTTATAAGAAGTAGTATAGTATATTGGATATAAATCAATACGTGCTTTAAGCATCACTTCAATATTTGAATAATAAATTAATTAATTCTGAAGGCTAACGAGATATGCTTTTCTCAACTACGATCCAACATTTTTCACGTCTCTCCAGTGCTCATATAATCTTCATTTCTTTTCGTTTTCCTATTTGGATGGTATATTATCTGCGTCCAATCAAAAAGCCTGGGAATAATTTCTGGTACAATAATTTTAAAAAATGACAGCTTTTCCATGGCCACCTACGATTTTCGAGGCACTTTCCATGATTCACCAGAACTTTTATAATAATTGAGTGATTATTCCAGGCATTTGATTGGCTTAGCTGGAGAATAATTGGACAGTTGGTAATACTGCGTCCAATCAAAAATCCTGGGAATAATTTCTGGTATAATAATTGAAAAAAATGACAGCTTTTCCATATGGCTACCTACGATTTTCGAGGCACTTTCCATGATTCACCAGAACTTTTATAATAATGGAGTGATTATTCCAGGCATTTGATTGGCTTAGCTGGAGAATAATTGAACAGTTGGTAATACTAAGGTAACCTACTGTAAACTAAGTTTCTTATATTATTCAGGCATCTTTTAGTACCTACTAAAATGAGGAAATTTCAAATTTTTTTATGTTGAGATTTTGTATCTAAATGATCATTCGGAACCCTCCAAACTACATACACTAGATAATTATTCTGAGATTTTGAAGCCGGATTCTATGAAAAAAGGCATTCAGAAAGATTGAATTACAATTACATATTGATAAATTACCCCAAATTGCTTGACACGATTTTCCAAATGAGCTGAAATTTTCAGGGATTGTAGTCCTCTACTGGGATAACAATCGCTGAAAATTTCAGCAGTCTATCTATAATACAAAAAAAGTTATGACCTTTCATACTAACATGGAAAGGTTGAGAGGGTAGTCAGAACTCAGAAACAGGAAAATACCAGTGGCGTACACTCGATCGACCTACAAATGGAGAACCATACGAAAATATACAAAAATGTATGATTATTTGAAAACTGTAGGTACAGGAAACTGTATGATTATTCAAAAACTGTACAGGGTGTTTTTTTATATATTAACACCCAACCTACAGCCTTTACCTTTACAGGTAAAAGAAAGGTATAAATACAAAAATTGTACAGTTTTGGCTGAATTTTTAGAAACCATGGTCAGAAATAAAATTTGAATGTCAGAAATGTGAAATTTCGCATGCTTCCAGCTTTTTTCAAATGGGATACCCTATATTTCATTCTATATTCTTGAAGAGGACAATGCCCTGATTCCAATGTCTATATTTGATTGAACAGTCTCTCATATATTCGGCTCCAAAAATTGTAAAAATACTATCCTACTACGGATTTTTTCTATTTTGGTTTCATATCGAAGTCTTTTCGACACTGAAAGTAGTTTCGAAAAGAAGCTCTTTGTGACACTCCTTTTTTACTTATCGGAAGTTGGTAACACTGGCTGACTGATGGCCATCGAACTGTCATTTGCGATTTTATTATTGGTAAAAATAAAAATAAAAAAGAGGATTTCTATATTTGGCGTGTAGTGTTACCAACCTAAACATGAAATCAGGAAATATGAGAATAAAATTTCCAAGGAAAATTTGTTTTTTTTTTAATTAAACAATACCAAAATAGAAAAAATAGTATAAAATATTCGTTTCATAAGACATTTTATCGCACTCGCCCTTTAGAAAACTCGCCTCCGGCTCGTTTTCTAATATAGGGCTCGTGCGATAAAATCACGTCTTATGAAACTTGTATTTTAATGTACTATTGTGAACCATTTTACCTATACCTACAGGTGAAAGCTGTAGGTAAAATTTGAGGTAGGTACTTGGTTTCTCTGATAGTTTTTTTGAAATTTTTAGAACCAAATATAATAGGTATGTTGGAGACGGCTCAAATGTCAGTTATTCTCATTAGTTCAAAAACTAGGTGAGTATCTTATTTAAATAGTTCTTCAGTATATTGGTGAGTAGATGGCTGAGTAACTCGCTGCGCTCGTTCCACAGAGGTCCACCCATAAATTCCGCAATAATCCACTTATTTGTACTTGAACAATAACTTATTATATAAAGTCAAAATTTGTAAGATTATGATTATTCATTTTTTGTCAATTTGCCTTTCAACAGGAATTAGTAATGTTACTTTACCAAACTAGTAACATAATGTGACAAGTTATTCAAGTACAAATGAATGAATTGTTGCGGAACTTATGGGTGGACCTCTGCGGGACGAGCATAGCGAGTTCCGCAGCCATCTATTCATCAATTTGTTGTTTAATTACAATACTAACCTGACTCACTCAAATGTGAGTTATTCTCATTGGTTTAAAAACTACACACGTTTCAGGTGAATATCTAACTTGAACAGTTCAACAGTATATTGGTGAGTAGATGGCTGCGGAACTCGCTGCGCTCGTCCCGCAGAGGTCCACCCATAAGTTCTGTAATAATCCACTTATTTGTACAGGGTTTTTTTTTTTTAAATATATTGACTCCCCACCTATAGCCTTTACCTTTACAGGTAGAAGAAAGGTGTAAATACAAAAGTTGTACAGTTTTGGCTGAATTTTTGGAAACCATGGTCAGTAACAAAATTTGAATATCAGAAATGTGAAATTTTACACGCTTTCAGCTTTTTTCAATTGAGATGCCCTATATTTGGTTCTATATTCTTGAAGAGCACAATTTCCCGATTCCAAAACTATATAGTTTGTCTATATTTGGATTTGGTTGAGCCGTCTCCAACATATTTGGTTCTAAAAATTTTAAAAATACTATCAGAGAAACAAAGTACCTCAAATTTTACCTGCAGCTTTTACCTGTGTATAGGTATTGTGGTAGAATGGTTCACAAAATCCGTAGTAGGATAATATTTTTACAATTTTTGGAGCCGAATATATGAGAGACTGTTCAATCAAATATAGACAAACTACAAGCTCTTCAAGAATATAGAATGAAATACATATAGGGCAAAATTTCATACAAAATTTCTGACATTCAAATTTTGTTTCTAATCATGGTTTCTGAAAATTCAACCAAAACTGTACAACTTTTGTATTTACACCTTTCTTCTACCTGTAAAGGTAAAGGCTGTAGAAGGGGTGTCAATACATGAAAAAACACCCTGTATCTATTTAGTTTGTTCCATATAAGTATCAATAAATGGATTCCAAGAGCTCATCTTCATCATCTCGTATTTTTATCCTCATAATTTCATTAACCCAATTCTTATTAATATATGGAAAATATAAAAAATATTTATTGAGAACTGCTTTACTTAAGTAACACAAATTCTCTGAACTGAGAAATTCTACAACAATATTTATCGCCAATTAAAAATGAGGAGCAAGATAATAGGGAAACGGGGGCAAAATGGTATCAACAAAACAGATATTTTATCCGTATATATATATTTCTTCGACGATATTTATATGAGATCATTGCGGTTGAGTAAGTTGAGACGTGAGAGTAAAAGAAAATTGATAAAAGAAAATAAAATAAGTGTAAGGTAAGTTGAAACATTATTACTACCTACTTTAGGAAAAGTTAGCAGGGATGGGTTTTTTGAAATAAATTAACTTTTGAATTTTTCATTTTATGGAAATTCATTTGAAGATCCAATTTCATTCTTTATTTTTTGTGATCCCAAAACACCTAAGAATAACCATGTGATACTTATAGATTTCCACTTTATTTACTCCTGTTTTGGAATATATATTTGAATCAAATAGCTACTATTTTTTCAAGTGCCTAATACTGTTTCAAATTGAAATTCAAAGATATTCATAAAACTGCTGAACATGCCTCATGAGACTCATTGGGTCACAAACCTGGTCAGAACTAAATTCAGAATTGGGTGTGGGCTCAAAAATATGCTTCAACAATATCTATGAATCAGTAACCATGGTTAAATTTGACCATGAGACCATACTGTGCCCATTTTTTTCCTAGATATAATAATTGACAGAATACGCAACTAAATATATCAATATGTGCACATGTCCATTTACATCTCATAATCATTACAATTGTAACCTTATGACCATACAATCTCTAGAAAATAAAACAAAACTATTCGCAATTAAACTCATGATAAATTCACAATAATAAATTATTCTAGACACGATTGGATTTGGTTCGATAATAATTATTGTCTTTTTTTCTGTTTCAATATCGAAATTGGGACCACGAGTAGGACTTTAGATTTTTTTCTTAAAATAGCGTTGTTTGTCTTCTTTTAAAGTTCCAAGAATAAAATGATTTCGTAATTTCGGGACACATAAATATGAAGATAAACCAGAATTATCTTTGCATTAAATTATGTTTATAAACATATCCACATCCAAAAATAATAAGCGATAAATAAATGAACTTTCATTCATGTAAAATTCACATAATCTTTATTTCTGTTGATTTCTGCATACCCAGAGTCTTCAAAAGTTTACAAATAAACAATTTTATGGACTAATCAATCTTCCAGAATCTGAATCGATTCTTCACAATGAAGGTCGCTTTCCTCCTAGCGGCTGTGCTAACTGTAACCACTTGTTCGCCAAACGGTTACTATCATCAAGAGTACAACTACAAAACCTCATCTCAATCGTTCAGAAACAACGAGTTGCAACACAAAACTGACGACCAAGGCTACTACAAAAAGGATGGTGATTTGGAAGGGCGCGTAAAGCCAAAAGTCAGCTCAAACAGCGAACATTCCGAATATATCAATCCGAAATTGCAATATGGAAGTGGTGCAAGTGCTGGTATGATTTTACTATCCTTATATAGCATAATAATAATTAACTTTTTCCTCTGTAGCATATTATGATGCTGACGCAGACACAGCCTCACAAGGCAATATGCTAGCAAACAGCTACGGAAGCAACTATGGAGCTGGTGGTTACCATTCTGGTTACAATTCCGAAGGACTAGCCTCATCCGATTACATTGGTGGTGCAATGAGCTCAGGTTCCCAAAGTGTGAACCTCAGAAATATTGCATCTCGTCTTCAAAGCGACTTGGGAGTTGAACTTCAATCCGCTCTAGTAAGACCTTCTTACCAAACCAATATAGCTGAGCTTGAAGCTGAGCTACACAGAAATTTAACCAGCAGGTTGAATGAAATATTACAAGAACGTTACGGTAGTCAAACCATTAGGTCCGGACATTCGTACTCGATAAGTGGCGGTCGAGTTCAGGCAGCTCCAAATTACGAACAAAGCGATCTTGACTTGATACAAAGACAAGTCGAGAATACTTTATTGCAAGAATTACGTCAGCAGTATAATAGAAACTCTCAGTCGAGCCATAGTCAGCAAAGTATTCACGAGCAAAGCAATTATGATCGTTATGTGTCTACAACTACTTACAGACCTAGTACTTATACATACTCACCTAATAATTATGATCGTTATGCAGCTACAACTACCTACAGGCCAACAAGTTATAGGCCCATATATCCCAATATTAATCAAGTTGATAATCAAGACAAATATCCCGCATATCCTGGAGGAACTAAAAGCTCCTATTATTCACAATCGAACACTAACAGGTAAAAATTCATGATTTCTCATAGAAGAATTTATTGATTTTTTTGTTCTTTATTCGTAGAGTAACTTATTCTCAAGCTCCTCACGCAATTTCCATCACCAATATCGCCTCGACAGTCCAAAACAACCTCAACAACCAACTGAACAGAATTTTGGAACAAGCCCAAACCCGCTATTTCAACGAAAACTCGGGATTCAGCGTACACAACACAGCACCGATTTTGGACAATTTAAAACAAGAACTCAGACAAAATTTGACTTACACTTTGGATGAGGAGCTGAGAAGACAGTTTGGTACTCAGTATCAACGAGATGGTTACATGTTCACTTCAGGAACTGGCGGAGAACTTGCCAATCAATATAATTATAATGTAGCTGATTTGGAAAATCTTAGACGACAAGTCGAGGAGAATTTAATTACCAAATTGACAAGAGATTTTGAAGCAGCAAGACAACAGTGAGTAGCCAAAACTTTAATTTTAGTTACTAGTAATTAATAAAGCCTCTTTTAGCTGGATAACAAGACAACAAACCTCATCCCATTCTCAACAAACCTACTACGGCCAATCACAAAACAATGAACATCACTTAGGCTATGGCACTTCCGGCAATATAAGATACTCCACCCCCAGGTATCCTGAAGACGAAGTCCCTAGATACTCTACACCAAGATATCCAATTGACGAAGAAGGTCCCAGGTATCCAGCTGTAGATGACTATCATCGTCCAACAGCAGCATCGATAGTGCCTCTTATTAGTTCAGGCATCAAAAACAATCATTACCAAGCGGTTGCCGGAAGCCACGTTAGCGGTTACGAAACCTCTGGCGCTGGAGGTGTTGGAGTTGACAGTAGCAACTTCGCCAGGTTACAGCAACAAATGCAAGCTGACCTCAGTAGACAGCTTCAAGCTGCTCTAACCCAAACCACATCCTCTTATAGAGCCAGTGGCCATACAAGTACTTCTGGAGGGCGAGCCGCATTTGACCAAGCCTACAACCAGCTTTTCGATGAGCTACAAAGAAATTTAACGCAGCAGCTTCAAAGTTACCAATCGGGCTCAAGCAGTAGCGGTTACTCATCATCTTACAGTGGTATCAATGAGAGCCAATTAGCTCAGCTACGTTCTCAGCTTCAAAATAGCTTGGCTTCACAGCTACAACAAGGCTTACAGCAATCGTTTAGTGCTTCGGCCTCTTATAGTGCTAGCAGTTCTGGATCTGGATCTTATGGTAGCAGTGGATATAGACCAGTTAGAGGTATTAATAAGTATAATACCAAATTTACTTCTACTAGTTCTTTTATATGCAGGTTCTGATGCGTACCAATACGGTCAATACAAATCAGGTGGAAATTACTACGGAGGAGAAGATTGCCAAGGAGATGATCCTTTAACTCCAACGCATCAGTATCATAGAGTTAGAAGGAGCTACGGAGGAGGTTATCGTAGTAGACCATTAGGTTTATCAACCTACTCTGGATCAGGTTATAGTGCTGGAGGTATGTAATGCCAACCATCAGATGCATGACTATCCCTGGCTGACAATTAGATTAGTTGTGTAATGTGTACTTGTAAAAAAAAATCATTTTGTAATACATATTTTTCAGTAGAAAATTAGTATCATTTCATTTTCATGAAATTGCTTTTCAGAGGGGTTCAATTTAATTTTTTCTAGGCACCTATGGTGGACATTATCAAACTACTGGTTCTACTTTGGGTCAAGAAGTTGATGATTCTGACACACTAGTTCAAAGTAACCAACACTTGGGTCAGGAAATAGATGATTCTGAACAAGTTGTTGATGCGGGCCTTACTTACGGCAAACAAATTGGCCAGAAAGTTGATGATTCAGATGATACGCAGCAAGTGGAAGTAGATAATGGATTTTCTTCTATAAATTTGGGAAGTAATTTGCAAGGTGGATATCAAAAACCATCATCTGGATACTCTCATCATTTTGGAGTGGGATCGCAGAAACCCAAAAACTATGGCACTCAATTAGGACAAGAAGTAGATGATTCTGACACTTTCTCTAGCGGATATCAAAAACCATCTGGATACTCATCTCATCATTTTGAAGTGGGATCTCAGAAACCCAAAAACTATGGCACTCAATTGGGACAAGAAGTAGATGATTCTGACACTTTCTCTGGTGGATATCAAAAACCATTATCTGGATACTCATCTCATCATTTTGAAGTGGGATCTCAGAAACCCAAAACCTATGACACGCAATTGGGACAAGAAGTAGATGATTCTGACACTTTGTTAGGCGGATATCATAAACCATCTGGTTTCTCGCATGAAAGCCATTTCGAAGTGGGATTACAAAAACCAACAAACTCTTATGGATCACAAATAGGTCAAGAAGGTACACATTTTCATTATGGTTCAAACTCAGGCAGGTATTCTACAGAATCGCATTATACTCCACAATCGAATCAAAAACCTGTATATCAATTTGGGTATCAAAAACCAGCTTATGCAACCACACAAAGTAATTCTTATGGAACACACCAACTAGGACAAGAAGTAGATAATTCTGACGATACTCAACAACAAGTAGAAGATACTGATTTTGGACAATTAAATGTACAAGTGCCTTCTAGTACTACTAAATACTCATTTGGATTAGATGGTGCTCAATATGTTCAAACCAATCAAAAACCAACACCTAAAAATGTATATGAAATTGATTTGGATGATACTCAGCAAATAGAAGAAGTTGGCTCCAGTAGCGTTGCTCCAGTGCAACCAGCTTTGGTGTCAAAACCGATTGTAAACAGAAAGCCTCTATACTCAGAAACACTATCAGGCGCTAGCGGTTATCAACCAAAACATAAATATGGTTCACAATTAGGCCAAGAAGAAGACACTGATGACACACAACAGGTTGAAGTGGATCGTGGTTTTGGATTCAATAACCAACACCAACAGAGTGAATTTGAAACCTTAAATCAAGTGTCTCAATCTACAACCCCAAAAGAGTTTGTCGGTGTTAATTTCAGACCACAAATTGATGGAGGATTTCATTCAACTCAATTTGGACAAGAAGTTGACGATACAGATACAATGCAAGTTCCAGAATCTTGGGCAGTTTCTACTAAAACAACAACCAAGAACCCTTTAGTGCTTCAATACGGAACTCCAAATGTTTTGCCTGATAGTGAGACTGTCAAGCCGCTTCAATTGCCGACACTTAAAACTCCAACATATACTTATCATTTCTCAAGACCAACTACTGCATCAACTCTGAATGTTATGCCGGAAAATGAAAACACGAAACCACTTTTTGGTAGTGAATTGGTAACACCTAAAACCACAACTTATCGATACTATTATTCCACCACCACTAAAAGTCCTTCAGTGGTTCAGTATGGAACACAAAATGAATTCGGAAGAGGTGATTTATCGCCACCCTATCAAAGCCCTTCTACTCAAGTATATCCAGAATATCCTCAAGTAGGTTTATCTGAGCCAACTGATTCAGTAATAAGTAGAAGACCATTCGATAATCCGCCATCACCAAGACCAGAGTTCACTCCTCAAACTTACGTACCGCCTCCAAGACCAGGAAGTCAATATACTGGTGTCCAACCACCACAGCCCCACTCACATTATGATTATCCTAGACAACCACCAAGGCCTCTATTTGGTGGCTTGCCTAATCCAAGCTCCAGTGAATATCCAGGAATGGCTATAGATGTTTCTTTTTCACCACCTCCGGTTGAAGTTCCACCAATAAAACTCAAAGAAGTTACTACCGAATTACAAACAGAATTCCTCAAAGAAATTGAAAATATTGTCAAAAATGACTTGCCTAGTTCGAATACTCCCAAGCAACTTTACCAGGAAAGTTTAAAAACGTTACAAGAAAATATAACCATCCAATGCCAAAAGCTGTTAACAGATACTAGATACACTAATTTGCATATTTACCAAGAAGACGTTGTGATTCTTGAAAAATATTTGCAATATCAGTTGACCCGTAAGTTAAACGAGAAGTTTACTACTTATCTGAGATATCCCATTGACTCTCAGCTAACAGGGCTTAACACTTATGGCAGAAATTATGGACAAAAACCTCAAACATCTTCATTTTTGGATACAGAAATCCAACACAATAATCAGTATTATCCATTGGCACAAAATACGCCAACAACCACCACAACTTTACCAGCACCACAATCATCAGTTTTTCAACAATTACCAACAATACCAACAGATAATGACAATTTAAATGCAGCTGAAAGAGAGGCAGATTTGCTGATTCAACGTATAAGAAATACTATCCAAAACAGAAAAAATTCTTCAGTCGTTAATCAATACGATTCAACTATAGTGCATCAGCCACAATATAAAATAATACAAGTAAAATTGGAGAATTTAACAAGCAAACAAGTACAAATTATTGAAGATGGTTTAGAAAATTTGTACGAGTTTGTTAACGTAGCTGTTCAAAATCAATATGAAAAAACCCAAACAGTGTCTATAGGAAAAAATTCGCTCTACCAACAATCACTTGAAACATTGGAAAAAGATGTAAAGATATTTTTATCAGATTGTATTAAAGGCAACAATATTGATAGTTTGAAGAAATACAACTTAGATAAATATTCCAGTATAATTACCAATGAATTTGATGCAGCTAAAATACCAGATTTGCAAAAGTATTTAGAAATTAAACTCATTAAAAAATTAAGAGCCCAATTAAAGACAGTCTACAATATACAAACAGAAGAAGAAAATGTTGAATTTATTTCACAGCCAACTGTCCAAAGAGTAGTAGTCAAGCTTGATAAACTCACTCCTACTCAGTACAAAATTATAAATCAAATTGAAGAAGAAATTGGCCAGCAAATAGAAGCTTCTATTCAAACTCAAATCGAATCTTTAAGACAAAGTCAGGTTTCCAGCTATTATTATCAACAAGAGCTGAACGAACTAAAAATTGGGCTTGAAAATAACATCACAGAAACGGTACAAAAACTATGCGAACCAGGTTTTGCACAATATTCTCAACTTGTTTCAGACAATTTCGATGGGAGCAAAATAAAAGATGTAGAAAAATATTTGCAAATCAAGCTGGTTAATAAACTGACAGAAAGTATAGCTTATTATTCTAGTGAGCAATCCATTTCCGGTTCTCATCATATTAGTTATTCCAGCAGTAGTTCATCACATCATCATTATAGTGGAGGATACAATTTTGGACAAAATAAGCCCGATGGAGAGCCTTTGAAAAGAGAAGAAAACTCTTATCAGTCAGCAACTCCCCAACTTGCGAATAAAGCAATAAAAGGAGGTGGCTCTCAATATATTGAACCAGAGGCTGAAGTTGTGGTGCCGGAAAGTTCCAGTTTGGTACCTGATGTTGATACAGAAGCTACAACGCCTAAACCAGGCTGGTGGCAAAATTTTTCGAGTAAAGTTAAATCTGGTGCCAATAAATTGAAAGACAAAATTGTTGGGAATGCTTAGATGCAGCAGAAGCCAAATTTATAGTTAATGTAATACCTACCCTCTATGTTTTTTTTTTATATAAAAATTTGAAATGTTAAAATAATGTAAATAAAACCCTTTATATTTATTTGAAGTAAATGTGTCTTTTTTATCTAGCTTGATAGATTTGTTAATTGTTACCACCCCCTTGGAGGTAGTCACTCGAGATTTTTCATAACAGAAAATCTCTATTTGTGGAGATCTCCTTGTAACTCCATAGAACTCCATTGATATCTATGGATCTTCAGAGATATCCTGGGATCTCTAGACATATCCTTGGATCTCCATAGAGATTATTTGATTATCATGGATATCCGTGTATCTCTTTCGGACCTCCATCCCCAAGTATTTCCACCGGATCTCCATGTATCTTCAGCTCGATCTCTAATGGATCTTCCCGTATTCTCACCAGATATCCATATGTATCTCTACAGATATTCATGGATTTCCACAGATCTCCATAAGCTGTCCATCCCGTAAGACAGAAGATTTCCACAGTAACTACCCTCTCGTTGAAAATACTTTTAAAAAAATTATGTGTAACATAGTTATTTCGCAGTCGTAGAAAAAATAAAGCATGTAAAATGGTATTTTCCAAATTTCACACTGATGTGGTTAATGCTACACGTTAGAAAAGAAAAGTGCTATTTTCAACACTTGTTGCACAATATACTAAGCACAGGTACAAAACAAGAGAGAGCATAACCTAAAATAAAACAGTAAACACCAAACCAAAACAAATTTTTAACATTATCACTTGAAAGTCTTGAAACTAAAAAATCGAATGCTTTTAATAGTTCAGTGCAATTAAGAACTCTTAAAATGGACTCAAAACACCCTAATCCAGATCATTGCACCTATTTCGTGCAAAGGAAAAAACGATACTGCAAAATGTTGGTGAAAGCAGGAAAAAAGTTCTGCGGTGAACACCATAAAGTATCCGATGACCCAGATTTGACTCAGGATAACTTGTCTGAGATCAGAATAGTGTGTCCTTTGGATAATAAACAGTAAGTTGCTTTCCGAGAACTCAGAAATAATATTTTTTCAACTTTTCATTTCCAGTACTGTTTATGCTAATAATCTAGAAAAACATCTAAAAATATGCAACGCCCGTCCTCAAAAACAAGAACCATACATTCAAAAAAATATAAATTCAGGTATCCCAGAAACATCTGTAGAAGAAGATACGCTGCAAATTCTATCATCATTCCCAAAAGCTCAAGTGCTAACCATAATAGATAGAGTCAATAAAATCTATAACAACAATATCACTATTTCCGGAAACCTACTAACCTTTCCATTAATTGAAAACGAAATCAAACCAGAATACGGAAATAAAACAAAAAAACATCTAAAACAGGCTTCAGCTATTGTAGGTCTATTACAAAAATACAAAATGCTCAAAGACAATACGTGTTATATCGAATTTGGTGCTGGTAGAGGCCAGCTAAGTTATTGGGTAGCCAAAGCCACAGAATCCCAAAAAAACTCTACAATTTTGCTTATAGAAAGAGACTCACCGAAACACAAAAAAGACAACAAACTAGCAAAAACCACTGATCAAATTCAAAGAATTAGAGCGGATATTGCAGACATAGTACTGGACAAAATTGATATTATTAAAAATAGTGAACACATTGTTGGCATTACTAAGCATTTGTGTGGGGCAGCTACAGATTTGACTTTGAGATGTTTAACAAGTACAGAAGAAACAAAAAATAAAGTTCATGGAACAATTTTAACTTTCTGTTGCCATCACCGTTGTGAGTGGACACCTTATACTGGAAAATCATTTTTTAAAGTAAATACAGCAATATTTAATAAATGCTTTATCTAATTTTCTATTTTACAGGCAAATGGCTTGAGTATTACAGACTTCAATGTTATGTGTCGTTTATCAAGTTGGGCTACTTGTGGTAGCAGAGAGTTTGAAGAAAACAAATTGACAGATAATGAACAAGATTATGGACTAGGCAAAGCTGAAAGAGAAGAAATAGGAAGAAGGTGTAAAAACATCATAAACTGGGGACGTTTGATGCATCTAAAAGAACACAATTTAGAATGTTTTTTACATTATTATGTAGAAACAAGTATTACATTGGAAAATGTAGCACTTGTTGCAATTAAATCAAAAGCTGTATAAAAATATTTATTTAGAAAAAAGTACAATGATAAATATTTTGAAAAAAATTGAGTTTAGAATAATAAATATATCACATTTTAGGTATCACTAATTCAAACAAAAATTAGACAAAAATATAAAATGTAAAAACCTCAAAATTACAAGTATTCTTTTAACGTGCCCCAAGATTTCCCTGTTTTAACTTTAACAGGAAAAGCTCCGAACATTGCGGCCGAATTTTCCATACCAATTTTTATAATCTTAACAGTCTTATCTAAATATTTATTAGGCACTTCGTAAATTAATTCATCGTGAAGATGTAAAGTTAGTTTAGGTTTGTGCCTGGTTTTTTTAAAAACCGTATTAATTTTGTCTTCAATATTGACCATGGCGTTTTTAACAATATCAGCAGCGGATCCTTGTACTATTGTGTTAACTGCTTGTCTTTCAGCATGATCTAAATTTTTTTTTTTTTAAACCTTATATAATTTTTATTAAAAAAATTGTGGGTACTTACTTTTAGCTGACAAATTGCTATTAGTAATATGAGGTAAAAAGCGTCTACGTCCAGTAATAGTTTCAACATAGCCGGCACTTGTGCAAAATGCTACAGTTTCTTTAATAAATTTTTTAATACCTGGATAAGTACTTCTAAAAGTTTCCATAAAATATAAAGCATCATCTTCTGAAATTTCTAATTGTTCTGCAAGCGTTTTCGCTCCCATACCGTAAATTATTCCATAACAAAGTTGTTTGGTATTTTGTCTCATATCTTCATCAACCTAAGAATTTATAATCAAGAAATACAATTTAATCGAAAAACAAAAAATCTTACACTTTCTTCAGTTACATTATTCCATTTAGCCGCAATAGACAAAAAAATATCTCCAGGTTTTCTCATAATATCCATCAATAGTTCATCTTGAGACAAATAAGTCAAAACCCTTAATTCCAACTGACAGTAATCTGCAGCCACCAAAATATGTTCATCTGGAGCAGAAAAAGCATTTCTGCAACTTATTAGAACATCCACATTTGTGACTGGATCACAAATAGTAAAATCTTTGGGTACCATTTGTATGTTGGGTTCGTGCATTGTTATTCTCCCAGTGGCTGTATGGGTGACATAATTACCATATAGTCTGTTGGTTTCCAAACATCTTATCAGGGGATAGATGATTTTTGTGAGGCTGAAATTTATTTTGCGCCACACAAGGACCAAGTTAGAAATTGGATGTTGGCTTTTTTCCAGGGTTTTTTTTCTTGTGTTGGGTTTTTTACCACTGTAGGAACCTAGAAGAAGCAGTTAATGAATGAGTTTATGAAAACCACTAACTCACCAATGGCTTTTGAAACTTCAGCAGGCGAATTGAAATTAAATCTCCTGCCTGCCAATGAAAATGCTTTCTTTTCAATAGAATATTGCTGTTTCTTCAACAAATCAACCAAATTCTGCCAGGCAATTTTATCAGCACTCATTCCACATAATTCCATATTGGCCACACTTATTATTATGCGCATTTCTAGATCTAAAAATAATTATTTTAATTTTAGGTATTTAAAAAGTCAACCCTAACATCCTACCATAAGTTGAAGGGAAACAAGAGTAATTAACTTCGTTAAATTTTGGCATCCGTTTGGCAAGTTCCTTCCTTACAGCTTCAACTAAATGCCAAGTGACTACAGCATCAATTGAAGCTCTCAATTTTGGTTCTGTTGAAGACTTAACATTCAAACCAATACTTGTATGACAGTTTATATCAGAGCAAAGTTGCCCTAAATCCTGTAATCTCTCATCATAATTGTTTATCTAAAATATTTGTTTTATCATTGTAGAAAATATTTGAGTACACTAATTTACCATTGTTTGAAAGCTTTTCTCGTTTCCTTCAGGATTTAAAAGCCAATCAGCTATTTTTGGATCCTCAATTTTACAACCAAAGTCGATGTCACAGCAAAGTTTTAAAATTTTAATTTGTTCCTTGGCATTAAACATTCTTATGCATTTTTGTTTATTAGCAAAAACTTCTTTTAGTTTTTTGAGGATTTTATTATTATCAGCTGACAGAAAGTAGCTTTGCGTATTGCCCCAACAAAATGTAAAACCGTGAACCTTTTTATCCTTGTAACTTATACACTCTGAACCACTTATAGTTTTTTCATTGCCAATTACTTTACCCCCTATAACAGGCTTGGTTTCAATTTTTTCAATACAAGCCACGCAAAAAGCAATACAAGATTTGTCATTTAATTCTTTAAAAAATGTTTTTAGTAATTCATCTGAAGCAACATCAACAATTTCAAGCTCTGCAAATAAGTCTTCTTCTTCAAAGCTGGTTTCACAATTTTTTAATAAACTTATGGGAGTATTTAATAAGTCTAATATTTTTGGTTTCTTGGTTGGTGTGGCTTCTAAAACTGAATCGTCTGAGCTTGCAAATGATGCCTCAGTTTTAGGCGAATTTAATTTTCTTTTAGATGTTGGTTGACTAACTTCAAAAAAATTTTCAGTTTCTGCTATTGTTTCAATGTGGTTAGTACATTTATTTAAATCATTATCAAGCAGTGAAAAACTCTCATCATCAGTTAGACTTTTATCTGTATTAATATTTTTATTAAAACCTGTATTATCAAGACAACTAAATTGGGACGATGTAGAAAGATTTAGTTCCAGTGATGAGTTACTATTTAAAATATCAGAAATTTCCAAAGGTTTTGCTGTATTTTTTGTTTTTTTGTTATTTCCCTCAGGTGCAATATCATTTAAATTTATTGAAGATACAATAATAGGTGTAGAAGATTTTTTTTCTAGATCATCAATTTCTGAATTACTTTTCTCCATAGACACATTGCTTTTATTTAAATTTTGACTAGCTTGCGATTTCCACTTGGCTTCCTTCAAACCCATTTCAATAACCAAATAATTTCTTGCCTCATTTATCAGCAATTCAGCAGCTTCAATTTCCGTGAGTCCAGCCTTACCTGTTACCCAAATAGTCCTCAAATTAGCTTTCTTATTATCATCTTTAGCACTCTCAAAAGGTCCAGCCCGTAAAAATATCTTCTCAATCACACATTTATCATTATTAGCTAATTGCACCAAACTTTCTATTCCTGCATTATAAAGTGTTCTAGCTAATTTTCCAGTTATAGATGGCAAACGCATCAAATCCAAAAGATCTCTACTGACGCCAAAATGCATCCTGTCTTGAAATTGCGAAAATAAAATTTCTATACTATTCCAGCCTAGTTGTTGACTAAACGAAGTTACCATTCCTGCAAAAGTTGCTGCAGATTGTTGCAATGACTGCAACATGCCTCTGTTGCAACTGTATTTTACGCAAACATCTCCTAGTGGTACTTCATTTACTAAATCTTGAAGCACTAGTGCGACAAAAAATCTTTTATGAACCATCATTGTCTGAAAGCCTTTTTTATCGTCCATTTTTCTTCTGGAGGCTCCTATCATGTAAGATTCCCTTACTCCTACTAGTTGTCCCACTCTTTTCATGGGAATAGACAATTTATCCCATAAATCCATATAAAACATCCAGTCAATGTTGCCCCATGAATAACAAGCATTGTAAGGGGTAACTAAATAAATTAAATGGAGTTCAGTTTCAAGTACAAAACATTGTCTAGCTTTTTCAAGTTCAGTGAATAAAGCTAAACCTTCATCTGGAGCTATGGAAGATGACAAGCAAGCTTTGCCCAAAGATGTTGTAACATATCTTTGTTTATCTGATCTTATAAATTCATATTGTTCCAAATATTTAAGAACTTGATTAATTAAGTTTTCAAATTTATTTTCTTTGTCAGTGACTGCTAATAAAGTACAGCTGGCAAATAGTGCAACATCATCATATGAAGATGCTACACCACTAGCAATAATTTCCAAAATTGCTCTTTTAAGTTTACCATCGCCTTCCAGGCAACTTTCTACAGCTGGTAATTTTCCTCGCATAAGCTCTCTAGCTAAAGTACAATCGTTTTTTTGACAAACTAAAATACTTTCACCCTTTGTGTCTTTGCCCATCCTGCCAGCCCTTCCAATCATTTGCTGATAAGTTAACAAATCAATGGGTTTTCCACAAAAATATGGACTTCTAATAAGGACTCTACGAGCTGGTAAATTAACACCAGATGACAATGTAGATGTTGCTATAAGGATTCTGATAGCTCCGTTTCTAAAAGCTCCTTCAATAATATCCCTTTCGTCCATTGTTAATCCTGCATGATGAAATGCAATTCCAAATGATACAGTTTTTTTAAGAACTTCGTCTAAGCCAACAGGGCATAGTTTTAGTTGTTCAAACACCTCCAAAATCAAATTTGTGTTTATTTGGGATCTTAAAACTTCACCCAACATAGTTTGAGAGTTGCCAATTTTCCAAAAGGCTGCTGCTAGTTGCTGAGCTAAATTTTCACACCAGTTTTTTGTGGGACAGAATATCAACACCGAACAAGAATCTTTAATTGTTTCCAAACACAATTGTAAAATATTGTCTGTGTCTACATCAATTTCAGGTAGGGGTTCTAGTTTTTTTATAAATTGAAAATTTTTATCGTAAATATCCCCACCAACGCTCGCTTGTTCAAACAATGGCACTGGCCTGAAATCTGTAAAGTATAACTGGGCCTCTAACCATTTGGCTAGTTGATCTAAATTAGGCAAAGTAGCTGACATTCCAATTATTTGTATTTTAACATTTTCATCTTTCAAAGCAATATATCTCAGTTTAGTCAAAAGAAGTTCCAAGATGTAACCTCTATGAGGATCTCCTAATAAATGCATTTCATCAACCAATACACATCCAACTTCTGATAGTTTGCCTTCTTCTAACAGTCTGTTTATTAAATTGTTTGCCTTTTCAATGGTGCATATGGCAAATTGTAGAGATGCGAAACCGCCAGGTGGATTATAGGAACCCATGAAACCGTCGGTCCTTATGCCACAGCTGCTCAATAAATCTTGAAAATAATACATTTTTTCTCTGACAATGGAAACAAATGGTAGAATAAAGATTACCTTCTTTTTTCTTTCGAATATGGTTTTCAAAGCAAGGATTTCTGCTACTAAAGTTTTTCCAGCTGATGTAGGTGCGGAGTAAATCAAGTTGGACCATTCGTTTAAAACTTTGGGGTTGTTTAGGCACTCAAATTGCCATGGGAGCATACTTTGGATTTTTCGTGAGGCGTATTTTTCTAGGATTAGGTCTGGCAGGCCCCAGGAGGCAAGTTTAAAATTTTCATTGTGAAACTTTGCAGTATTTTGTGAAGGAGATTTTTTGACGCAATTTGAGAGTGAAACTTCTGGGCTTTCTTGGTGAATTTCAGTTTCAGGGATAGTGAGTTCAGAAAAGGAAAGCTTTTCTTGGTTTGTTTCACATACAATTTCATCTACATGTGTTTTAGATGAGTTTTTGGTGCATTCATTTTCGACACTATCAATTCCAGAATCTGAGGCATCCTCAATGTCCAAGTTAAATAAAATTAAGCTACTTGATGAACCTGATAAGGTATCGGAATCATAATGATTTTTGTTTGTTTCGTTTAATATTCTAGAGCATTCGTTGGTACCTGTGAGAGGTTTTTCCTCATTCTTTGTTGCTTCTTCAAAATCAAAGGAGAAATTGTCCAAGTAGTGAGAATCATCGAAAGATATTTGATCAGGTTTGTTGTGGGGCTGGCTTTTTATTTCACGAAATGAAACGTTATCTAAGGTATCACTCATAAAAAAATCATCTTCAACCATTTCTGGAACTTCTTTTTTGGAAGTTCAATTAATAAATATACTAGTGACTTTGAGTAATTTTTTATGTTTTTGTATATTAATTTAAAAAAAAAAATGTTTACCTTTCAAAAATTCAACTGGTAAAATTTGAATTTGACAGGTGATGTTTTCAAAACCACCCGGTACTACGTCAAAAGGATCGTTTTGCGATATCGATACCCGATACTAGTACCGCAGTTCGGTATCGATATACTACTTGGTATCGAAAGTCAAACCTCGATACTTCATTCTATCGAGAACCTATCGATACTTGTATCAGCCAATTTAAATTGAATCTATTTTTCCTATGTACAGGGTTATCCAACGAAAGTGCTTTTTACCTTATATACCTGTAAAAGTGTAAATGGAAGAGGTACAAAAAAATGTTAAATATGAAAGTTGAATTAGGAGCATACACATACAGGGTGTTCCATTTGGAATAGCGATATTGCCACTGGCTTAAAGTAGAAGCGGCAATAGTGCATAAACAAAAATATTTTTATAATGTAGATCATGGTCGTTTATCCCGGTTGCCAAATTTTCAAAATGATCCGCTTTTTAGTTCTCCATAAACGTCTAATACGCCATCCACCGTGGGACACCCTGTATGCTACATGTCCTTTAATTAAATTCAGCAATTTTGGAGATATCGTTCATCAATGATTTTTCAATATAAATTACGAAAAAAATTATATTTCATCGTTGGAAGCTGGTAAGAGTGGTAAGTTCCCGTCTAGTCTTGCTTATTACTATTGTTTTTAATTCACCATATTAGTTAGGTTAGGAAAAATCGGGCGCGAAATTTAAAATGGGTTCCTAAACACATTTCAACAAATTTGACAGCAATGTATTTCTTATGGGGCATTCAAAAGAGTGATTTTCAGACGGAAATATCTTGGGTTCTGGGCATTTCTTAGTATTTGAACCTATTATACGTCAAACTTTGAATATATTTCTCTATAATTCATGCTCTAATTGTTTTTTTAGACCTATGAATTAAAAATACAAATGATTTTAATTAAAAGTGTCCGTTTTCGGTGGACATACGTCGGATCTAAAACCAGCTGTAAAAAAGTGAGGTTGTGTGTTGTGTTATGATCATTGAACTATAACTTATGGATCAAGCAACGACATACGTATTTTATACAAACATCGGCTTCTTGAATTGGTAATATTTTTATTTTAACAATGTTTATTCAACCTTCAAACACTCTCTCAGTTAATTAACATATTAAAAAAACTATTTATACAACTCACTTCCCTAACCAGGGACGGGGCGATGGGGTGGGGGGGGGCGACGCCCCCCCCAAAGTCCCTAAAATATATCGAAAGTTGGGAAAATTTGGATAAAAAATTTAAAGTTGGGAAAAATTGGTAGACAAAAATTTGCGCACCTTATTTGCGAGGACTAAGTATTATTATTATTAGAGAGTTATTGGACGTGCAATAAGGACAAGCAGTATTTAAATTAGCCTTATTTTGACATCTACGCATGCGCATTTGGGTCCGAAAATAAGGATTTCCTTAATAAGCATCGATTAAAGGCGATTAACCAGTCGGTCATAGTTGACAGATAACCAATGAAGCAAACGTCATTTGTCAACCAATCGGTAATAAATGATGTTAAATGCATTGTTCATCTGTCAATATAACCGAATGGTTAATCGCCTTTAATCGACTAAGGTTACTGCTTGTCTTTATTTCTGTATGGTTAGTGCGAGGCAGTATTATTATTTATTTCAAATTTCTGACATTTTGGACGACTTTGACGTTTCGCTTTTCGACGATGACGTAATTTTACTTAGAAAATTTATTTTTTACAATAGTTTTCCATTTTACTGTGGATAACATCAAAAAATGGGCATCATAGCAGAAAATCACAAACAAAAATAAACACTTTTTGAGGCTGAAATTTTTAAACATAGCTATCAGCTGTCAAAATTATGAATACAAAATAAGGTATTACTCTAGCACCTACTATAGTCTTCCAATAACTGTTTTTTTTTGGCAAAATAGTGCTGACGCACTAATAAAATAACGTAGATCCTTACTGCGAGGCAGTATTTAATGGTTCCAATAACTCTCTATTGTCTTTTGAGAAATACTTAAGAATGAAGTTAACTGACTTTTCAGAATCCATCGGCGTAATGTCTGGAGATCGTGGAGGCCCGTTAATGGTAGGTACTACTAGTGGAAATTATTATTCCTGGAATTATGAGCTTGATATGTCGTTGGATTTAGATTAAAAAGTAGAGTTTATTAGGCATAAAATAAAAAAAACTCGACCATTTGAAAAAACAAACTTGATGATGATCGCGAAGAAACGAAACATCTGATCAAAAATCTAATAACATTATCATGTAGTGGAGAAAAAGTAGTAATGAGAATGTGAAGTTTATTGTACGATATCATTTCAAATAAAGTCAGAAAAAAATAAAAACCATTTCGGCAAAATTCGGTTTTTCATGGATATCTTCGGAATATGTAATTCGGAATTTACGAAATATCAAAACATGACGCCACTGAGCTCAGTAAATGCGCAACTCTTTCCAAATTCAACCAACCCTATATCTCTTATGGTTGCCGAGATCAGACATGTCAAACTTTTTATCAGTTTTTGAAGTGAGACTTCTTAGGCGGCGGTCTGATATTTAGACAAGAATATGGAGAGAGATTTGAAAAACGCATCACGTAACGTCACGTTTTGGCAAATTTCGTTACACGAGAGATGAGAGAGAAGGAATATATAGTAGACTGTAGAGAGACGGAGAAAGCGAGCCAATGGGTACATTCAGGCGGTCCCAGCGGCTAAGCTCAGCCACTCAGCAGGAACTTTATTCTCGAAACAGGGGAGCAGCGTTCTCATTGGAACGAAGATTCTGTCTTTGTCGTCCGGCATAACACTGACAATGACAGAGCAATCGTTCTTATGAGAACACTGTTCCTTGGTTTCGAGAATAAAGTCCCTGATGAGTGGCTGAGCTTAGCCGCTGGGACCGCCTGAATGTACCCAATGACAATCACAGACGAGGAACGATTAACACAAACCAAGGTTTATAAGCAAAGAGGAATGCCTATTGTTGTCAAGCGCAGATACTCTTGTGGCGTCACTATAGATGCGCCTCTCCCTTTTGTGTGGCCTTTCGTCTTTACCCCGACTCATACGCTAAGTCTAAAAGCTGTATGAGGAAGGGTATAGTTTTTAAAAAGTTTCACCTCCCAACACGTGCACAATGCGCTGCATATGATTTTTCAAAAGCGAAACTTCTTGTAAAGTGTTTTGAAAGACGCGTCACGTTAACGTAACGACACGTTTTGGCAAATTTCGGCACACGAGAGACGAGAAAGAAGAAAGTTATAACGTAGACAGACGGAGAAAGACAGCCAATGACAATGACAGCCGACGAACGATTCACACAAACCAAGGATTATAAACAAAGTGGATTGCCTATTATTGTCAAGCGCCGTTACCCTTGTGACATCACTACAGATGCGCGTTTTTCTTTTGTGTAGCCTTTCATCTTTATACCTCGACTCATGCGCTATGTCTAAAAGTTGTATGAGGAAGGGAATAGTTTTTAAAAAGTATCACTTTTTAACACGTGTACGATGCTATATATGATTTTTTTTATGTTTCAAAAAAGTTGGGAAAATTAGGAATGTCCCCCCCCCCCAAACCAGAGGCCTTCGCTACGTCCCTGTCCCTAACAAACATTCTATCACGTCTACAAACGCTTTTAAAATTGACATCAATGTATTAAAGATTTGACGCTAATTTATATAAAAATAAAAAATAATACTTATATCTATATCTGCGTAGGTAAAGTCTTCATTTCTTACATTCTTATATGTATACTGTAGACCTATAATGATTTCTTTTATTCTTTTATGAAAACTTTTCGACTTTACCGCTTCTCCGGTATCGTATATTTTCAAAATTCGGCTGAACCACTCCATAGTATGCCAGGATTGCCAGGTATGCCAACTCAGGATCTTGCAATCCCTGCGTTGTGGTTTGCTAATATAGTGAATTATTATATGGAAAATGTGTCCAATACCTATTAGATGAAATATGCAAAATTTTGCTTAAATCCCGCTTCACCTGATTCACCTTTTACGTAATTTACCTTGGTAAAAATAGATACAGATCGTTTCACCAAGGTTCAAACTTGACCTTGAAACTTGAAAAAAAAGAGTTGTCATAGATTAATTCATATGACACATTCAACTTTTTTGACAAATAAAAATGAATGACTTCTGGTTTAAGAACCATTCTCAATTTTTGCAGCTCTATTCATTGACTGTTGAATGAAAAAAAAAATTAAGAGCCTGGGATAGAAAAAATAAGAAAGTCTAGTAGATAAGTGGACTTTGCAAGTTGTTTCTAACTTGAAAGTCCACTTTATCTACCATTAAAAAAACGCTGCTGCTGAGAGATATTTAATATTTATTTTAATTTACATCCTAAAACAGTATAGTTACATATTGGCTTAAAGTAAATTAATAAATATTAAATTTGATTATAAACTGCTATATAAAGTGACATCATTTTAAATTTGTTTAAATTCTCAGGGGTTTTCGGAAACAACAACCCTAGTTTACTATCATCTTATTGCAGATTAGTTTTAATCTGGGATGAGTTGTTCGACATTTCCGAACGCAAATCATTTATATAAAGTATTTCGAACTTAAACGTAACTTTTATATTTTGAAATGTTTCAAAAAAGTGACGAAAACATTAATAAACTAACCTAAAATACCAATCAGCTGATAAATAACGATAAAAACAAAATCAAAACACCGGGATTCATTTAAATCCCGGTACAAGTGCGTCATATCGATGACGTCATCAAAACTACCGGTAAAAAATGTGTTACCGGTACCGGGATTCTAGACACAGCGTTAAAAAAAAAAAAAATCTCTCTAGGAGATACAAAGATATCCGTAGAAATCTATAGAGCTCCAAGTAGATCTCCACAAATGGAGAATTTCTGTCCTTGTCTACGCCCTCGATATCCAAAAACGCAAGTAAGGTTGCCATAAACTAAAAGTGGACTTAATCCTTAACTAATTTTTTTGCTGAGTCTCTATGGATTGTTGAGATTCTGGATTTTTTTTGCCCAAGTCCTTTTTTCCTTATAACATTTAGGAAAAATTCAATCCAGAAGTTTTGTTTAGTGTCCCAGGTTTTTTTTAAGAGGAAATGCAATTTTTCCAGAAATTTTTACTCTTGAAATGATATTCGAAAAAATGGTTTTTTGAGGTCTATCTACTTTTAAGTCCAATTTTTAACTATTTTAACATTAAACACAGTTGATTAACAATATCCACTTCATGCGACGTCAATGTCGAACATTCTGGAGTGCGAAACTCCCAGCGGCACCTCAATTGCATCCAGACCTTTTCCGAAGTAACTCCCATCGAGGTTTGTAAAAGGTTCAGCCAATTTGGTTTGAGTTGCTCAGAAAGTAACTGCAATTAGGGAGGTAAATTTACCCAAACAAACTCTGATTCTCACCTGATCAAATGGCCGATATCCGATATGAAACATTTTGTGCAATAAAGGCTCTGGTGGACATTGAACTTTATTAGGCACGAAAGATTCTTGTTTTTCACTCACACCGAGTTTCAAGTACAACCATTCGCTGTTGTTTTTAATAAAGTGGAATAAAGTCTGAAAAAATTGCTTCAGATAACATCGCATCTCTGGTTAAATCTACAGGGTTTGCATATGATGTCTTAGCTTTTTGGAACAATTTACGTACCTTCAAACCTTTTTTCCCTTGAGTACTTGCCAGCAAATCGCTGACAAGTATTTCAATCATTTGCTGATTATTTTCTAATCTATTCGAACCCGAATCAGTATAAAATGAAAAGTCGTTTTTACTCTCTTGAACTTCATTTAAAAATTCAGTAATTTGATCAGTGTGTTTATGATCTTCATCTACAAATATCTCTGAATAGGAAAACTTAATTGAATTTATGTATGCTTACCAATACTGCATAAAGATTCTGCAGCGGCCAAAGCAGCCCAGCCAATAGTATGAGCTGAATCACTTGCAGGACTCTCTTCAATCTTTTTCGTACTAAAAGTCACTTCTTTTTTTGTTGAAACATTTTCAGACATGCTTATCAGGTGCGAATACAAAGCACTGACAAGAATGTGCATTAAAACCGAATCGCTTACTGGACGAACATCAGAAGGAATTCCATCTTGGAATAATGTCGCTATGCGCAATAAAGCTGAATCCAACATGTCCCAAAACTGACTCAGGCAAGCTATAATCAGTGACATTGTTTGATACATGGTTGCACCAGTTTGTAGTGCGTTAATAACTGTTTCTCCTATGAGTGGTAGTATTGGTGAGGCTACGTTAACGATAGCTTCGTACCAAGGAAATCGAATTTGATTCCATAACTAAAAAAATCATATAAATGTAAATTTGTTCAAAGGTAGGTATAGTTAAAAGTACATTTGTTCTTTCAAAAGATTTGGACCATCCAGGATATTTCATCACAACTTCAACTAAAAACTCCTTTATTTCTTCATCATTGCCTATGTAAAGGATAACTTCAGTGGCAGCCATAATCAGATCGTGATAATGTGCAGGGCTGAAAGTTTGCAAGGAAGTATCTACATCCTTACAACTACCATCGCCTGCGCATAAAAGATTGCCACAGTCTACAGATTTTGGGTTGGGCCTTTTTAGTTCTACATTGGATTTTTCCATAAACTCTTGCAGAAGTAGTTGGAGAATTTTGAATTTTTTACCACAAAGGACCTATAATTGAATAAAGTAGGCATACTATAAATCAGTCGTCAAGAGGATTAGATTATATGTAATGATCCAGAAATTAAACCCGTAAATCACAATGTCTTTACTATAAAAATTAAATAATCATCAAAAACTGAATTTCCGGTATTTCCAAATCAGTATCGATAAATTAAAAATGAAACAAATTAACGCTAACGTAATTCGACACCCAGCCTATGTCATCATCTAAATTAAATTCTTAAAAATAATAAAAACGAAAACAGGGTGATGTCATCCTAACACCCGATCAATGAACCTTTTTTTTATCGAGGCCATCATGTTAATTAACTCGAATGATTTATGGCATTCTTGAACCACTGTATTCGACCCCGATAAATCAGTATATTATTGCGACATAATTATTCGATTTTTTAAACTTAAAATGATAAAAATTTCAAGGAAATTGCATCATTATTTTTAATAATATTTAGGTCGGCCAATGGGATTGGCTGATTGATCGTCAAACGACCGCCTATTGACGATTTGGGGGATAATTAATAATACTTTGCGGGGGGGTCGATTTGATATAAATACCGCGGTTTTAGAAGTAGTTGTCAGTTGAGAGATGAGTTCGCAGTCCTATCCAGTTTGAGTTAAAATCTACAGTACCTAAAGTGTCAGTCGGAGAAAATATTTGCAGAAAATTTCTTGTATTGCCTTGGTAACAGTCTTTGAAAAAGTAGCGGAAAAATTTTGAAAGAAAGAACAATTAAAGTCGTCATTATTTATGTGCGTACTAGCTAAAAATTTTGAGTAATTAATTAAGTAATTTTACGTGTGCAAAGTTAAATGTAAGTACTTTAGTGTTTAATAATTTTCTGACGTTTATCAATGATTCTGAATGGTAAGAAATGAATTAACAATGACTTTTAATGCCTAAAAACTTGAGTGATTTTTACTAGAAAAACTTTTGACTTTATAATTTACTGTGGAACTTTATTGCATAAATATTAATAACTCGAGTGTTTTGAAAATGGAACATTATTGCATAACTTTAATTGCCTTCAAATATAATGACATTCTAATTTAATTTTGCACCAAAAATATGAAGGGAATTTATAATGCACTTACCAATATACAATTTTGACTATTTTGAGTAGGAATTATGAATTAAACAGTTGGGTTTATTAGCTAGGCATAGGAATCCGAAAATAGAATTTGTTCTGATTAAATAAACTATTAAATGGAATAGGAAATTTTGAAAAGAAACTTGATGTTCATGAAATAGAATTGTTGTCTTAAAATAATCGAAAGTTGTTAAAGGAAACTTATAATAGAATTTGTTCTGATTAAATAAACTATTAAATGGAATAGGAAATTTTGAAAAGAAACTTGATGTTCATGAAATAGAATTGTCTTAAAATATTGGAAAGTTGTTGTTCATGAAATGAATTTTGAATTAGGGTTTTTATTTTTCAAGTAGAAATTATTAGAAGGTTTTATAAGAATAAGTTAGTAATACCTATATTGATAAACAAATAGGTAATTATTTTGGGTTTTCATAAGCAGTCAGTAAAGGACTTAGAAATTTTAAAGAATTTAGAGAAATAGGTGAAGGGTAGTTATTAGGAATGAATCGAAAGTGTTGAAATGAGTTAACTTATAAGTTATTAGGAATAGTAGGAATAGGGCATTTTTTCTTTATTAGTAGGGATATTTCAATGGTCCGTAATAATAACATTTTGAACGGATGTGAAGTAATTGAAAATAGAAAAATAGATGAGGCTGTCAGAATTGGAAGATATTTTGCTGATTTAAATTTTTGGGTTTTATGTATAATAAAATATAATTTAGTACACCTCAATAGTTTGTTTCTCTCTCTTGCAAATAGACCCTTCCACAGATTTTAGGTAGCAGCTCCAAGTAAATAAACACCATCAATATACCGCTCGCCATTTACCATCTAACTAATTACATAGAGTACTTGGGGTGTTTTGTTACAATAGCTACGATCCAGAAAATGGATTATTTATTAATTTACAGGGACTTAAAATGCAAAAATAGAGTCAAGAACCCTCCCAAGTAAGAGTGCCTCTTCTTTTTAGAGGAGGCGGTCCTTTTGAATCAATTACAAAAAGGAAGCATCTAAAAGGTTCCTGAACCTGAAGATGAACCTATAAAATTAGGCATCGGAATGCTACAATACCTTTAAAAGTAAAGCCCAATTTGGTTGTGGTTGTGCTAGTAGAACCATTAATTCAATCGCCAAGGATTTTTGTTGATCCAACTGGGTAATTCTGGTAACTGAGTTTTTGAAAATATTCGGTAAAGAAAATGTAATCCATGCAGCAGGCCCACTGGATTTAGGTTTGAATAGCTCATTATTTTCAAGGCCTTTTTTGAATACCTATAGGTACATAAATATGTGTATAAGAGATTTAGTTAACATAATCACACTTTACCTTATTCAAAGAATCAAGAGTCGCTCCTCTAAATAAAAAGCACAAATACAACTCCTGACATTTCACGTGAATATCCCTTAAGATTTTATTTTTACCAGTACTCCGAACATTGACGTATTCGTCAGCAGAATCACAAGTTGCTGGCAACAATTGGGCTACGCACAAAAGCAAATTGCTTATATCCACCAACAATAAGTTACTCCTTGCTTCTGAAGGTAAACTCTGTGTATATCGTACAGTTAAAATCGTCAAAGACTCATTTAGCATGCCAGAGAAAACCCTTTGTGCCATTTTCGGTGGTACCGTGTTCCAAAGGTCTTCTTTTATACCTTGCATGTACAGCCACCACATTTGGATTATGTACGAACCTCTTTCGGATTCAAAAAACGGTTTTTCGTTTTCCCAGTCCAGACAATCTGCATCTTGAAGAATGTAGAGGGATAAAAGGCGACAGTGTAAGTCTAAAAGTCGTTCTGCTAGAGCTTCACACATTTCATGGTACTTTTTGTAACCGTTTTGGAGTGATTCAATCGAAGGTGATTTGATTTCATTTAAAATTTGTATAAAAAACCAGAGGCAGTTTTTTAATAGAGCGGCTGCACCAATTGTGCCAGTGAGAACTGTTAAATCGGCATGGTCTAAGGCCTCTTGAGTCAAAACATGTAAATGTTCTACAAAGTGGTTGCATCAAAAATCAATTATTTTTTTTTAAATTTAATTACCTAGAAGTTGGTCAGCAGATTTGCTCAAAGCTGATATAAATTTAGTTGGATCTGAAGAACGTACAATACCGCCGCAACCTCCAGAAGTTTCAATGCTGTCGCGTGTTCCTTCTATGTGTTTTTGGAAAAATCCTGCAAAAAATTTCATACATAGTCCTATAAATAGGGTTGACATACCTACATAAAAGCCCATTTTGTAGATAATTTAATTGGCTTTAATTTGAGTTCAATTGCGTTGAAATCGGATTGAAATTAACGGAGCTGTGAAGCAAAAATTGTCTCAGTGTCATTTTTCGAATATTTTCAATGTTTTATAAATTAAATTTTGAAGCTTTTCAGGTGCAAAACTGTTGGAACAAACATATTGTCTAGTTAAATAAACACAAAAACCCTACAAAAACGCAAAAACCCAATGTAAATATTTAAAAACTCAGGTATTTGCCAACCCTGCCTATAAAGGAGCTTGTCGAAATTTAAAATATACCGGAAGGTTTTCTGTAGGCAGCTACATACTCATCTTCCCACCAAATCACAAGCTTGACAGCAGCAAAGGATGCTGACCGAGGAAAATCCAATTTGCCACCAATAATTCCTGGACAAACTGTTTCCTGAAGAACTGATTGTTTGGCCTTATAAAAATTAGTTTGGCTTGAAAAGTATTGTCAAATAGTTTTACATTACCTTGTAATATTCCATATCACGCTGTATTAAAATGTTTACTTTGTCCATTAAATTTCCATCTTCCATTACCTCCATGGTGGCAAATTTCGAAAAATATACTTACTTGCACAAAACAGCAATTCGTTTATTGATCAAACAAGGCAATTTTAAAAGTAGGTTGATAACATGATGGATGGAAAATACAGAATATTTAGAAAATGAATTTTATTAATATTATTTGACTAAATTATTATTTAAACTGTGAAATTTTTCAGTAAATCCAACATAAATTCCAGCCAATCCAGTGTTAATGTAATAATTTCCTTTATATCTAAAAAAAAATTGCTTAGATGAGCTCAATGTCATTTCAAATAACATTTTTTTACTTTGCATCTGCAGCAAATCCCATATAAGTTTCATGATTTTGATCACAAAAGCCCAACTTATACAACAAATAACCATTACACTTTGTAGTCAAAAATCTATGAGGTGATAGAATAGACTTTACGTATAGCTGATAGGATCGGTAATGGTCACAAAACACTAAAACCGAATTCACCTTAATAATACTCTAAAATATCTTATAGCAAAAATTCTTACACAACCAATTAGCCCTGAGTCCATAAATTTTCACTTTATCTCCGTCCTGACATCCTGGCTGTTTTCGCCCCCCGTTAGGCCAAAAATCCACATGCCCTACTGAATATTGTATACCAAACAGGGCTGCGTTCGAGTGAATTACATCTACAAATTCAGCATCTGACTTATCTAGTCGTTCCGAGACTGGTTTAAGATTAAATAATGGACCAGCAGGGTCAAGAGCTGCAAACAAAGCTTTCAATAAGTTATATCGATAACTATAATGTCTCAACAAACCTGTGATTCTAGGTAGTTTTCCACTTTTAACAAAATTGCCTAGGAATCCTGCAATTTGTCCGCCTAAACTCAATCCGATTACATGTAAGTCTTTGAGGTTTAAGCCTCTCAATACAAGGTAGTCAACGAATAGGGCTGAAAATTGTCCGATGGGTTTACAATTTGAAGCTGCGGTACGATAATCTGGACCTGCTAGGAGCCTTTGGTTTTGTGCTAGGATTACGTTGTAGTCTCCTGTCGTCAAGTATGCTGAAAAAAAAACTGTATTGCTGGATTTTTCTAGTGGATTATGACTAAAATCTCTCGATGGATACATTTTTCTTTAAATCTTAATAGAAGAAGAATGAAGAAATTGCTGCTTTAGATCTTCATAAATCAAATCATCTCCTAAAACTGAAAAAGTTGACGATGCGGAGCAGACAAAACAAATAAAATTCGATGCTAGAGTAGAAGAAAAATGAAATAAAGAATAAGACGATATTCTTCCATGACTTCTCCAATCAATGAGCAAATTATCTCTTGAAAGTTGTAACAAAATCAATAGCAACTTCATATTCTCGGTTCATTGAAATTTACAAACACGTGGAGTTTTGCGAACCACCTAATCTGTTCGCGGATAAAAATCACTTGAAAGCCAGAAAAGTATCGAATTTTGTAGCTTCAAGATTATTATTGCTGTAACCCGAAATTGCCAAATGTATATAGGCAAAATTTATGTTTTCCAATATAAACAGTAAACTTTAAACTAATCTGTCGACTGAACCAGATCCCATGTGGTTGTAATAATTTATTCAAAGTCAAGGATAATCTTCTGAATAGCCACGTTTTATGACGAACTCAGATGTCAGGTAACTGATACCGCTGGAAAGAATTATGTATGTTCGAAGCATGTGTGTGTGTAGCGAAGCAATAATCACATGTGCTGGATTTTTAAGATAGAATAACAAATTGTACACCAATATAATTATCAAGGGTTATTACTTGGGTGAAATGTTGACTGTAAGATAGTTAAATGCCTAATTATAATTAAGATATAGGTAGGTTAAGATAGTAGTGATTAATCAATTATTTACCTATTAAAAAATTCCAATTAAAGCACTGGTGGTGGCGTAGAAAGATCTTACGTGCCGGTTTGTGCGGTTAAAGAAGGTTTTTCCAGCTTCGGCAGAAAAGTGGTAAGTGGTACTAATTTTGAGTCTCTAATAATAACACCTTTCAATAACCATTCCAAGAAGAGAAGAAAGAAGATTTCGCTCAAATTGCCTTTGGTTCAGAAAACTGTTATTTAGTGCTTCAGATCAAATTTACTTTTCAGCATAATTTACTACGAAATTTTAAGATGTGACAGAATTATTCACGCTACCAAAATATCAATTCTTACATAACATCTCAATTTTGTCACAAAGTAGAGAGAATGACAGAAAAATAAATCATTGGAACCCGATGCTCACAGCTAAATCAGACAAAGAATTGAATAAGAAAAAGGAGTCCTTCAGTCCATCGCTCCTTTAGATCTGCTACAATCAAATAACGAGTGAAAAGTTCTATTGGCCCTACACTTACCATTTTTTATAGATTGTCCATCGCCAGAAGTATGCGATTCCAAAAACCCATGAAAAAATAAAATCGTTTTACGAGAAAAATCAATTCCTGAATTTTGCAAGGAGCGATCATCAAAGGGTGTAATAACTCTTGATGTCTCTTTATTTTCCCTATAAAAAAAAATGTTCAACAGGTAAAACTAAAAGTGTATTATGAAAAAAAAGAACACTTACGGGGTATACAAATGAAACAAACTATCTAAATAAGGATTAATCCCTGGACATTTCCTTCTATTGATGGGCCACAGTTGGAAAGTGAAATTTGAAAAATACAGTTGAGGATCTTGAAAAAATATTGTTATTTTAAAAAAATTGAATACAAAAATATTTACCTGGCATATTAGCCAAAATACACAATAATGATACCCCAACCGACATAATTTCAAAATAATATACAGTTCTATGCACTATTGTGCACAATAATAGGACAAAAAACCACTAATTAAAATGTTTAAATTTGCGTTTAATAAACCCCCATAAGTGAAAAGTGATTTTGCCAATATTAACGATTGGTCAGTTAACCGTATGAATTTGGTTGCACAATTTTGGTAATGTGGATTTTCATTTTTCAATCGTTGCACAATTAGTTTTTTTTACATGGTTAAAAGATTTTCTGGGTATTTGGCACCAGAACTATGTATAATAATTGTCGGTAAAGAAGAGAGAATCTTAATTACTACACATAGCCTGAAAGTTTCAGCTGCAAAGAAAACTGCATTTATCAATAAATTGATTGATCCCAGGCTTCTTATTGCAATTTAATCATCTATCAGGAGATTACTATAATAATCTAGTTCTTCTAAATCTAAGTCTGTAGATACCTACTACATAGATTGAACTGCAACTTGCTGTATTGTTCCTTTTGCTTAACAAAAAAATACCCAATTTTATTTATCCATTTTATTAGTATCAAATAATACGCATAGGTAACAAGTGTGATTTTCAATACAAAATATAGTCCCTATCTGATTTTTGTTTTTTTTTTCACCCTTAATTCATTTTTTTTCTTCTGCCGCCGATGGTGATGGTAGACAGCTACGGACTGTGGCATTCAAGTCTTGTTCACAGTTGGCGTAAGCCATTCCGATACCGAAACCGCCTCCCATTAAAAGGGGCCAACTCCTCCTTTTGAAAAATAACAGTGAAAACACTGCACCCAATATTACGCCACTTCCCAGCTTAATAACAGAGTCCGATAAACATCTATCCCATTTTCTTCCCAGTTCTTCTTCTATGTATATTGGTGAGTTCATTGTTCCTGGTTCAAAATAAGTTTTTTTTTTTTTAGTTTCTGAAGACTGAGAGCATTGAAAATGAAATTGTAGATGATTCAATTTATGGTTTTTTCTGATGTCACGGTTTGGTCAATTTTGACAAAATGTCAAAATTTATTGGGAAAAAATCAGGTATAATTTTCACTTATTTCTCTTTTTCTGCTGATTTTTTTTTTTTTTAATTATTATTTTTTCTAATTTTTTGTTTATTCCAGGCTCTTAAATTTCGGTTCTAACAGTTCTACGCCGTTTTTCTCTCAGAACAAGAAATTTTCAGGTTTTAGATCCATACAATAACCTTCTGATACCAAGAATCTCTTGGTAGAAGAACCAGCAAAGTTTCCAAAGTAATCTAATGACTCGAGATTCAACGTTATGAATAATCTTCATAGAGAAAAATCAGAAAACTTGCATAATAATGGCTCAGAATTCAGGATCTAAAGTTTCCAGAGTCATGGAGAGTTAGGAGGATCTAATAATAAGAGAGGGACAGTATCTAGAAGATCTAGCCAATCATTCTTGATTCAGGATGAGCGTCTTTCGAAATTATGATCAGAAAACTTGCAATCATTGAACGTGAATTTCGGTTCTAAAGCTTCTACAGGCTTTTTACAGAACAAGAAATTTTCAGGGTTTAGATCCATTGAACCTTCTCAAAGTGAAAAATAATCTTTACGAAAATATAACAGAATTAATATGATATAAACATACAGATCCTAATTCCCAAGAAACTTCTCTTCAAATATTTGAAAAGTAATAATGTTTCAGAATTCAGGATCTAGAGTTTCTAGATTTTTTTCATAAAATTCCCAAATAATTTTCACGGCTCGTTTATTTCAAGATCCGTATTTTTTTTCTATTAAAAACAAAATATTTATTTAAGAATCAAGATCAGGATATAAAAGTCCTAAGAACCAGACAAGATCAGTAGGAAATGGACATTATGAATTTTACTCGTATGCCCTTCGGATTTAAAAATGCCCCCGCGACATTCCAAGGAGTGATAGATACCGTATTTATAGGACTACAAAACAAAATATGTGTAGTTTACATGGAAGAGATCATAATATTTTCCACTTCTCTTCAAAAACATATTGCAAATTTCAAATAAATATAATCCTATAAGAATATATTGTAGATCAAATCGGAAGTTTGCAATGTTATGCAAGCTTCTAGAACTGTTTCATAAAAATACAGAAACATTTGCAGGTTTTGCCGAATTCAGAATATTAAGATCCAAAGAGAAACAGAACATTGGCAATAGAACGATTTAGAATCTTGAAATTCCAAAAATCTCTTGGTAGAAGAACCAGCAAAGTTTCCAAAGTAATCTATTGATTCGAGATTCAGGATTATGGGTAATCTCCATAGAGAAGAATCAGAAAACTTGCATAATAATGGCTCAGAATTCAGGATCTAAAATTTTTAGAGTCATATGGAGAGTCAGGATCTTATAATAAGAATCCTAACAATGGGGCAGTATCTAGAAGATATAGCCAATCACTCCTTAACTCAGGATGATAGAGGTGTAAGTTTTCATGAAATTTTCAAATTTGAAACTTTTTGTGAAACTTTTCATGAAAAGTTGAAACTTTTCAATTTTTTTTTGAAAAGTTAAGTACAGGAAGAATAGGGCCTCTAAAATTATTTTTTCGAAATGATAGGTATTCAATAAATTGAATTGATGAATAATATAATTTTTATCAATTATTCCTTTCCATTAAATCACAATATTGCGGTTGAGGATTGAGGTAATGAAAAAAATTGCGTAATGGTGAAAAAATCTGTTTTTCTATGACCATCAAAAAATAAACAACTTTTGTCATATTTTACCTTAGCCGAAAACGTCATATAATATATATATATAATGTAATAAAAGCAAAATAGAGGTATAAAATTAATTAAAAACGAGCACTTTTTATAGATGGCGCCAGCTATCAAGCCAAGTAGGAACCCTTGTAAAAAAAAACATAAGTTTAACAGCAAAAATCAAAACATGGTCTTAGAAAAAATATAGTGTTTTACTTGTCTAAAATCATTTTTTGCAACTTGAAAACAACTGTTTTCTTGAACTTCGTTGACCAGTCAGAAACAACTACTCCGAGGGCAAATACCCCTACCGGCGTAGGCACGCCGGTAGGGGTATTTGCCCTCGGAGTAGTTGTTTCTGACTGGTCAACGAAGATCAATTTTGCTTGGACAGGGAGCTTCAGCCTATGTCCTTCTGATGAGTCCTAACAAGGACGAAACGCATCAAGGATCGGCACGGGAAGCCTGAGTCCACTGCTCAGTGGGCCGATTCCCAAACAGGGACCGAAGTGTCCCTGTATTCACGTTGGTCATTACCTGTAAAAATCTTTCTAACAACTGTTTTCTTGTTGCAAAAAATGCACAATGCATGATTCATGATCTTTAAACTTTTCACGAAATTTTGAAAAGTTTTGAACTGTCTTGAAACTTTTTAATGAAATGAAATTTTATTGAAACTTTTCAGGTGAAACTTTTCACACTTACATCTCTACAGGATGAGCATCTTTTGAAAAAAGGATTAGAAAACTTCCAATCATTTCGGTTCTAAAGCTTCTACAGTTTTTTTACAGAACAAGAAATTTTCAAGATTGAGATCCGCATATTATTCTTCTCAAAGTAAAAAAAAATCTGTACGAAAGAATAACAGAACATGATATAAAACCTACAGATCCTAATTTTTAAGAGTCTTCTGTTCAAAAATTTGAAATATAACGTTTCAGAATTCAGGTTTGTTTTGCAAGATAAAAACATCCTACTCAATAAATCTTGAAAGTTTGAACCCTCTCTAATTGCTTGAAGTATTTTTTCCTCTTCACCAAAGTGCATTTTTTCCAAAGTGATTTCAAGATAAATAGAAAAATTTAGGTATACATTTTTAGAGAAATCAGGCTTTCTGACGATGACAGAATATACAGGGCGTTTCATTGAAAATAAGGCTTTCATTTCAGAAAAACGCACGCCTGTACTTAAACACAAATTTTAGCATTTGGCAAAAAAAATCAAAAAATTCTTATTTTTCCATAATTATGTATATTAGTGATGTGACGAATAGTAGTTTGGCCGAATAACCGAATACCGGATATTCGGCTGAATTTAAACCAAATATTTGGCCGAATACCGAATAGTTATTAAAGCATATCAGAGCTCAAATATTATAGTGAAATAGCCTTGACTGTTAAGGACTTTGATCACTCCAATCGCAAAAACGATATTGCAATTGTAGAGGCTTATTTATCGGGTGAAATTTTAAACAAAAACTATTGTCCATTTTTTTGGTGTGGTAGAAGTACAGTTTAAAATATCCTAAAATGAGCCACCTTGGAAAGGTCTATTTATAAGCTCCTTTACAAGTACTGTTTACAGTGAGCGCCTATTCTCAGAAGCTGGAAACCTGAATGAGAATAGAAGGAATCGGTTATTGCCAGTGTAATGGAAATATAAATGTGTGAATGACTATAAGACAAAACTTCTCATGAGAACACTGCTCCCCTGTTTCGAGAATAAGGGCCCAGAAGTTTCTATTTTCATTTTTTTTTGATATTCGGCCGAATACCGAAAATAACGCCTAATAGGCCGAACACCGAATAATTATTTGGCTTCAGTCACATCTCTAATGTATATGTTTCCTCGTTTTCGAGGTATTCAACTGCAAAATGTGTCAGTTTATATAAACTTTCTTAGCATCTAAGGTGTAAAAAGATTATTTGTAAGTAATTCAGGGTTATTTATGTAGCCCATGCATTAGATTGCAGGTGGATTTGGATTAGATGCTATTTTTACTAATCCACCTACAAACTGGAAAATTCCTAATGCACAGGCTACTTAAATAACGATGTATATGGTAATGATATAAACTTGTTTACACTTTTATTTATAGATTTTTTCAATTATTGGCATCATTAAAACTTTTGGATATTTATTTTTTTTAACCACTGTTTTAATAATAATATAACATTAAATATATTAATCATGAAAATTCATTCAAGGCTCTTTACCGACAAGCCATAACCTGATGAAAAAATGAAACAAAAATATTGATGTTAGCATTATAATTTTTATTAAAACCTCAAACATGATCAAAAAAGTGTTATTAGAAAAATATAGTGCATTTTAAAACCTTACTTCACAATTATTATTATTATTGTAAAATCTATAAAAACTTATTATTGACTAAGTTAAGAACAAATTCCTTAGTAGTATCGTAGCCTAGAATTTCCAAGTTCAAACACTTCAATTTGTTCATGTACTTCTTGTGTTGCTTGCAACAGGAGTTCTTGTAATGCAGAGCTGTTATTGTCTTGTCCAATATGTAGCTCAGCCATAGAATGTTGGAGTAGGGTTCGTAATGACTCCATTCATTTCTGGAATTAATAATGTTTAGTTAATTTATTGTTAAAACTATTTGTTTGAGATTTGATTGCACACAAATAACATTATTATCTGCTTCTAATTATCACATTGTTCTACAACACAAACTACCTATAAATAATAATCATTTGAAAAATATCTTTATTATAGACATACACAAATACCTATTTGTAGATCATAATTATTATCACTTATTTTTTTGAAAATATTTAATTTCAAGTCAAAACAAAAATATTTTTAATCAGCACAATATATATATAATTAACATTTTGTATTAGTAATAAGTACAAATACAAAAGTTGAAATTTTTAGGAATTCAATAAAACTATGACTCACCTGTTTCTTTTTTGCATCAACTGATAAATTTCAAACTGATAATCACCAGATCCAGTAAAAATCCCACAATCCTTGGATAAGTCTGTATAAATATCCACTCCATGAGATGTAATCCTAGACATGGTAAAATCAATAATTTGAACTTTGACCCCAAAAGACTCGATTCTGATTTCTCTTCCTTGGAGTTTGAAAGTTACAAAATCATCTGACGGTACTCTGGTTAGCAATATATTGCCCCAATGTAAATCGCGATGCTCAAATTGGAGCTCCTCTTCTGCCACTGCCATTGCGTAAGCAATTTGCAGGCACATTGAAAACGCCTGAGAAGCATTTTCAAAGGCAAAAGATTCCATGTCGCAACCTCCATAGCTAGTTTCCAGTACAGCATAAAGTTGATCTTCCTTGAAGATTTCAGGTGAATCGTTTATGGAGCCTCTGGTTTCTTTGAATAAGTCCCACAAATCCAGAAGTTCTTCCGGATAACATCCTTGGACACATTTGATGCTCTGAACTTCAATAAAAGCACTGGTCTGATTAATTGGGTTGGTTCTCAAGTGACTCAGTTCTGTGGCAATGATGAGTTCAGATAAAACCTCGTTCAATTTTTTTTGATTTTCTCCATTGATTCGCTGGTCACCTTCTATGGGAATTATTTTCATGACTGTTGTTCCTCCACTTGGATTTTTGAAGAGAAATACTTCTCCATAGAGTCCTTCTCCAATTTTCTGGCAGTTTTGAATTAAACTAAATTAAATAAAACAATAATAGCTTAATATGTGTGCTGAGAATTTCAATTAAATTAAAAAGAAAGTGAGTATATAGACTTACCTTTGAGGATAGCATTGTTGGAAGTAGGTAGGCTGGGCCTGACATTCTGCGAGTAGTAATTTTGTATTGAAAAAAGGTTTTATTGCTTCATAGATGTAGTCCTGTTTGGCGCTGGTGATTAACGGTAACTCACCAAATTGGCCTTCCGACTCTTGAAGAAATCGCTTTGCAGAAAGGGTTTCGTCGTCTGAGGTTTCCCTAACATAACCGAGCAAAGAATCATACGTATCTTTAGGATCTACGTTGTTGTACAACTGCATCCAAAACGAAACGGATTTTCTTGGTAAAGACGAAATTTTAAAGTGATAAAATTACAGGCCGGGGACTGGTAAAATTAATGGAAACTGGGACACTGATGCGACACGAATAAACAAAATAAAACGGTGTTGTTAAAAGTTCTAAGTAGAATGAATTTAAAGTCTAACAAAGGGACAAACGTAGAAACTGCGTATTTGTATCACGCCCGACGTTGATGACGCTGAGTCGCTGACTAATTAATCAAATTGATGATTAATTATAAGTTTCCTTTGAACAAAAACCACGCCACACTTTTCTTTTTTAGCTTAGCTTGTTAATTTGACAGTTTTGACCGACACTTTTCCGTTCGACATTTGACAGACCGTGCGTTCGGTTTTGACCGGAGTTCTCCGAATTTACCATTCATTTATTCAAAAAGTGTGCTCGATGTAGGCTCATTCGCGTTCGTTTATTGAAATTTCGAGCACTCTGATACAACGCTTAACTGCTCTGTGCGCTCGCTGGTCACGTGATTACGGCTCCACTTGCAAGAGCAACGTTAAGCTCCGTACAACAAACCTAACGACGAACAAGGCTACGAATGCGTTCGCAAACACAGAGTCGCTTTCCAGTGACGTAGTTAAGTACTCGAGCTGCTCTAGAGCGCCCCGAACTGTTTATAGACGTTCCGGTGCATTAGAGTTTCGCGCAACTGAACTGGGTCCTCTTGAAACAGAGCAGCGGGCAGCGTTCCCATGAGAATGAGTGTTCTGTCAAGCTCAATTGAAATTGATAATAAACACGCGGTCTCTGGAAATGCTGCTCCCTTGTTTCAAGAATAAGGACTCTGTTCGTTTTTCCTCTCCCCTGCTTTCACAAGCATCGCTCCAATTTTACGGCTGCATCAAAAATACTCCAAACACAATAGTTATTTGGAGCCCCAAAAGCTACGGGTGTGGAGCACCTTAAAATTCATCACTGGAAAGCGGCTCGGTTCGCAAATCCTGGGGTAGTATTTTTTTTAAATTCATTCGAGTACATTTCATACACGAAGCTTGAGTGCAATTTAAATAAAATTTCGAAGTCATATCAAATTTCGCATGCGAGAATACTTGAAAATACGACCCCCTGGCCGTTCGTAGCTCCGTCCAGATTAGTGTTTCGTTCGTCGTTCGGTTCGTTGTTCTGTTCGTTGTACAGTGTAATGTTCAAGTCTGTACGAAGCTTTAAAGAACGTGTTCGACTCGATTTGCACTGACCCGGTGCAAATTGGTTTTTGTTCGGCTGATCAGAATCAGAGCTACTTTGGCTTGCTTGTTTGTGTTGTGCGGGGCAGCACTTCCTGCTTTAGGGCATTCGTTTGTGAGCGTTTTATATGGGTGTATCTGCCATAATCTGAAATATTACAGCTTAACTCAAATTAGTCCGACACAAACAAACAAACCTTTCGTGAACCTCAAAATTAAACACCGCGAAACAGCTGATAAATGAACGCCAATCGAACTCGGCTCGGTTTTTCAATTCTTCCGTCCGAGCTCGCCCCAGCGTAGAGCAAACGCACTTTTGTGATAACATCGGGTGCTCGCTCCGAGAGCATGCGAACAAAAACCGTGCAATCCAGACGAACCCTCCGTAAATTATTTCCAAACGCATAAAGGCTGAGTTCGGATTTACACTCGGTAAACTCCGAGCGTGCTCGAAACGATAAAATACTGGTTCGTTTCAGCTCTCAGATGGATGGATGAAGAATTAGAGAAATTAGTTAAACTTTGTTTCATGAGGATTCATACTTTTGACAAAATTTGTCTTTCTTTTTTAACAAATAGGAATTGACTGAAACAAATCAATGACGTCAAAAACGTTAGTCGGTTCTTAAGCCAAAACGGCCAGAACTCATTCATTTTAATTTGTCAAAAAAATTGAATGTGTCATACGATAACAAAAGTGTGAACCCTCGAGAAACGAACCTTTTAGTTATCAATCTCTTCAGTTGAGTTCGGAATGGGATTTTCGTGCGGTGTTCGTGTAGTTCAGGGTTACTTTCACTTCACGTGATAAAGGTGTAATCGGCAGTGTAACACCGAATACACCATCATTTGGTAGATACCAAGTAACAGTGTCCCACCATCATTACACCATTCCGACACCAAACTATTTCCAAACGCAATTAAAGTGTACAAAGTTACTCCTACCAATTAACGAACGCAATAGTTGTATTCCTTTCACACCTAGGAGGAGCTCCGGAACAGCTCCGGGGCTTCACGCGCTTATTCCTTTCGAAAAGTGTTTGTTGCACCACGCATCTGTTTCCTGCAAATCGGGGGCTACTAAACACCGGAGCGACTAGCTCAAGTGTTTCAAACTTTTGAAAGGAATACAACTATTGGTGGCAATAGTGTAAAAAGTGTCGACACTTTGTACAAATAGACAATCGGCGGTGTAACACTAAATACACCATCATTTCGTATCGGGTAAACGGTGTCCCATGATCTTTTGACTTTTATACACCATTCGAACACCAAATGATTTCTAAATGCAATTAGCGCGTATTCCTTTCAAGAGTTTAGAACACTGGAGCTACTCGCTCCGGTGTTAGTCGACCCCAATTTGAAAGGAACAGATGCGCTGGCTTTCATGCATTCAAATGGTTTGACTTGGGCTTGTGCACTTCAGGTGCAACAAACACTCTCCGAAAGGAATGAGCGCATAACTTCCCGGAGCTGTTCCGGAGCTTCTCCTAGGTGTGAAAGGAATACAATTAATCAAACTCACTCCTACCAATTAACAAACGCCACAGTGGCAATAGTGTAAAAAGTGTCGGCACTCTGTATCAATGTACCGAGTGAGCGGTGTCCCGCCGTCTTTACACCATTCAAGTACCAACTTGTTTCCAAACGTAAATAAAATGTTTTACACCAAACTTACTCCTACCAATTTTCGAACGCCACAAGGTGTTAATAGTGTAAAAAGTGTCGACACTTTGTACTAGTCCGAACTCACCTCTTAAGTTGAGTTCCGAATGGGATTTTAGTGCGGTACCAGTGCGGTGTTGGTGTAGTGCAGAGTTGAAACACGTGATGAAGGTGTATTCGGCGATCTAAAACCGAATACACAATCATTTCGTACCGATTAAACGGTGTCTAACCATATTTACACCATTTTGGCACCAAATTATTTCCAAACGCAAATAACGTGTACACCGAACTTACTCCTACCAATTAAGGAACGCCACAATGGCAAAAGTTCAAAAAGTATCAACAATTTGTACCAAATAGTTGACTTCGGCATGGGAATTTATTGCGGTGCTAGTGCGGTGTTGGTGTAGTGCAGAGTTAAACTACGTTGTGTAGGTGTAAACGGCAGTGTAACACCATATGCACCATCATTTCGTACCCGGTAAACGTTGTTCCACCATTTTTACACTATTCGAGCACCAAACTATTTTCAAACGCAAATAAAGTGTACACCAAACTTACTCCTAACAATTCAAGCCTAGTACTCATAACTGCGAAATTCGCTTCTTTTTGACATTGCTTCGAGAATTTGACGTTTGATACATGCATAAAACGTTAACTTGTCATAAAAGTGCGAATTTCGCTGTTATGAGTACTAGGCTTAACGAAGGCCACAGTAGCAATAGTGTAAAAAGTGTCGACACTTTAGGTTCGGTGTTGTTCGCACTTCCTGCTTTGGGGCGTTTGTTTGTGTTATTAGTTGTGTTCCTTTCACACCTAGGAGGAGCTCCGGAACAGCTCCGGGACTTCACGCGCCTATTCCATTCGAAAAGTTTTTGTTGCACCACGCATCTGTTCCCTGCAAATCGGGGGCTACTAAACACCGGAGCGAGTAGCTCGAGTGTTTCAAACTCTTGAAAGGAATACAACTATTAGTTGTATTCCTTTCACACCTACCGTGCGTTCGTTATTTTGATCTGAGTTCTCCGAGCTTGAATTTAGCGTTCGTTTATTCAAAAAGTGTGCTCGGTGCAGGCTCATTCGCGTACGTTTATTAAAATTTCGAGCGCTCTGATACAGCTCAGTCGTCTCCGAATTTAAAACCGAGAAAAGCGAGCGATCGAGAAAAATCAAACTGTCAATTTAGTTTTTATAACCTCATTCTTCATTTATATTGTTATTGCAACAACTATTTGAACAACAAAACGTTTAAAGTTAAACATTTATATTTTCGGTAATATCGTTTCCTCAATCAACGGTAATATCTCAAATTTAAATGTGAGAGTAGATATTCAGTTAATTAGACACAGAGTTTTGTATTTCGTGTAAAATTTAAATACAAATACAAAGCTCTGTGTCTAATTGTCTACTCAAGGTGCACACAACACAGCATTCAACCGCAAAAAGATATTTAACTATTCACCTATTCGGATAAAAATTTTATAATTTATTTATAATAATGGACCCACAATCCCTAGCATCATGTGGGGAATGCGGTCAACAAGGCATTTTGAAAGATGTACAAGAACATTTTTTGGAAGCCCATTGTGATAACGTCGAAAACGAAAGTAAGTACCTACTTTAGCTTAATTTTCATCATTCTCTGGTTAAAAAGAATTCAATAATTGGCATAAAAAAGTTAAAGGTAGGTATTCAATATTTTCATCATTGGGTTTAGTATAAAGTTAAAGTTAAATAGGGTGAAAGTACCTGTTGTCGGCCACTTAATGCAAATTCTGGAATAAAATGGCGATTGAAAATTAGTGGATAGAGCGAATGGAATTTAAATTATGTTTTATGATACCTTATAGTATATTAAATTGATTAATGCAACAAAAAAGGGCTAAAAGGTTTTGCATTTTTATAGAAAAATGATTTTATTCAAAAACGTGCATTTTACCGGTTGTCAGACAATCATCACATTTCTCGGACACAAAGGGACCCGTTGTCGGACGCGTGTCCGAGAAATACGTTTTTTCGTCCACATAAACTATTACACGCTAAATGGTACCAGTTTGGGCACTTCTCACAGCCAATATTTTATTTTGGAATTTTTAGTCAATTTTCTTTTTCTTCAATCATTGATTGAACTTTTTTTGGTATTTTGTATCTCTATAGTCTTTTCCTCTTTTTTCTTTGTTTGTGCTTCAAGTTTTTTTTCTTTGTCTCGTTTTTTTCTTTCATAATATGATCTATCTCCATGCCTTCGATGAGATTGCACTTGGTAATTTCTCTTTTTTTTTTTGTTTTCTTGGCTCTTATTTCATAGATTCCGGAAACTGGAGGTGGGCGACTGGAAGGACTTACAGCAACAGCAACATTTTGCATTTTAATGGGAGTTTTTTCTTGAGCCTCCAGTCCTATGTCTGTTGTTTTATCAGGTTTCTCAGTTCTGGGAAAATCACTTTGATC